TTACAAAGTTGGTACACGCTATAACCGAAGAAGATCGCATAAACATTTCCATCTGCTGCCTGTTCGCCATTCCCTTCATTAGGGTGACTCAAAACAGGAAGCCAGGAAATCTAAAAGTCCAATAAGCAGGTGCATTCTGCAAGAAATTTGAATATTTTCCAAAATAAAAAACGAATCTTGTCCGAAATTTTAGACAAAAGAAAGCCATATTCTAATTTTAGTATTATATAATCAAAGCAAGAATTCTTATTGATCGGAGTATTTTAGTTGGATTATAACCTACTCAAATAATTGATTAATTTCTTAGAATTTGAAGATCAAAATTACATAAAATTGATGCCAAGCAAACTTCAATCGAAAATATCTTCAGTGTGCTTAATCTAGCATATAGCAGGAAAACCTTGGCATATCTTTTGTTATTAAACATTGATAGCTGAACTACCCTGATGAGCTGCAAGAACTGTTGAACATCTCCTTGTTGGGTTGCAACATTTTAATGTCAACGAGATATGCCCTCGGTCCATTGAAAGATGTCAATCAAAACAACTGGAGCATGGGCATCATCCCACTCGACAAGGCCCTAAACATTCCATGGCTCGAGTTCGACGGAACGATAAAACATATGTGCATATAAACAAACACACATATATATATACGATACGATGCATAGTATATTGAAAAGTGCTTGCCACAATTGATGGATGCGAAAAGGAAACGAAAAAAGAAATCAATCTGTCGTTCAAGGGGGGGAATGGGGACCGGTCTTTCGTATGTTGTTATCCAACTTCCCGACTCAAATAAATGATCGGTAAGGAGACCCCAACGCGTGCTATTGTCGCTGGATAACAACCAAATAGCTTTCCCATTCAGTTATCGCCCCCCTCATTCACTTCAATCAATCTCCACCTCCTCCTCTCTCTCTCTCTCTCTCTCTCACTCTCTGTATCTGTTTCTGTTTCTTTCTCCAACCCTTTCCCGTTTTCTCCCACAGCTGCAAAATGCATTCAATCACTTCATTCGTTACGTCTTCCATCTTGTGGTCCAACTCAAGAGAAGAAACACAAAAAAATTGTATTTTATTTACTCTGCACTTATGACCCCCATGCCGGGCGCTGCTTGTCGCCGATCGGGTGAAGTGAATCTGATACGGACCCCGGATTTTGTTGCTGGTTGCATTTGCATCTCGAAAGCGTTGCTGGAAGTCGAATTATCTGTTTAGCCGGCGGCCACTCAGAATGTCATTGCGAATGACAATCACGAAAGAAAACTCTCTCTCGCTCTCTCTCTCTCTCTCTCTCTCTCTCAATTTTTCACTATCTCTTTCGACTGCGGAGCATCACCTCAAGCTCATGTTGCAGCTGCAAAGATACTTTAGAATGCACAAAGTGATGGATTGTGTCCCTGGCCCCAAATGCATGCATATGTGTGTATCTATATATCTTCAAAGGCAGTAGCGAAATCAACTGATCGTGAGCACACTCACAGTGTCATCCAAAATAGTACTCACTGCACACTGGTTGACAAGAGTATTTTGACAGAGCAAAACAATAGGCAATTTATAGCATATTTCTTATAAAATCTATATATATATATATATATATAAATATTTTAAATATTATTCAATTACAATAACATAACAAATAATTCATTTTAATTTTAAAAATTTGTGAAAAAATAATTAAATATTTGAATATTTTAGTGCTATGCTTGACTTGTGTATGACACTTTAGAAGAAATGGGATTTTTATGCTTAGCCAGCTTATTATAATTTGAGAACATTTCTCTTGTCACAATTTTTTATTAATTTTCAATTTTTGACCTCGCACTACTTTGACCCACTGTGCGCTGCGGCAACTCGCTGGAGTTTGACACCGATTCAATGACAACAGCAGCAGCAGCAGCAGCAGCAGCAACTACAATAACAACAAATGTGTGTTGCTGTACTTGCAGATGCAGATACCCACAGCTCGACACACACTTTGGTGTGCGTACCTACGTGTGTGTGTGCTGTGTGTAGCTTCTTTTGTGTGTGCTCGCCTGCCTCGTCGCTGATCTTTAATTGCAGAATTGTGTTTGCCGACCCATAGATGAGGATGAATGTGACTGCGACTGTGTCTGCCGTGGTGGCTGTGGCTGTGGCCGTGGCAAGCCGGGCATTGCTGCGTTGCCCATCCACCGCCCATCTGCGTCTCCGATCTGCGGTGATTAATTGACGCTGGTGTCGCGTCAGTTGCGCGGGCTTATTAAAAGGATTACAAGATGTGAATGTGCGAGGCGGCAGCTGGAGCCGCAATTCCATAAATGCTAGCAGGCAACTCGTAATAAGATTAATTACGAACGCATCGGCCCAAAGTGCCACAGTGGTACAATGTTTTGACACGACAATTACAAAACTGCGCTATGCCATTGTTGCTTCAAGTGTCTCATTAATTTGAAAGCTTTGAAGATCGTTGGAGTTGGGCCACAGCCATATCCATAAACTATACAATACTTTTCGAACAATCCCCCAAGGGACTATTGCCCTATAATCCTTGCCTGACATTTGCATACTTAAGTTTTGTATCCTGTTGACACGCGAACCCACGGGACAGGGGCAATGTTGCGCCAGAGTTGAGTAGCCAGGATAAGTGTCATCAGGGGCGCAAATAATTGACATTTAACGAAGGGCCGGTCTCTGCAGCAGCGTTACGCCAATTAGTAAAAAGTGTCATTAAGGGTCGCAGCAAAATATTTAAATAATATCCGAGTGTGTGTCAGTGTATCCTGGTACACTCAAAAAATGTATGGAGTATTTTAATGCTTGAAAATCATCGACCAGAGATAATACTTATTTCAAGGCTGCTATCAGAAATAAGCTGATCAGAAATAAGCTTTGTACTTAAGTTAAAAACTAGAGATTTGAAAATCAATACTGAAAAACTTACTTTAATTACAATATTTAGTTATTGTTTAAGTTTTAAACTTTTGAAATCAGTCCTCGAATTATTTGCAATATTTATTAAGCTTGAGTATATCTTTAAAGTTTGAACCGCAACACAAATTCTTGTAGCCACTATTACCTTGCATTTAAACCACCGTTTTTCTCCGAGTGTAGTAAGCCCCACTCCAAATTATTAAATATGTGTATTATAAATGCGACTGTTTTGTGCCTCGCTTCGCAGCATTTCCCTCCGATTTTTAATATTGCCTGTCAGCGCGTGCGGAGAACTGAAAAGTGAGATACGCAAAATGTTTTGTGCAAAGATGCAATTTATTCAAGATTTTAATGAATTATTTTTTTGCCAATGATGTTGAGGATGATGTCATTCGCAGAGCATCCAATAAATCATGCTGCGATCGCCGAGTAGACGCTCATGCTCAAGCTCTCTGACAGCTGGATACCCAGCTAAGTCTGTGGCTGCACGCCAAAAGAGTCGAGGACAGTGGAAGTGGAGCAGCTGCCAGAGATTAGTCAGTTCTAGTGACTGGCGCACTTCAAATCTCTTGGGAGCAGGCAAAGTTGCTCAACTGGTTTGCTTAAATAGGATGGGGTCGAGGAGTTCGGGAGTTGAAGGGGAGCGCTTCACAAAGATCAAGGTGAGTTTAGAATTCATTAGGTTTGTTAGAAAAGCAACAGGCATTTCTTTAACACTCAATGAGGGTATTAATTAAGAAGACAATTTTCTAGTTTATTTTCAAACTATCTCATCCAGATATTCGTTCAGAAGTCGTGTTTGTTAGTTGTTATTGCCAAAAGTGTTTAATCAAATCAATCGACTTAATTATCCGAAAAATTTACACAATGGCTAAAATTAGACAATCAAAAACCGTAAAAAAAAATACAAATCTTATTATGTACATAAGAAAACAACCACAGCAATCTTACGCAATGCAAGTTTAACGGTTCCCAGCTTAGAGGTCAGTCACAGAAACCAAAACTTTCCTCCCATCAGCAAAAAATAAAAGAATCAGCAGAGAACACAATGAAACCGCATAATTTATGAAACACTAAAAATGAAGAGGTCTTAACCCTCATGCTTTCGCAGTCTCAGCTCTCAAGACTCCGACTCTGACTCCGTCTTCATCTCCGTCTCATTCCCTCAGCGCTTCTCATGCTCAGCTAAACGAACCGCAGCCGAAATGGGTTTTTGTTTTTGCAGAAGACCCTAGAAATTGGTTGGCTGGCGCATTGCAAATTTCCAAGCTGCAGCAGCAGCAGCAGCAGCAGCAAAACAGCAGCCCAAAAAGAAACGCACAATTATGAAATATAATAAAATAGCCAACTTTAAAAGCTGGCAACAGGAAATGCAATGTTAGTAATGCTGCCTCACTATTTCTTAGCATTTCGACGGTATTTCCTGTTGGTGTGTGTGCGTGAAAAATCGCTGCTTAGATGCGAACAAAGATTTTCGCTGGAAAACCAGTTCTCCCATTGGTCACACGCTTGCTGGCTTTTGCTAGCTGTAGTCAGCTAGAATGCTTATTATTATAAGCTGATAATAATGTTTACTTTGCCACACGTTAGCAGCTGATTCGTTTATCTATGTGCACTTAGGCATTAAGCTCAGCCACAAGCGATTTATGTAGAGTTTTCGAATAATCCAGCTCAAAGGTATGCGTGCATGTCTTGTCTATATGCATACATATATACCCATATGCCACATACATATTTACACACATGCTGCATGACTCACGGTCACGCTTAAGAAAGGTAAAAAAGCATGAGAGAAAAGAGCCAAAAAAATGACTAAGTGCACATTCATGGTTTTTTAAATGGGACGCCGAAGAATAAAAAAAAAATAATAAAAAAAAGACAAAACTGTTGGCTTAACTGTGAGCGTGACTGGATTCCGAATCTTGTCTCTTATCGTTGTTGTTGCTGTTGTTGTCTGTTATGTGATCTTCGGCTTATGGGCGTCAATAAGCTTTCTGTGACATGTTGCAATTTATATATTTTTGCATATCTTTCGCTTTCTTTGCCAGCTGGCTGGCACTTGGAGACTGACATATGCTTTTAGGTATCACTTCTCACATGGCATTTATTCGGGTTGCATTTGGATTTTTAAGCTACACAAAATTGCCAGTTTCTTTTCGGTAAATTATTAACTAAAAACAAAGCGCGACATGTTTGGGTCATTTTCCTATTTTTCCGTTGTCCAGTTCTTGGGACGCTCTGCCATAATGGTGAAATCGTTCTGGGCAACATTCACAGAGCCATATTGATGCGTGGGTGAATCGGGAAAGAATTCCCAGCCCTGTTCAATGGACATCTTCTTGATGACACCGGCTATACCTGAAGCAGTAAAATATAATATTAAACATGAGGAAGCATAATATATATATGTATAGAAATTAACTCACCAAGGAATAGGCCAGCACAGAGGCCAGCTACATGATTGCGCTTCCATGCACCAAAGACGCCACCAGCAGCAAACCCACCAATCAGATAGTTTATTCTGCAAAAGCATATTATTAATCATGATTTGTATGAGTGAGAAATCAAAGGCAAAGGTTCGTCTCACTTATCATCCTTGCCGCGCGCTTTTGTGGCAGCTAGCGTTGTTAGCGTAAATGCCGTCGCCATGCCCATCAGTGGACCCGTATTGTAGGCGAATCTACCGATTGTGGGTATATAGCCCTGTGGTTTGGACAGAGTGAGCACATCCAATGTGGACCACGCCAGGCCGGCAGCAACAGCGTATCTGTTTGTGGCACAAATCTTGCCAAAGGCATCTTCGCCATCGGGATGGTCGTAGTATTTGGAGTGTAAGATCGACATACTCGGCTACAAATACAAGCAAATTAAATCAATTTATTTAATCTGTAAATAATCATCACAAGCTATTACAAGGTGAAACAGAGATTTGTCTACCGCTCAAGCATTAAGCATAGTGCATTCGCAATGCGCTTTCGACATTGCAGCATACTTTGGGCAATTCTATATTTGACTTGTACGTTGCTTTGTTGTTTATTTCACGTTAAATACAATAATTTACTAACCTGCCGAATTTACGTAATTATTTCCAAACGCAAAATAGTTTGACAAATCAGCTGTGCATCAGTGTATACCCATTGGCAAAAATTAAAAAGTATTATACCAAAAAATACTAGTATGCCATTTTGAGTTAACATAATGTACAAATTAACATGCTGTTAAGTAACGAAGTTCAGAAAACGTTTTTTCTAATTGAAAGAAATCATATACTTTATTTTTTATTTTGTTTAATTAAAAACCAGATATGTTTTGCCAAATCAAGATTAAAATTTAATTTCATTTCATACGTATTCTGTTTTATTTAAACTAATTTCAAAAAACACTGTGGCACTAACATTAATTACATATTCGTTAAACATGAGGTGCAATTGAAAATTTTTGTATGGGCTTCAATGTGAGGATGTAAATTATTTCGAAAACGACCATTTATAATTATAGACGATTTTGATTTTAAATATGAATACGTTAAGTTCTTAAATCGATGGGGGTAGACTAGTTTAATTTGCATTTCAACTAAATAATATACACATAATATCTTGCGATTTAAATAAGGAGTATAAATATCCATTCTATGAATTCTTTTTTGTTGGCATACACTTAGGAGTTCAGTTGACCAAACAGGAGCAGACACAAAGCAAAAAAACTAAATGATTTCGAAAACAAAATCGATATAAAAAAGACGCACAATACATAAGCAATAATTATATACAAATCAAATGTCAAATTATGATCAGGTTCTATTTTTTTTTTCTTTGTTTAATCAGTCATAATATTTGCGGTGAATTTGTCAAATTTCACTCATATCTTTCAAACGTGTGGCACTAGTTTTTTGATAAAAGACAATGCGATTGTTGACTGCATTGTCGTTCTGCCCTAACAACGATATATGAGCATAACAAATATATATATGTATATATATTATATAGTTTGCAATATATATATGAGCACTACACGTATTTAGTGTTCGTCGTGTCCAATTATTTCAATGTCATCAGCCAAGGGACTCTCGATTTCCGGTTTGTTATCGTTACCATTTTGTTGATTTGCATCCAAATTAATCAATGATAACGTCATCTTGCTGCTGAGTATGACCTAGTAAATATGGATAGCATTTAATTAGAGTATATAATAGTCAACAAACTTTGTCTTACGGCCGGCTCATCAATGGATCCATTGAGTTCAGTGTCATAGACCTCTTCACGTCTCGTCTGTGAATCGGCCACCAAAATCTGTGAGTCGTGTGCCAAGGCGCCCTCCAAATAAATGGACTGCGGCTCGGGTAGTTTTTCTTCCAATTTGGACTGAAATCAATGAAAAACAATAATTATTATTGATAAATTTGGTTAGGTTGTTAGTTGTCGTAAGCACTTTCGGCATTTCAAAGCTGTTTCGCTGTTTGGAAATTTCTTTGAGTGTGGATTGGCAGGATTTGCAGTAGTCAAGGCACACTTACATATCCACTATTTGTGCGATAAACTGGCGTTGGAGGTCTTCCGGTCCATCTTTGACCGCCCTCGCAACTAGTTGTTAACTCCATGCCAAGAACCTGCACCACATGTATATAGTACACATAAATCATGCCAGTAATTATACAAAAATTATAATAATATATATACTTAATTTTCATATTTATTTCTCACCGTCATTTCGCGCTCAGCGCTGATGTCGCGTTGTTTCCTTTGTTGTTGTGATGGTTGTTGTTGCTTAGTTTTAGCCATGTTCTGCTCTTGGTCGTTTCTTGCTGTTTGCCCATTGGAAATGTTTTGGTTTTCTACATTTGTCAAATTCGATTTTTCGTTGTCGTCATTTTGCTGTTTTGTTTTTTTTTTTTGTTTTTTTGGAGTACAATTTTGATACTTATTATTTGTGGCCCAAGACTTGTAATATGCAATTAACCAAAAATTGAGCATTTCTAGTTTTGGTTTTGGTTTTGGTTCAACAAGAAAACAACATATAAATTTTGTTAAATCAATATTAATTCATTTTATGAAAAACAATATTTACTTAATTGTGGTTAAGAAACGCAACAAAAACAATAGATTAATTTTAGGGGGAAGTACTCAGTTACATTTGCTGGTGGTTAATAAACGAATAACGAAAGAGAGTTAAGAAACAATTTCAATTTCAAACGATTGCTGCAACGTGGCCCGTTCGTCGGCGCTAACCTTATTTAAATCAGTTTCAGTATCAGTTTCAGTTTCAGTTTCAGTTGCACTCCTCGCCCCCTTCACATCTCGAACGTTCAATTGCTCATCGGCAGCGTCTATAAGACCTTGGATCGCCGTTACAACTACATATATGGTAAATTGTGCAACATGACATTTTTTTTTTCGGTACAATATATAGTACAGGAGTTGAGAGACATATATATATAGATAGTTATATAGTAATTGCACATGTGTAACATGAAAACGAAGAAACGACAGAGAATATAAGTAGAGTTTATAAACAATTTTGGCTTTTGGCATTTAGCATTTGGCATTTGCTCTGCTTTTGACATCAAGCTTAGCTAAAACTCTTCGATGTTCGCATGAATTTATTGTTTAATTTAATGATTTTTTTGGCATGAACATGAGCTATGAATCGAAAAGTTGCTATTATACACATAAATACATATGCATATATATATATATGTATGTATGTATGGTTTATTGTATTTCAAACCGTTGTGTTATGGTTTCTAAAATATGTCCCCATCATAAGTATTGATATTGTTTTAAAGAAAGCTACAGACACAATTACGTATAAATATATTTAGTAATTCTGGATAGTTAGTAGGACTACAATATTCGCATGCTGATCGAGCAGACGAGCAAAGTTAGCATATAGTATAGTTTAGTAAGAGTGCAACAAAGAGAGAGAAAGACACAGAGAGAGAGAGAGAGAGGGATACAGAGAGAGAGAGAGAGAGACAGAATTCAATCGAAGCCCACACACATGCAACAGTTGAAGCGTGAGTGAAATGGACACAGATATATATATAAAATTGGGATACTGGATGAAGGCAGGCTTCAAGAACAACGCAACGCATTCATAGCCAACGATCCTTATGATTTTAGCTGCGCTCTCGCATGCATGCCACAGATCTGACGGATATGCAACTCGATTGTTAAACCGTTCCGAGGAATTGGGGCTATATACATGGTACATGATACAAACAGAACTCGGGTACATTATTTACTAGAAATCAAAAGTAGAAACGAACTTGTATGGCTTGTACTTAGTTGTGGTCTTTTTTTCTGTGATTTGATTGATTGTTTTTTTTTTTTTGAGTATATAAAAGTTGGTTGGATTAGAAATTTTGCTGCCGCTTGAGAAAGTTCAGAGCAATCATCTTGAAAATGAGAATACAAATAAAATATAGCATATATTAATAAATGAGATCAAAATGCGCTTTTTTTGAACACTACTGAACGCATCAACTAAAATCTCAGCGAGAAATCTAAAATGATTCGTGGGATAAAAATGTAGGATAAATGGAATACTAATATTTTGCCACAAGAGCTACGATTTTTTTCAGTTGTAGTTTTTTTTTTTTTTATATATGATGCTAACCTTTGCCTCACACTGATCGGTGTTCATTTCGGCAATTAACTTTGCCATCTCACGCTCCGTATCCTCGAGTTTCTGTCGCAACTTTTCAATTTCCATCAACTGTTGCGTCTCCTTATTGAACAGCGATTTCTCCACCTCAGCGAGGCTCTTTGGCCCAGTCGGAGCACTGTGACACTGCTCCTGGTGAGCCCTCAGCGATGTGGACAGATTTGTGGCCAATGCCGTCGCCGATAATGTGGCATTGTAGAGTTCCTTATCGTTGTTGCGCCTGTTGCCATTTGCTGCGCTCGTCGCAGTTCCTAAAAAGGTGTTCGTAGGATTTGTTGCTTTAACTGACAGTTTAGTGGCAATGTGGCAAAGACAAAAACTAGCATAACAAAGTGTATTTACAGCAAAATAATAAACAAGTGATCATGTGACTAAGTTTCAGACTATCAAATATATGACAAAATATTCACGAACTACTCAAATGTTTTTTTTTTTTGTTTGTTTGTTTGCGTGGTTATGGCTGGTGAATTAGTAGACACTTATATAGTACATACATATAAAAAAAAGTACAACATTTAAGGATATATTTATATATGTGTGTAAATACAAAATCAAGTTTGAGCCTTAAGTTTGTTTAGCAGCTAAGCACACCAAATGAAGAGGACATATTTTAAAAACTCAACAGAGCCAACTCTCGCGTACTTAATGTACTTAATATATTCACACAAAATTGATCATTTTTAAAAAGAGAGTCTTGTAACAAAATCAAAAATAAATTCTATCTTACTTGTCTGATGTTCGCGCCAACCTTTAATTTGTGGTTTCGCAAAATGTCAATGCAGAAAAATACGAAAAAAAATACAAATGTGAACGATTTTTAGGTTAGTTTCTTTGATTATGAGTTAGGTACGTGTGTGCTGGAGTGTGTGTGAGTGTGTGCTTTGTATGTGCTTGGGTGTAAGAGTGTGTGTTCTTAAGGATGCAGTATGTCTAACTACAGGAAATCGTTCTATAACTCTATACAAAAATGTGATTCTATCTTTTATCTTAACTCACCCAATTTGGTGCCGCCCAAATCCTCCACTTGACTGTGATTCTGATGTCCAAAAACTTCTTGGCGGAAACTGGGATCTCCTGGAGCGGGTCCATATGGAGCATTTGGCACTTGCTTCTTAAACACAATCTATAATGCATTTCAGCTTATTAGTTATGGCACATCGAATTCAGATTATCAAAGCGGCCAAACCTTCATAATTGTATAGCCAAAGAAGACAACGATTCCAATGGTATACAGAGGCATTAGGAAACCCATGCTGCTTCCAGCTCTTTGCTGGGGCTGATGAAAGGCACCCGCTCCCATTGGTGGTCGCATGCCCGGAATCGGTCCAGGCTAAGTGAATTCAAATAAAAATCATTCATAAGTTAATTAATCAGTTCAGGTCTTTCAAAAACATATGGAAACAAAATGTTTACGATTTTCAAATTCTTCTTTTTACGAAATTTATGTTTGTTTTGCCTTCGGTTTGTAAACATTTATTCATATTTATTTAAATATGAAATATATTCCTAGGGAAAACATTAATTTTTGATTATAATTGGACAGGAATTATTTGTACGATCCATTTAAGATGGGATTTTTACAATTGACAAGCTATATTATGTAAAAAAACATGTGCATCAATTTGTAGAATATCGGAACCACATACATCCAATATAATGTCGAATCGTACAACAAATTGAGGCGCGGAAAGGTGGCGTATAACATTTGGCACAAGTTCAATATGAACAATATTTTTTTTATTTCTATTTATTTTCTTTTTTTCTATGTGCTCAACCCACTCTTCCCTTACAGTTTCTTTTGTATATTTTGTGTTTCGCCTGTCTTTTCGCCTTCAATTTGCGTGCAGTGTCATAAAAACAAAAAACCCAAATCCAAATAAACTAAACGTGTCTATTTATAGCAATTGGCCGATGTCTCATCCACAAACGTCCCAACTCGTCCATGCCCAATGCGAAATAATATAAAATGTTTGCCGACGCGTCTTTTCGTCGTCAATGGAAAATGAGCTGCAAATTTGAAGTCATAACTCACCCGGCCGTCGACGATCCGTGGCGGTGGATTACTCGGCGAAGTCTTGCGCTCTACAATTGGGACGGTGGGCGTGGCGGGTATTGCCCGCCCACGTTCACGCATCGCCTGATATATGGACTCCGGATGCAGGTGGGCTGGTCGTTCCTGACGCAGACCTATATGCGAAATATTTGAAATGCCAATTAAAGTTACAACGATTTGGGCTTTTCTACAAAACGGGATTTGGGGCAGTCTTTGACTGAAAGCAATTAGTAGTCGCTTGATTCTAATCAATTATAATAATGAGAACATTTGAAAAATTATATTTTTTCAAAAATGTCTGCTTCTGATTACGGAGAACACGTTTTTATTGCTGTTTATTTAAAAAATAAATACAACGATAGATATAAATTTACCAAAATGTGTGTAGATATTATTTAATTTATTTTTAAATGGAAACTGTATTGCAGAACATGATTTTAATATCTATAGAAAATCATGAATTTAAAATATTTATGGACAAATTATCTTTTCATTACCCGCGCATTTGGAATCTTAAAATAAATTTACAGTTATTATTTTCATTTTTTAATGCTTTAATTGCCACAAATTATAAATATAAACAATATCAGAATCAGCTCTAGTTCTATTCATCGAGCGACCACTGTAATTATGTGTAGAAACATATGCCAGAAAGCCACAGTTTAAAAAGTTGTTAGATTGGTTAGGTTTCTCAAGACAAAACGTGCCGTTAGTCAAATTGACAGAGTTAGTGGAAAGCGCATTTATAGATTAATTGATTGTAACGGTAACGGTTGCACAGTGGCGCCACCTACTTATTTCGCCTGTGTACAAATTGATCTGCTTGCGATACAAATGTGGACCAAACGGTTCGGGGCTCGGCTTTGAGGCATTCATAAACTCTTCCCGGTCAAGTACGACATCACAACAACCTGACCCCAGTGAGCAAGACAACACCAACACACACACATACACAATATTTAGACAATATTTAAATAATAAATAAATTTGATAAATTAATAAAAATAAATATGTGAAAAATGAAGGCCTCAACACTCACCGCCTGGTCCGCCACGCTGTTGCTGATCCTTAAAGTTTGGCTTGATTGGCGGCGCTGAGCCAAACATCATGGGATGGAATACCTTTGGCCATAAGATGGCAATGCAACCAACAACCGTTACGATCGCAATGATGCCCATTTTCTTTGGCGACATGCTCTCCTCCGTTCCGGTGCGATGCTTCCCCTTCCCCGCTGCTGCTGCCTGTTGTTGTGACATTGTTTTGGACATTTTTGCCGTTTCCTGGTTAAAGCTTCAATACTTAAGGCAACTCTCCGTTTGTGCTTGAACTCCAAGTTGAGAATTATTACGGTGTTTTAACTGATGCTGAATGATGTTGTTTGTTTTTGTTGTTTTGTTAGTTTTCTTTTTCGAATATTTGAGGTTAACTTTGGCGTAGGCGCATTTTTGTTACGTTTATTTATGCAATTTTCTTTATTAATAATTTCCTTGATGTTGCATTATCTGAAAAATAAATACACATATACATTTATACATATACATCTTCTGTATAATCCCTACACAAGTACAAATATGTATATATATTTATATATATATACATATATATACATATGTATGTATGGATATATTTAAAAATACATATGTTGTAACTCATTTGTAACTCAAAGAACACATCACTTTAAATGATCACAATTCACAGCGTATCTGAATATTGATGTTTTTAACAACAACAACAACAAGAACAACAATTTTTATTACATAAATAGCGGTCCCGATTATTTTATTTTTAGCGCTCACACTTTTCAGTCGTTTTGACTGGCTAATAATTTATTTTTTCCGTAAACCATAAGTGATTTTTTCACAATCAACCACAAGCACATTTAAGCAAATGGGGTAAAATAAGTAAAATAATAAAGCACAATTCTAATAATAATAAATGGAAATTATTGTGGTATCTGCATTTAATTTAAGCGAACTGCGAAACGACGAATGCTTACGCAAAGCTCCAATGTTGTTTCCGAACTGGCCAAGCAAATTTTTGAAACTATTAGCGAATTTTTAAAAACAGCACAACGACGACGACGCATTGCTGCTCGTTTTCTTGGGCCCAGTCGGCCATAATTTGAGCGTTTGTCTTTTATTTTTGCCGCTAGCGGCTGAAATCAAAAATATAATGAATGCGACAAAATAATTTGCAACAATTCGCCCTGCACTCGCCGCGCATATTCTGACGAACCCCGGTTCTGGTCCCCTGGTCCCGGATAATAAGCGCACGCGCTGATCACCATCATTTTGGGTGCGTCGGTATTTTCACCGAGTTATGTTATGTACATATATATGCTATGTACATTTGTTATTGTTTGTTGTCATACCATTTATCAGCATTTTCACGGTATGCTCTTTTCACTCTTTTGATGAGCATTGTTGCATATAAAAACTCATATAATCGTTCATGTATATAGCTATGTATATAGCATATACATCATAATGATGTTGTCCGGCGTCTCTCTAGCAATTTTCAATTCGCTTTCGTGCTCATTAACTGGCGAAAGTATTGAAAGTGCATTACACTCATACATATAACTTTTTTTTACTTTGTTTTACTTTACACAAGTCGCATGGCAAACAGATATATCTAAAAACACTGTGCCTTTTCCGATGGTCAACAAAATGAATATCATTCATTTTTCATGTCCAGCACTCAAATTAGTTTTATTTTTAGTGTCAGTGGCATTGTAACAATTCAATGTCGCACAGTTCACAAATGTTATTCATATTTTATTTATAAATACATATCTACAATTTTTGCAACGCTCGACTAGATACCGTTTTGTGCTGCGATTTTGTGAACGAACATATTTTGGTAATTTATGCGATGTACACTGAATATAGCAGCCAATTTATATCAACATTTACCATAATTTTGATTAAGTATTCGTCAACTCTTAAATGCTAAATTCAAACTACAAGTTTGTCGTTATGAAGTGGGTCGGAAAATCAATAGAATGCAGACAAATCTATTGGCTTACCGCCACAATCAATCGACAGTATAATCGATAGACAGCCAGTACTGTAAAACAACTAAACAATGTAAAGTAAGGTATTTGGCGGTAAATAAATTTATAATTAAGCTCATTAAGTTTTTAAAAATTCCATCATACTTTTAAGAATGTATATTTACTCGTTTTCAGCTGTGATAAATCGAATCATTCACCTCTCTAATGACATCTAACAAATTTGTATTTCTTAGATTCAATAAGCAAATAAGTAATTGTCACTGACAAAGCCAAAAGCACAAATTGTAACTAAATGCTCATGTTTTTGGTTCGACTGGGGCTTCTGAGTAAGTAACGCAGCCCTAGCATCTGCAATCACCCGGCTTAAATGTCAACGCGTGTTTAGTATATTTAAATTATTTAAATTACAAAGTAATAATTAATTAGTAAATTAATAAAAACAGGCATTAAAATAATTAAGTTAAAGTTCGAAATAGAAGGGTAAGTAAACAATATGGGAATCTCATATACACACAAATTTTGTGTTTGTGTTCCACATTAAAAACAGCTGTTCATGAGACTAGAGCTGTCATCGTGCGTTATGAAAAAATAAGGTGAACTGAAGGGCAACTCTGGTAGTGATGTTTTCTTTGTGTTATTGTAGACAAAAGTCAAAATAAAATTGCGAACTTAACAAAATAATCGAAAAATTGTTACATTTAGCCTGCAGTGAAAATTGCAATTGGCGCAAAAGAGACTAGCGTGTTAAAAGTTTAAAAACTGTAATTGACGCAAATCTAATGCGAGCTGTCGATTGGCGTCGCTCCAAATTGTCCAAATTTAACGTTGAGCCACAGACAGGGTTGGCCATTATGGGCGACGAGGCATGTGTGACCGTTGAGAAGGAGCTCGATCGCGTCGTCAGCAAGCTGGAGCAGCTCCACGAGATCGCCTCTGCCGAAATCGGAGATGTCGCATCGCTAATGTCGCAGCTGGTCAATGTGCTGGAGAATGCAGAGCAAATGTTGGTCACCACTCTAAATACTGGTACGCAAATGAATGCACCGGGTACACCTGGCAGCGTCGATGATCCCATGGGCGAGACTGTGAACATGCAGGTGGAGACAGAACCGTCAGCTCCACAACGTTTAACGGAAAGCCAAATGGAGATAATCCGCGATGCCATCTCCAAATGTAATGTGCGCGTCCAGAAACTATCGACGGAGCATCGGGACTCACATGGTGCCGTTTCAAAAATTGGCAAGGCCATCGATCGGAATTTCAACTCCGACTTCAGTTCGACGATGCGTGTGGATGCACTGCAGGATGAGGACAACTTAATGCTGCTCAATAAGGCGATTGCCAAGCATTATTGCCGCCAGGGCATGGACGAGGTGGCTCGCACCCTGATCAAGGAGTGCAAGATGAGCGACAACGATGCCCAGGATGTGTTCGACTCGGAGCGTGAGTTTGCCGAAATCTACAGCATCTGGATACAGATACAGAAGCGCGAACTCACCGAAGCCCTCAAATGGGCCATCCGTCACTCCACTCAGCTCTTGGAGCGTCATTCGCTCATGGAGTTTCGGCTGCATCGCATGCGTTTCATGCAGCTGGTCTCCAACGGTCTGGAGTCGCAGCACGATGCAATCGTGTATGCCAGGACCAATTTTCAGAAGTTTGCCAAACCGTATGAGCACGAGATTGCCAACTTGATGGCCAGCTTTATATATCTGCCGGGTGGCTTGGAGAAGACACCCTACAAGATCTTCTTGGCCCAGGAGATGTGGACGGAGCTATCGTTCACGTTCCTCAACGATGCTTGCCAACTGCTGGGCATCAGTAAAAACTCTGCCCTATCTGTGGTGGTCAATGCCGGCTGCACCGCTCTGCCCGCCCTGCTCAACATCAAGCAGGTGATGCAATCGCGCCAGGTGCTGGGCATGTGGAATGGATGCGATGAGCTGCCGATTGAGATTGATTTGCAGCCAGAGTTTCGGTTTCATTCGATCTTCGCATGTCCCATTCTGCGGCAGCAGACAACGGAGGACAATCCACCCAAGAAGCTGACATGCGGTCATGTCATCTCCAATGATGCCTTGCACAAACTGAGCAATGGGCACATCCTCAAGTGTCCCTATTGTCCTGTTGAGCAGAATGCCGAGGAGGCCGTTCGTATTTACTTTTAATATACACATACACCTAACACTAACCATGCATAGCCCATGAAAAATTACATCTTAAAATCATTATACAAATTATATTATCAGATTTAATAAAAATTGTGAGCCTGCCTCGAGGTTGAGCAGCAGTCAGCGGCTGATAATGTTGGTTTTTACTGTTTCCCACTGCGCCAGCTTCTTCCTTAATTCAGTTGGTTCTTTAGATAAATTTGGCAAGAATGAAACTAAAACGCATCTATAAACCCATTAGCTCTTAATAACATACGTATATTTAATAAATAAATAAACATTCATCTCAAAAGTGCGACGCCATTGTTTTAATGCGAATTTGCAATTTAAGAAAGCAGGAAATGAATGGCTTTCGCTCAAGAGTTGTGTCACCACTGTGCAGACACTTACAGCAGCGCACGCGTTCCACTGTGTGCTCGGCTTCTGCCGTTCAACCGGTTTCGGGTTATTTCTTTCGTTCGTGTCTCGCTGTCTCGAATTTTCAACGTGTTGCGTTTGCTTCTTGATTTCGTGTGTTTTTTTTTTTGTGATTGCAGTGCCTTTCAGACAGCTGATCTGAAACGGTGTTCATTATTGGAATCATTGAAGTGCTCTTTGCTCTTCTCTCTCTCTCTCTCTCTCTCTTTCTCTGTCCATCAACTTGTTTAGTGGGTGGCAACGAACTGTCGAAACTCTTTAGAATTCAAAACAATTGAATTATTTTACAACTCAATCAAATGAAAAACGTATTGGATGTCATGTCGTTGCAGCAGCACGTGGAAACGAGCAAAGCACAAAATATGAAGCCCATAGATTATCGGTGAGCAACGCTTCAACCAACTGAAGCAGCAGCAATTTCAATTTCAGTTTGTGAACACAAAATGTTACAGCAATTCGAGTAAACCTGGTCTGGTGCCACTCTACATCTTCGAGTGCGCCGCCAAGCTAAAGATGAAGCCACTGACTGCGGCCTGTGCAGCCATCGTTTATCATCGCTTCTTCAAGGAGGTCAAGTCGTCGGATTACGATGAGTTCGTGAGTATTGAGTTGATATCCTTCCTGTTTCCATAACTGAAATGTGTCGACTTCCCATTTCAGCTAATTGCCGCCTCGTCGCTGTATTTGGCTGGCAAAATCAAAGACGATGACAGTGTCAAAATTCGCGATGTCATCAATGTGGCATATGGCACACTGAATCGGGGCAGTGCGCCATTGGATCTGAATGATGAATATTGGGCCATGCGGGATGCCATTGTCCAGGCCGAGTTGCTCATAACACGCACATTGGGCTTTGATCTCAATATTGAGCTTGCGCACAAAGTAGGAAGCCGCAAGTTGTTACCAAATTTTCAAGCCGCTCTTTTTTTATTAATAATTCAACTTTCTCTTTCGTTTGGCAGTACTTGCTCTACTACATGAAGACACTACAAGATTGGATCGGTGCGGATGTGTGGAGCTCTGTGCCGATTGCCAAGACGGCTGCCTCGTACTTACAGGACTTTCACCACAGCCCAAATATCTTGAAATACAAGCCAACGCACGTGGCAATCGGTTGTCTGTCGCTGGCACTGCAAACATATGGCGTACAGGTTCCCCTGACCGACGAATCGGACGAGGCATCGATGTGGTATAAGCCACTGGTGAAGGACTTCACACGAGAGAATCAATGGGAGATTATTGAGGATGTCATTGAGGTCTATCGACACGAAGCATCATTAAATTCCACCTAAACCATACAGCTAACCAACCGACCAATTTTCATTAATAACGCTGAACTTTCCATTTTCATACAATTTTATTTATTTGTAGAAGCCATTTCAATTTATTGAATTACACTGAATATTATATACTTTATGAAAATACGCAGTATGAACTATTCAATGGCGATGTTTGTGCTTGTGCTTGTTGTTGTCCGAACGATGGCGAGCTGGCGGCGAGACGCTGCCTCGTCGAGCCGCACGCGAACTGTAACCGGAGGCAGGCACCGGAGATGGAGATCTACGTGATGATAAGCGACCACCTGGACGCGTAGCGTCTGAGTAGCGTTTGGGTGAATCTGATTGACTGCGTGAACGATTGCGCTTAACAGATCGGCTGCTGCGACTGCTGCTCTCCCCGCCACTGAATGGTGAATGGGAGCGTTTACGGCTGGTGCGCAGGCCGGGACTCGAACGGGAGCTGCTGCTGTAGTGGCCACCGAGAACATGTCGGCCCTCGGGACTCTCGCTGCGCTGTGAACTCCTCGACTTGGTGTTCATATAGCTCAGCGGCGAGTCCACAGATCCCACAGGTGAATTCTGTAAGATGGACATTTGTTTGAGTTGGTTCTAGCAAATAGTTTTTGTCCATTAGCTAGCTTACCCGCTTGAGCAAACGCTTGCGATGATATTCAACTTGCTCGGGCAGTGTCCAGCCGGATTCCAGACGGCGCTTGCCCGACTCAAGCTCATCCTGATACTGCATAACTTTCAGTTCGATTTCACGTAACTTTTGACGCTTCTCGTCATCGTATTTCTGTGAATTGTCATCATCGCTCTCCTCGTCCGAGCTGAAGAACTTGGGCGGATCCGGTGGATCCAATGTGTCCCATTTGCTAGTCGTAATGGCCTGTGCCTCAATTTGTGTGGGATCAACCGTTTCCCATTTGGATGGTATAAAGCCGGGCATTTTTGGATGCGACTTGCTGTCTGCGGCTTTCTGTACATGCTCCATGGGCACACCATCGAGATCATCATCCACTAAAAGGAGTCGAAACATGTATAACATATATAGATACGCATGGGAAATAGAGGCTTACTTGGAACACCATCGATTTCTTCAACATACTGCTCCCGCTTGGGTGTATCTCGCTGTTGAGCAGTGGCATCAGGTAGAGCTAGCTTCAGTGCACTCTTCAACAATGCAGCACCGTCCAACGGCACACCATCCAAATCTTCATCGTCTTTCTCCTCGCCCGACAGTGGTGCTCCATCTATGTCCTCATCGAGGGCCTCCTCGGAGCGTGACTCATCTGCCTGGACCGGTGAGGTTGCCTGTAGAGTAAACAAAATAAATGAATATGATATGGTTAGCTACAGCTGTAAACATACCGTTCGACCCAAGAATACCGCATGCAATTGGGATAAGAAATCCTTTGGGTAAATTGTCCACTCCTCCCAGGTGCGTATTACATTGCAAACTCGCGTCTTGAATCCCTCCGCCTTCAGGCGACTCTCTATACCCAAATAATAGGTATGCAAGCTCTCGAATATATCCAGCAATTGTTTCTCCACACTGTAAATAAATAAACCAGTTAAGGTCTGTGGCTCATCCAGCTTTCCGTGGTCAACTTACGATTTGCGAAAAAACGAAGCGTTCGACACCTTCACAGTGCAATTGTGTAGAATATCGGAAACAAGATATAGACGAGCGATCTTCTTGGAAGCGGGAGTCTTCAAATTTGCCAACGATTCGGCAATGCATTCGCAAATCTCGTCGGCGGCATCGGCATGCTCAATGCAAAATATCATTGCGTCGCCAATGCGAGCGCGCTCCGGTGTCAAATGTCGTATCAAGTCTTCGAGGCGATCACGTTGCCTGCCAGCCACAAGAAATCATTAAATCAATAAAAAACGTCAAGTTCATATATAGACAAATTTACGCATTAGATAAGGCACCCTTGTGCACAACGGGTGCATCGGGATCGACGACCAGCTCATCGGGCATTCCCTGCGTATAGAAATTGGCAATGGGCGGCGTCCACACGGGCCCATCCTTGAACATGCGAAACTGTTGCTCGCGCCACTCGCTCGGCGTGTCGCCCTGCAGCAGAGAGTAGAGCTTCCAGCGGTAATAAATGTGCGCCGGACTCTCGTTATCGAAGAGGAACGAGAAGAGTGGATTCTCCATCTCGCGGCTCATGATCAGCGCCTCAAACATGGGTCCTTCACGTATCACGAACTCGATCATGCGATGTATGATATTCAGCACTGATCTAAAATGCAAACATCCAAATTAAAACCAACAGCATTAAATTAAATCCAAGTGAATCATACTTTTCCGTCGGTATGAAGACTTTCACCACGGACTTGCCCAGAATCTGCCAATTAGAAAATTTTAAAACATATTCATTGACTTAGTTGGCAAAGGGACTTACCCGCTCCATGTTCTCTTTGTCCTCGATGGTATCGTAATCCTTGTAGTTCTTTTTGGGCAGCGTATTCGCCTCACTGGGCGGTGGCTGGGCATTGAAGGGCATACCCGATGGCGGCGGAGGCAGCGTCAACTCCAGCAGTGCCTGTGGCGCAAAGATCGGCGTATTCATAATTGGCACCGTCTTGCCCCAGCCCAGACGCATCTCATAACCCATGATGTAGCGACCGTTAAGGGTGCGCAGTGCACGCTCGGCATCTTTGCGGCTCATGTACGCCACGAAGCCACAATTGCGACCACGTTGCTTCTCCTCCTCGGAGCGGGGCCACATGATTTTGATGCTTGCCAGCGGACCATAGCGACCGAAAATTTCCATTAGTTGTTGCTCCGAGATCTTCGGATTTAGATTTCCCAAATACAGATTGGTTGTATTAGGATCACCCGTGTCAAAGGAACCACCATCTCGAGCACTGTTCGCCTGTTGCGAACTGCTCGATGAGGGTTGCTGTTGTTGTTGCTGCGTCTGCTGTTGTTGCTGCTGCTGGGAGGAAGAGGATGGCGCACTTGGCACCACCATATGCTTATACTTGTGCCGCTCCTCACGCTCCTCCTGTATTCTGTGGATGGCATACATAATGGAGATTATCTCTTTCATTTACAAATAACATTCTGCTTACTGTCTTAATTCCTCCTTGAACAGTTCCAAATTACTCTTTTTCTTCTCCTGGTTCTTCTTTTTCAATGGTGCCGGATCCTTTTTGAGATCGGAGGCCAAGAGTTTGGCATAATCTTCCGCCCTCTCGGAGGCACTCTTCTCAATCAGCTTGGAGCCCGGCTTGTACAGTTTGCCCTTCTCACTTTTATCCTCACGCCGGGAGCCCGCATCATAGGTACCGGCCTTAACCCACACCTTGGAGGAGGCAGTTGGCGCCTCCTGAAACGTCTCCACAAACTCCTTAAACGCCTGCACATTGAAAATACAGAATTGCTAATAACGAGTTTCAATTCATCAACATTTCCTCACTCACATGTGCCGCAGCTGCCTCATCTTCCTTCTTCTTTTGTTCTTCAATTTCTTTTTTGGACTAAAGGCAAGGTTTTTTGGAATTTGGTCAAATAAATTAATTAGGCGTTTCGCATAACTTACCAATTGCCGCTTGGAAAATGTGCCAACCGTAAAAGCCTCCAGCTTCTTGTCACTTATGCGCTGAATGGAGAAGATAGTTAAATACTTGGCAGTGGTTTGTATCTTGTTTGTTTACCTTCATTTTGAAAAGTTGTTGATTTCGTTTGATATTATGGTTTTTATTTATGTCTCACACATTCTCCCTGCATTTTGCTGCCGAACAACTTTTAGTCGATATTGTTTTAATGCAGACTGCAACCCTTGTGCGTCATGCAGAGCTGCTTGACAGTCTGCTGCAGAACAAATCGATATCATTTGATATAATCTATCGATGATTGATAGGAATATATCATCCCTAAATACAATTAAATTAACATTTTTTATACAGTAAAATAAGACTGTCAGATCTCATAAGCTGGCTGCAGCGCTTGCAACTTAATGATAAGCAATGGAACCGCAAGTATGTCGCCTGTGCCTGCGTGGTTGTGGTTCCCAGATGTGCCTTCAAATCTTTAATAGCGATGCAGGTGAAGCAGGTGCAACAGCAGCAGCGGGTAACGTGCCAAATGTTGCCGAAGTTCTGCGCCAGCACTTTTGGTTTGAGGTGAGCTGCACAAACACACACATACCCACACACCCACAAAATATATACATATATTATCGTTGCCTGTTTTACAGTTATTACCAAACGATGCCATATCGAAAGTGGTTTGCAATGTGTGCTGGACGCAAGTTTCGGAATTTCATCAGTTCTACGTATCCATCCAAGACGCACATGTGATTTATGCCAGTGCACCGAAATTCAAACAGGATCCGGATCCCGAAATTATGTGCACCCCATGGCCAGAGGAAGTTATGATGCCAGCAGAGGTGCTAACAATCGATGGCGATGTCAATAACGATGCCAGTAACAGCAACAATCCGCTCGATGAACTGGACGTCGAGATGTCCACGTATCAGACGGGCACAGAATCAGATAGTAAGCCGGACATTAAGCTGGAAAGACTGTCGCCAGATGACTATGTCAAGGACCAGGATGATGCGAATATGATTGTTACTCGCAGTGGCCGAAAGTGGAAGCGAGAAACGGACACCTATGAAAAGCTAAAGCCAGTCAAACTGAAGAAATCCCTGCAGTCGAAGGGTCATGACAAACGCAAGTTTCCAGCCAAGCGGATATTCAAGAAGCATCAATATCCACCGTTCTGCAAGGAGGATGAGGATCTAATCAAGCAATATATTGTTATGGGCTGTGAACTGTGCATTTTTCTGGCCGATGACTTCGATGGCATGCGGGATCATTTCAAGGATAAACATCCCAACGAACGACCCTACATCAAATGTTGCGGTCGAAAGCTAAGCAAACGTTGCCTTATCGTCGAGCATGCCAGACGTCACGAGAATCCAGAGTATATTAAGTATGCATCTTCTTCATATTTGATGCTATTTCCTTTGTGTATATTGTAGCCATGTCCATCTGTTAGTCTGTGTATTTTGAATCCAAACTATTCTCTCAAGAGCCAAATTCATCTCCTACGAGTGCAATTATCCCTCTATACCATCCAAGGTTAATCAGCACCGTTCTTCTAATAATTATATTCTTTGGTTTCAGGTGTGACGACTGCGGCAAAGTGTTTGCCAATTCGAGTGTGCTGCGCGCCCATTGGCTGGTACACCATGTGCCGGACGAGGAATGCGACTTTCAGTGCGAGGAGTGTGGCAAGCGATTCTCTCGCCAGAATCTCCTGGAGCTGCACAAAGGCTCGCATGTGCCGGTCAGCGAGCGCAAGTTCATCTGTCAGGAGTGCCCCAAACATAATGCGTACGTCTAACTACATTAATATCTATAGCATTTAGCAACGATTATTATACAAGGTATTATACAAAATGTATTTACAGCTTTGCTACAGAATATCACATGCAGGTGCATGTTAGCATGCAGCATCGGAAGGCGGCAAATGTGTGTCATGTATGTGGCAAGGAAATCAAGGACAAGGCGGTCTTTGAGAAACATGTGCGACTGCACTTTGAGGAGAGTGGACCACGCATTAAATGCCCTCGTCCCGATTGTGAGAGCTGGCTTAAGGATGAGGATAATTTGAAGCAGCATTTGAGGCGCCACAATGACGAGGGCAAAACGTTCATTTGTAGCGAGTGTGGCAAGAGTTGCAAGAATTCACGTGCTCTTATCGGACACAAGCGCTACTCGCACTCGAACACAGTCTATCCGTGCGAGCAGTGCGGCAAGACCTTCAAAAAGGATATCAGCCTTAAGGTGACTAAATTTTATTTGTATACTATTAAAATTTATAATTACCAATAATAATTTACGATTTCAGGAACACATGGCACAGCACACGGGCGAGCCACTCTATAAGTGTATCTTCTGTACGAGGACATTCAACTCAAATGCTAATATGCATTCGCACAAGAAACGAATGCATCCAAGTGAATGGGATCACTGGCGTAAAACGAAAACGGGCAGCTCGCAGAAGATGCTCCCCAGCGCTCAGGTCTCACAAATGCTGAGGGAGGATTCGGATCCGTTTGCCATTCCAAATACATCCAACGTATTTTAGAATATAGTTATCCCTCACTTATTGTATATACATTTTTCTGAAATATTTAAATAAAATGTACATGCATACATAAATCTAAATGTGTTTAATGCAATTGGGTGGAGATGAGAACTGAGTTTTCCAAACTTGACTCAAAAAATAAATTTTTAAAGCATACTTTTGGGGTAAATCAGCCAGGACAATTGCTTTGCAGGAGAATAGCTCAGGCTCATCCAAATTCTTACAGATTTTCGAAGGACAAGGAGATTAAGATCTAGATAGGACCTACTCTATCGAACTGCATTCAATGATTATTAACGACCAACTTAGAACAAATTTTTACATTTTTCTCCATTTTTTTGTATATTTTTTGTATACATTTTCGCAAATATTTTTGTCGAATTCTGGAATCTTTGAATGTAGATCGATAGATTTTGCTCTTGTGCGCTCAAAAATATGTGTCCTTTCAAGAAAATAAATTATTGCCAACCAAATTGCACCTAATCAAAAAATGCGGCATACTTTTAGGGAAAACTGAAAAAAAGCCTTTATTTTGATCATTTCTTTGCTGTCAATAAGAACAAATCAATTATGTTTTGTTTGACGAAATCATTTATTCAGAAATATTTTATATGGTAAATTTCAAAAATCAAATTGTTATTGTTATCATCGCATTAATTAAAACTATTATGAAAATAATAATAACATTTATAATTACGCTATTATCTATGCATATTACAAATAACAATAACCAATGATTGCTATACAATCATATGATAAGTAATCGTACTGTTTATTTTATTAGAATTGTTATCGATAAGCTTTCTGCATATATCGATGAATCCACAGCAAGTCTTCATCGAAAGTTGTGACGTATCGTACGCAACCTTAGACCACTTAAGACACTTGATACAAGCAGCAACGTCAACAACATTAAAATGAATGTAAGCTAAAACATATCACATTTTTACCATAAATAAAGTATCCATAATGTGGAGCCTTATGTGTACGACATTCAAATGATTTTTTTTACCCAAAAACCAGGAATCGGAGATACCCATAGATATCCACACGCTGAAGCTGCAGGATTGGCTCATCAGCAGACGGATTGTGCCCAAAAACATCCAGGCACCAATCAAGGATATACATTCAAGGATCAGAAAGGCCCTGCAAGATATGCCAGCCAACGATCAACTAATCAAACTCTTGTCCGGATCCAGTAAGTGCTCCCCAGATGGATGTACATTTGAGATTACAACTAAAGGTCGTATTATTTTGCAGATATAAACTATTTGCATGTGAAGGAGATCATCGAGATCTTGAAGCAGACGGAAAAGGATACGAAGAGCGTGTTCGGTACCTATGGCAGTCAGCGCATGAAAGACTGGCAGGAGATATGTCGCCTGTATGAGAAGAATGCCACATATCTGGCGGAGACGGCGCAAATCTTCGTGAGGAATGTTAACTATGAAATTCCCGGCGTGCGCAAACAAATGATCAAATTGGAACAGCAGACGGATGAGTGCCTGAAGCGTGCCAATGATATGCACAAGCCAGAGGCTCAACTTCTGGCCGAGCATGCTGCTCTGCTGGAACAGCTGGGCGTCAAGGGCGAAAATCTACATGCTGAATTTGTTGAGGTGCTTGGGGGCCTGCAGAATCTATATGCCAAATCCTTGCAGAACATTGGCCGAGTGCAGGCTGGCATCGATCTCTATGCCGAGGTCAGCGGGCAGCAACAATGCCTGCCCATACTCCGGCATTTGGTGGAGCATGGCAACACAACCGTTTATCAGTACATTCATAAAGAGGCGCCACTTGCGATTGAGGAGCCTGAGCTGCGTTTAAGCATCAGCGGATCCAGCAGCAGTAAGGATGGCAACGAAGGCAACGAAATCGACTTTGGCACTGATGACAATGGTGGCACATCATCCACTGTTTCGGCGGAGATTATCGACTATGGTGATTTCCCGGAAGCAGATGGTGGCAACATAGATTGGGGCATCGAAAGTGCACCCACAGATGCTGTCGAAATCAATTTCGATATACCCGTCGAGGAATACGGCATTGTTGTCGAGGGCACCGGCATGGATGGTGGCACTGCCAAAGGTTGGCATTAACTTGCTAATCATCCCATTAGCATTTACTAATTACTGACTTCTTCCTTTAGGTGATCAGGCCTATACGCTGCTGGACTCGCCCAACTATCGCGATCGTTTTCTGGACGAAATCCACGAACTGGAGGCATTCCTGCTCATGCGCCTCTACGAGCTTAAGCATTTGGAGTCGTCGAACAACATAATGTTCTCTCTGATGGACAGCATTGCGACGCACGACAGCGAGACCATTGGCAAAATATTGAGCGACGTGGAGAAGATCATTCAACAGGAGTCCGATGAGCAGACACGTCATCTATTCCAGCTGAAACATTCACCCAAATATGCCGATCTGCTGGCCAGCAAGCTGCAGCAGATGACAAAAGCCGTGGAGAAGCTGCGCAACACGCGCGATGTCCTCAAGAAGCGTTCCGTGGAAATTCGCGAGCAGCGTTCGAAATTGAATCCCGTCCTGGATGAACTTATAGCACAGACCCGCAATCTGCAATCGTACATCGAGAAGGATATATCCAAACGCTATAAGAATCGTGTGGTGAATCTTATAGGCGGTGTTAACTAGATATTTTTAAAGATGTATTTAAATTGTTTATCAAGGGAAACGTATGGAAAAGTGCAAATAAATTGTTGAACATATTAACAAAAAATAAATTTGTTTGCTTAGAAGTACAGTGGGTAATGGCTAAATTGAATCTTAGACTCTAAAGGAAATCGAATGGTTTGTTTTAAAAGAATTTTATTTATTTTTATTTTGCTATTTTTATTAAATATACAAATTTTATTTATATTTTTTGTGTTTTAATTGTTTTTATTCCTTTTTTTGTTTTGTTTTTGTTTTTGCTTTTGTTTTTGCTTTTGCATTTGCTTTGTTTGTTGCTTATTATTGTATCCAGAATACAAATTTAATTTAATGTAGTTGTTGGTTGCTTTTTTGTTCATAAAAGTAGCCTTACACTTGTATCGTTTTAAACTTTCTTTCACTTATGTAATGTTTTTCTTAGCTGAATTGAATACACAATTTGTAAACAATAACAACACTATAATTAATATGTTTATGATAAGAACTTAAGGGGTCTGAAATAGGGGGCTGGTTAAGGAAAAATACATACATACCAATCAATAATAAACATATTTAGTTGCGTTTGGAAGCGAAGGAAGTAAGGAGATTTAAAAGGTTTGCTTAAATCGCATATATATATCTATCTGCATATACATATATATAGATATATATATATATAAAGTTAAAAACAAATACATACACGCACATACGACGGGGTAAACGAGACTGAGACACGGGGGAGCAGGGCATACCATATTATAATTGCAGCATGCTTGATTTAATAATAATTACAGAAGTTTTGGGTGTAAAAAGCCACAAAATGGGTATACATACAAGATATAGATATATATATATCTATATACATATCAACTAGACTTAGGCACTAATCTAACAAAAATGTGGCGCTACAATTAAGAGGGCTCCATCGGCATATTGGGGGATCATGTTAATAAAATATGTATGTATGTATTTATTATGTATGTATGTATAATCATTGATTGTTCAACTAAATAGAAAATAACAAGCAGTATCCAAATTATAAGTGTTTCATTTATATATAGATAATTAATGTTGTTTTCGTCACGTCACCGCAAAGGGCCTCATTGATATGGTTGTGTCTGGGTCACGATCTGGCCATCAACTTTACTATATATACATATACATATATATATGCTATTATGTGATGCAGGCCCCAAGCATTAATTCTTTGAAAATAAATCTACAATCCGTTGCGACTTATATGTGGATACATTGTATGCGTATGTATTGTATGTATATATATATATATATATATATATATATATTTATATGTAAATGTTGCTTTGATTATATATCAACAACGTACGTATTTGTGTCCATCTCAATTTGTTTTAAAGTTAAAGTAAGCATAAACTATGTAGCAAAAATTTGTTCGAAAGTTGCTTATTGGTTTGTTGTTGGTTGGTTTGTTTGTTGTGGTCTGTCGTTACTGTTAGTTAGTACATGCTTACAGGCTACATATTTTTATTACATTTCATTTACGTAATTATTTATAGTGTTTTATTCCATTTTGTTTGTTTTAGCTTACACGCTACTATTTATATATATTTATATATGTCTGTAGTCATGTTGTTGTTGTTTTTGTTGTTGTCGCTGTTGTTTTACTCTTTATATTTGATTTAATGTGAGTGTTTGAATTCAGTTTATTGCATGTATACAAGGTGTATCATAGCGATCGGTCGGAGTAGATAAAACTGAGCATCGAAACCCCCAAGATCTTCAGAAGTTATTGCTCTATGAATTTTGCATAACATTTTGTTATTAATTTTTTTTATTGGTAAAAACCCTATCTTATCCTCTTTGTTTTCTTATCTACACAAGCACTTTTCTCGCTGCTGAAATTCTGACATCCTGATATCCTCCACACTTAACAGACTAAACAAAATGTGTATTATATAATTTCCTTTTATAATAATTTTTTTTCTTTTTTGTTTTTTTTTTGCGTTTTTTGTGAATGCTTTTCAATGAAAAACATCGCCTCTCTTGGCGCCTAAACTTGCTGCTGGTGCTGGCCACCAGCGCGTATGATTATGATTATGATTATTATGCGCGTAGTGGTTGTGGTGGTGGTGGTGGTGCTGCTGCTGCTGCTGATGATGATGCTGGTTGTGTTGTTGTTGTTGTTGCAGGTGGTGCTGTTGCTGTTGCCCTTGCGCACCACCCAGCGCCGGCTACTTTGGTTGTCAATCGTTCTTCACTGGATAGTAGATTAGATCGGGCTGCTGTTGCTGCATATGATGCATATAGTCATTGATTGGCGGCAACACAGACTTGCTATCATCGCCCAGCATGGGATAGCCACCAACACCCACTCCAACACCCACACCCACTGGTGGCGCTGTACGCTCATAGACGCTGCCATGCGGCGGTGGCGGTGGCAACAAGTGTGTGGCGCCCGCCAACGAATGCAACGGCTGCTGTTGCAGTCCATGCGGATGCGGATGTGGATGCGGGTGTGGATGCGCATGTGGATGATATGGCTGGAAGCTATTGTGCTTCTGCTGTTCGCTGACTAGCTGCTGCTGCTGCTGCTCGCTCAGCGCACTGTGGTTGTGATTGTGATGCTGTTGCTGCTCGTAGTAAACGTTGCCCGCTGGTACTCCGTGCCGCATTAGACCAGCACCGTAAGCAGCACCAGCATTGTGATGTTGTTGAGCCGCCTGCTGTTGCTGCGACTGCTGTGGTTGCTGCTGCTGTTGCTGGGGTTGTTGTTGCTGCTGCTGCGATTGTGGCATTAAATCAAAGTTGTACTCCAAAGGCGTGGGATTCGTATCGATGAGATTCGTCAGAATGCTGCCAATATTATTGTAGTTGTGTGGATCTCCCGGCCCCACTTGATTCACCTGCGGCGCTGCTGTTGGCGGCTGTTGCTGCTGCTGTTGTTGCTGCTGTTGCTGCGGCTGTTGCTGCGGCCACATGTGCTGGAAGCCCAATAGATCGCCAGCTAAGGCGGGATCTTGTGGCGCCTGTTGCTGCTGCTGCTGCGGCTTGTTGCCGACGACAACAGCGGCTTGCTGCTGAGTGGGCGGCGCTGTTGCGCCCACGTTCATTGGAAGCCCGAGAAACTCGGTCGAGTCAACAATGTAGAACTTGTTGTCCTTCAGCTCGACCGGCTGCGTATTTGGTGCCCCGCCAAAGCCCATGTTGCCCCATGAGTCAGTCGCTTGCTGTTGTTGTTGTTGCTGCTGCTGTTGCAAGAATTGCTGTTGTGTTGCTGACGCAGCGGCCGATGGCGACGGCTGTGGCTGTGGAGATTGCAAGCGTGAGTGTTGCGGATGCTGCGGCGAATGACTGTGACGATGCTGCTGCAACAGCAACTGATGCTGGTGATGCATTGGTGGCATGTGATGCGGCGAGCTAAAGTGTTGCTGTTGCTGCTGCTGTTGCAACTGCTGTGCCTGATGCGGATGTGCATGCGCATGTGGATGTGGATGCGGATGTGGACTCTGTGGCGTGTGGCTGCGCATATGCTGTTGCTGCTGCTGCGGTGGCTGTGGCTGCGGCGGCTGCTGTTGTTGTTGCGGTTGTTGCGCTTGCTGCTGCTGCTGTTGTTGTTGCTGTTGATACTGATTCAAGACCTGATGCTGCTGATAGCCGACAGCTGGATTGCCGGTGGGCTCAAAGTGAAACTGGCTCTCCGGCCCACCAAAGCTGTTCATCCGCTGCAGATGCAGTTCCGGCGTGCTGTTGTTTGGCGTATGCGGCGTATGGCGATGATGCGGCGGCTGCTGCTGTTGCTGCTGTGCAGTGGGCAACGCTTGCTGTTGTTGTTGCTGTTGCGTTGGTGGTGGCGTTGCTGCCGCATGTTGCTGCTGCTGCTGCTGATGTTGATGCAACGCATTTTGCTGCTGCTGCTGCTGCTGTTGTTGCTGCGTCGGAGGCTGCTGCTGCTGCTGTTGCAACTTGTCCGCACTAAAGCTCTGATTGTACATGGAATTCTGCTGAGATTCGCTCGTGGAGACCGAGTGCTGTGACGTGGATGCCGTCGATGATTGCGAACTGTTGCTGCTCACAATGGCGGCATTAAACGGATCCTGCTGCGAGCAGCCCGGCGTCGTCGACAATGGTGGCGGCGGTGTTGGCGTGGCACCCACACTACCACCCTTCCCAACGCCCGACTGCATCTGCTGTTGCTGCTGCTGTTGTTGCTGCTGTTGCTGCTGCTGTGTGGCGGCTGCAGCTGCCGTACCTGCTTGTGACTTTGCCTTGCTGACCGCTGACTTTTTGCTAGCCTTCACCGGCGGCGGCCCTGGCATATCAGGCAGTGGCAACATATCTACAATATCAACAGAGATGAATAGTTTACAAAATGTGCAGGATTTGAGGATGCATCTCGGCACTTACCCTCTTCGTTGGCCTTGGGGAAACGCTGTTTGCCCTTTTTGGGTGGCGGCGGCTGATTCCCATGCATTGTCTGTTTGTGACGCACCAAATGCGTCTTCCACTTGAAAGTCTGCATAATAAAAATATTAGAATAAGGAATAGTGATTACAGAATTTAAATGTATTAATTTGTATACACATCTGGACAGTGAAATAGGTGTGGAGACAATATTTTGGTGGCTTTATTAGTTAATTTAACATATATAACTACAATGAATATATTCAAATCTTAGCTGTCTTCATTTTATGCAACTCGCACCTGTTTCACTCTCAACTTACTAATTAATATATTGTATTTTGGACATGATATTCAAAAGATTCTGCACAACTATTTTACTGCCCATATGTGTATATAATTATTTCATCACACAGGATGCAAGATTTTTTGATTTACCTGATCGCAGTGATTGCAGCAATGCGGCCGCTCCTCCGAGTGCGATGGCAAATGGCGTTGCAGTGACTTGGCCGAGCCAAATCTCTTGCCACATAGGGTGCACTTGCACTCGGAGACATCGACGTGGGCGTTGCTGTAGTGCTCCTTGAGTGCGGGATATGTAAAATAGGAGGAGCCGCACATATCGCACACATACGTGCGCTTCACCTCTGTGTGCAGCTGCACATGCCGCTCCAGATTGGCCTTGAGCGTGAAACGATTCTGGCAAATGTGGCACTCAAAGAAATTGTCACGCTTGTGCACCCGTATGATGTGCTGATAGAGGGCATTCTTCGAGGGGAACTCGGCGCCGCAAACCTCGCAGATGGCGCCATCAGCCTTGTGGCCGGTCTCCTCAAAGTGCTGCTGCAGCTTCTTCTGCGACAACTTCAGGCCGCACTCGCCGCACGGAAAGACTGCAAATCCAGATACAAAATTGAGCATTAGTTGCAAAGCTTTAGTTGATTACAAAAATACAAGAATCAAATAAAAAGAAAATGCGCATTCGCCTGCCGGTAGCTTTGGTGAAATTTACATTCGGCTCGACTCACTTTTGAAATCCTTCTTGTGCGACTCCACATGGGCATGGAACTGCTGTCGACGCGAATAGGATTCGCCGCAGGTCTCGCACACAAACGGAAACTCCTTCACATGCATTGTCCGATTGTGCTGAATTATCTCCTGCAATAACATGAAATATAATATTAGTTAATGATTTATGATTCAAAGTTGCGTTTTATCTTACCTCCAGGGTGTTGCCATTGGGCTGGCCACAGTCGTGACAGTAGCCGGGATGCATCTTATAGTGATCCAGCAGCGATTTGCGCTTCCGATATGACTTGGGGCACAGCAGACAATTATAGCTGGGCTTGTCCTTTTTACTGCCTCCGGGCGTATGGCTGCCGCCGAGCTGGGAGGGTGGCGCTTGCAGGGAGGTGCTGCTGCTGCTGCCGCCATCGATGAGCTGCTGCTTGGCCGCATCCAGCTCGTCAATCTCATTGTCCAGGTCATCGTCATCCTCCTCGCCGGACAACTCATTGTCGTCCAGCTCCAGCGATGAGTTCAGCTGCGATGATCCACCGATGCTCCCCGCTGCACCCAAATGCGTCGTTGGCTGCGACTGCGAGTGTGGATGTGACTGGGGATGTGGATGTGGATGTGGATGTGGATGCGGATGCGGATGCAGATGCGACTGACGATTGTTCATCAGCTGGGCATGCTGATGCTGGGGAAATGGGCTCTGTTGCTGCTGCTGCTGCTGATGCATTTGCATTTGCATCATTTGCTCAATGATGGGCGGCATTGAGAGCGGATTATTGCTTGAATTATAATGATTCTGGTTCTGATTCTGAGTCTGGTTCTGCGATTCGTTCTGCAGCTGAATCTCAGTGCCAGCCATCAGCTGTGTTGTCGCCGACATCGCAACGCCATCGATGCCATATCCGCTCCTCATTGGTGGCATCGATAATTGTTGCGATTGCGGCTGCATCTGCGCCTGATGATCCCGTTCCCGATCCCGATCCGTATGCGGCCCGGACTGCTTCGAGGGATGGTCAGGCGCCAGTTGCTGCTGTGGATTGAGCGCATTGTTGCTCTTGTTACAATTAATGTTGTTGCTGTGCATATTGCTTGACGTAAGGCCATTGATCACAAGATTTCCACCACTACTGCTGCTGTTGCTGCTGCTGTTGATTTAAATGTCAAATATTTGTATAATTGAATTCTTCAATCTAATAAAATAAACAATTAAGCTAATGTTCTCTAGTTGAGCGTTCTACGCAGGATATCATTTAACTAGGTCTAATGATTTACTACAAATTAGCGTGTTCTTTTTTCTGAGTGTACACAAAATACATAATTTACTTGAGGAAATTAATTATAAATAAAAAAATGGAATCGTCGACTAGAGAACTCTTTGGGTGCTTAAATGTTCATTTCAGTGGGTTAAACTTACAGATGGTGCGAATGAAGCTGCTGCCCATGGCTGGTGTCCATGAGGAGGGAGGCGATGCCGTTGTCATGAACGGCGCTGCTGTTGCTATTGCTGTTCCCGCTGCCGCTGCAGGTGCCCGTTACGCTGCCCAATCCACTGCCGGCGCCGTCACCGACGTCGCCGCCGCTGCCACCGGCACCCGCCAGCATCATCTCATCTATTTCCGGCTCCATTTCGAGCCCATCGATGAGACGACCTGCGCCTACACCATCATCAATGAACTCCTCAAACTTCATAATCTCCTGCGCCGCTGACGATAGCTGCGATTCCGTTTCCGACTCCAGCTCTGAGTCACCAAACGAAATGGATCTCAGCTGGTGATCTGGCTGCAGTTGCAACGGTGACACTGCCACATCCAATTGCTGTTCCAACTGCTGCTGCTGCTGCTGATGCTGGCTGTGCTTTTGCTTTTCCAGCTCCAGCAGCTGCTGCTGCTGCTGCTCCTGCTGCTGTTCCAGCGCTAGACGGGCAGCAACTGTTGCTGCTGCCGTTTCCTTTGCTGCTGCTGCTGCGGCCGCTTCCTCTGCTGCTGCAGCTGCAGCTGCCTCGGCAACAGTTTTCGCCAACAGTTTGCGTTCACGTTGCCGTCGCCACTCATCCAGGCGCTGTTCGCGGAGCTCCTTTAGCACCCGTGTCGAGGGCGTGGTGCCCAGCAACCGGCCGGTGATCACAAAATTCTCATAGAACTGCTTAAGGAACGGCTTGTGATGCTGACTCAGTGCCAGACGCAACAGCAGGCGAAACTGTGCCTTGAATGCCCGTTCGCTGAACTCGCCGCTGCTGTGATGATAGCGCAAAGTGTATTGGTTGTCCTCGTGGAACACATAGCCATCGCCAAGACGTGTGGAACGTGTGGACAGCAGGTGGACAGATGGTGAGATGATATTGCTGCTGTTGCTGCTGCAGCTACTGTTGCTAATGTGATTGCTGTTGTTGCTGCGCTTTCGTTTCGCTAGCTTTTGTTGACGTCGCACCGAGAGCAGCTCATCCGCCTCGTGCTCCGCCGCCTGCTCGTGCTCCTCCTCGTCATCGTCGTCTTCGTCATCATCAGCGAATGTCGCCGCATAACTTCGCTTCACCGTGTGTATCAGATCGAGTGGATCATCACTGGTGTTTAGCAGAGCTTGGCCGGCATCTCGTCGTCCGTCAATTCCGGCATTCACATTGTTGTTGCGATGATAGTGATGCAGTCCATGTTTACCAATGGAAGATGAGTTCTCTTCGGTGTCGACATCCGCGTCGGCATCGTCATCAGCATCAGCATCGGCCACATCATTATCGACGAAATCATCCTCCTCGTCGAGGCACATAAACTCCTCCTTGCAGAGAATTTTCTCAAAGTTTTGATTTAAATCGATCGCGGATGCTTCATCCTCGTTCTCTAGCTTGATTTTCACAACCCCGATTCCAGTGCCCGGTTCCGTCTTCTCCTTCTTCATGGCGGTGGCAGCAAGCAGCAGCTGCAACTGTTCGCTCTTCGCTAGCTGCACACCGACCTTCTCCTTCTGCTCCTCATCCACCTCCATCTCCGCACCGGCGCCATTGTCAGTCGTCGGCTTGTTGTGACTACTGTTAACGTACAGACTCCTGACGACTCTGTCGCAGGTCTCTGGATATTTGCACTTAAGCGTTTGCAGCAGAAACTTAATTGCATCGCACCGCGACGCTGCGTTCAGACTGTCCAGTAGATTCACTGACTGATCCACCTGCAAAGATAAGAAACGAATATTGTGTTAGCCAGTGTTAAAGTTGTTAGGGAAATCCAGTTTTGTTCGGGGGCTTTTCCATTCGATTTTTAATTTTGTTTAGACATAAATCCGAATATGAGTCATGTTTAAAATGCAGCTTAATTTGCTACAGCATAAATAAAAGTAGGTGTCACATTAAAATAGACTTTTCTATTCGTTTAGGAAATCGCCAAAAAAAGATTAGATTATAAATGCAATTGAATTTTAGATATTTAATCAAATCATTTTCATCATCCTGTTCATATTATAAACTCTTTCCAAATTTAATCAAAAATTTCTTTTAGATAATTTACTAGAATTTCTAAATAGAATAAGTCAGATTTATAATCTAACTGTGAATGCGAATAAGAATTGGAATTGGGTTGGAATTTGGTTTGAAAGAGATTTCCGTGACACCATCGACTAAACTGGTTTTTTCGTATCGATTTTCTGACTGTCTTTAAAGCGGGAATTAATGTATATAAATATATATATATATATATATATGTATAATCAAATATATGTCCACAAGATACTTGAACTCTATGTGAATGTTAACCAGTTATTTCAAATGTGAATTGATAGTTTTTTCTCTTTTATTTCAATAGTGACTCGGGCAGATTTCCAGGTGCGGCAGCTTGTTGACCATCTCAATTAAATGTTAATTACAATTTCGCGTTGAAAAAAATGACCAACTTCCGCTAGATTGCCCCAATTTGTTACCACAACGAATGAGGATGATAACTAAGAGAGCTATAGCTTTGCCACGTGGTCAAATTAATTAAACGCTCCAATTAAATCAAGTAATTATGTGCATTTACTTATGTAATGTAATTTAATATATGTTTGTTTTTCATTCCAATTAAATTGAACAGAGATAAAACACACACACACACACGCGCATATACACATGTTCTCTCAAAAAACTGTCATTAAATGCAATTACTGATTATGATTTTCCAAACAATTTAATGCAATTAGAGCGGGAAGAGCGCGCGCTCTGCTCAGCTCAGCTTCAGTCGACGTCAGCGTCGACTTCAGTGAAACCCGTCAGCAGACAGCGCGGCGACAGCGACATCAACAGCGCTGCCAACGCAAACGATTAGCGCACAGCACAACAACAGCATAGCGAAAAGGAAGATGGCAAAGGCAAAACGTGTATAAAAAATAGCAGGAAAAATAAAAACAGACTACATATATACAGACACACATATACACATACATATACAATAATAATAAAAATAAAAAAAATAGCTCGCTGCCAGCGTCGATGGCAGCAACGAAAAGGGGAAGCAAAGAAATTAAAACAGCGCACAATTTGTGCTACTTTTTCCCCATTCCACATTGTTGCCATCTCTTCTCTGTGTATATTATGTACACATTGTATGTATGTATGTGTGCGGCGTATGTTTATATTTATGTGAGTCTGTGTGTGTGTGTGTGTGTGTGTGTGTGTGTATGCGTGCGTTAAAGCTGCGAGTCAACAAATTATTGTAGTTGTAGTTGTAAAAACATGATGGCGCTCTCTAAATTGCTCTCCCACAACCCACCCACTGGCTGACATTTGTTTTGAGAGAGCGAGGGAGAAAGAGAAGGCATGAAATATATATATATATATATATATGTGTGTATGGGGCTAGAGGGAGAGTAAGTGAGCGGCAAACTGAGAAGATGGAGGTTTGAACGGGATGGGGACAACGGCACTGAGCAACACAACTCGGAGCCCCGCTGGCAATTTTTAAATACATATTATTTTAGCAGCAGTATTAAATTAATTCGATGTTTATCAAATTGCGAGAACTAATTACGAGCGAGTTCAGAAAAAAAGGAATCGAGTTTAATTTAAAATGAAGGAATATTTAAACTATGTAGATATGTGTATTTTTGTATGTTTAGCTGTAAAACAACTTATTTATTATTTATTGCCTCGTCAAATGTTTATTTTTCCCAAAGCCCCGTTGTGTTTATTATTTAAGCAGCATTAAAAGAACAAGCAAAAAATGGAATAACTGCTTCTGAAATGTTTTAATTAGGAATTAATAAAATATTTCTGTCGGGGTGGCAATATTCTCTCTCTCTCTCTCTCTCTTTGCATTGTGCTCGTATTGGACATTTGGACAGTGTTGCCAAATTTTAATTTGTCCACGTGCGTTTGAGTACGCATTACAGTGTTGCTATGTGCTTAACAATATGCATCTTAAACAGAGGAAAAGAGAGCGACAAAGAGAGCGAGAGACAAGGATTAAGAAAAATATTTAATAATTAAAAAACACATTTATATGCAATTTAAACCGGTTCTTCGATTTTAGTTTGACTAATATCTATTTTTAAATACCTGTTACTGTGAATAGCTTGAAATTTAATTACTTTAGCTAACAAGGGATTCTTTTCTTAAAATACAAAAATAAAAAAAATTTGCATGTAAAAAGTTCTTTAAATAACTTTGAATCCAATTGAGCACAGCAACTACAAAAGATATGTAGTGAGAGTGCACGAGTATGTGTTAGTGCATGTATATTTAGTATACACATACATTAAAATATATGTATGTATGTACAAATATTTGAACATAGGCACAAAGGCTTAAAATCTCTATGCGACACAACAACAAAAGAAACATGTACAGAAATTTTTGTTTGTGTTCTTTTGTCTTACACAAAATTTATGGGCCTTTCGATCTTTGTTTCCTCCTTTTATCGCATTTAAGTAGTAACACGAAGCTCAAAGCACTGGCATTTGCTACGAAACTAAATTTTAGCTTTTATCGGGTGTGTGTGTGTGTGTGGGATGGAGGGGGGAATGGGGGTGGGTGCCGGTCATTTATCAAGATACGTTGTAAAGAATGGGATTTACCGTATGTGCATACGTAAATCTAACTACACTGAGAGAACAAAACATGAATTACAGTAAACATTAAATAATTCATATTAGGGTATGTAATAACCAATTGTTTTTATGTACACGTTTAATTTTTAATACAATGTATTTGGTCTTGATTTATTGGACTTAGCTGCTGCTGCTTCTTCTTCATTATCTGCTAGTTCATTTTAATAAATTGTTATATATCTGTTCAACATACGCACAAACACAAAAACGGCAACGCAACAGGGGAAGAGAGATACAATAGAAAGAGAGTGACAGCACACTCACATACAGATATACATACTTAGAGGTGTATTTGTTTACATACATAGCGCATGCTTATTTAGGTTGCCAAACTGTAAACGTTGCAGCTGTAGCTGAAGTGGGGCAAGAATAGCGGCTGCATTTTTAGCAAAAACTTATGTTTTACATTTTGCGCTCATGCACAACGTGTACCAACACACACACAGTCATGCATTTAAGCTGACATACACATATACATATACATATACATATACATATATATATATATATGTCTATTTATATATATATGTATGTAGTTACGTAGTTTTACTAATCAAATAAAAATAGCATTTACGTTGTCCTCCTTTATTAATGAAATTGGCGCAAAGCGAAACAAAACTAGCAACACACACACATTCGAATGCATGCATGTATATGTGTGTAGATACAGTGGAGCGTAGTTTAAATGTCCCAAACTATTTATCATAAATCAACAAAGAAAACAGCGTAAAATAATTGCGATATTTAAGATTAAGATTTTAAGTAAAACTTATACTTTATATATATTTTTTTTGTATTTGCTAATAGTTGTTCAAATATAGTTTTACTGTTAAACAAGAAACAAGCCGAAAAAATGCTCTTTCCTTTACGACGAAGTAAACTCAATTAGAAGCGATAAAAGTTTTAATTGGCAAGCTCAATTAATGAAAAAAACAACAACAACAAACTGCAATGGATTTCTATTCCCCGACACTGGTCTTCTACTTAGTTTAATGGGTTTTCGGGAGTCCCCAATTGGCGATTTCGCTCTCCTCAGAAAGAGAAACACAAGTCTCTTCTTCAAGTGCATTCCAACAAGAACAGAAAATGAAAAAAGAGGCTAGAAGCCTGTTATTGTACCACTGTGCACGCTGTTTACAATTTTTTACTTGTGCTTTGCTCGTCCATTCGCTCTCCCCCTTACACAAACACAAACACAAAACAGAAACACAAACACAATCAAATTCATGCACTCTCTCTCTCTCTCTCTGCCGCTGCTCTCGCTGTTTTGTTGTTTTTATTGTATTTGTAGTCAGAGTGGCGCGCACAAGTTGAATTTCGTAGTATTCGTAGTATTTGTGTACACATACATAGATACAAACAAACATACACACATACATACATACATATTTAATAGTATGTAAATGTCATTGTTCATATTAAGCATAAGATTGCTTGCTATGTGTGTGTGTATGTGTATGTGTATGTTTGTGTGTGTGTTCAAGTAATGTAATGTGGTTATAAACTAATAAAAATAAAAATAAATATTTTCTCAAAACGACGAGGAAAACAAAACAAAAGTGAATAATAGTCAGCCCCACAACAACAACAATAATAAGGAATAAATGGGTCGAAAGTGGGAGAACTAAAACCTAAAACTGACTGGCTTCTATGGATTAAGGAAGGGCAGGGGAGGAGTGGGGGAAACAAAACTACAATTCATTTTAGAAAAAAGAAAAATAGAAAATAGAAGAGAAGAATGCTATTATGTGTGGCACGGGTTGGGGCAATGAGGCAATGAGGAAAGGGAGTGCTATGGGTTAGTAGGTGGGTGGCTGGGAGTGGGAAGGGGCGATGTAGAGGGGGACAAGGGCGCGCCACACTCTGCGGAAGTTCTTCATACACAAACGCAAACAAAATGTCTCTATGTGTGTGTGTGTTGGTATTGTGCAAGAAGAACCGATTGAGAGACGAGAAACGGAAAGGGAACATCGAGAAGGTTAAATGAAACTTTTTTAAATAATAAGACAACCCAATCTCGAAAGCAGGGCTAAAATACCAAATAATAAGTATTGACCTCTGGAATCACACAAAATAGGGATCACGATTCATGTTTTATTTATATTTACGGTCACTGATCTCTTAGTTAAGAAACCTGCCAATATTTATAAATATTTACAATCCAAACTAATTGATCATCATTTGAAAAAATATATAAAAAACTACATATTTTTAATTTAACATGACAATAATTAATTATTTAAATACAATACTGTTTAATATAAGCGGCTAGTGCACACTGTACTTCACTTTATTTATTATCTCTCCCTCTCTCTCTCTCTGCTTTCGGCTGGCTGCTCTATGTGCGCTCCGCTCCCGCTCTCTTCTTTGCCTACGCATTACACGTTGTTTTGCCACTCTCTCATTTGATAGTCGCACGGAATGTAGACTTACATATACAAACAAACATGTGTCTGTGTGTGGATGTATGGCTAAATGTACTTATTTAAGTAGTCGGTGCACGGGGAGGTGGAGGGTCAGGGCATTTAATAGGAAACATTATTTAATTACCAGTAATTTAAAATCCAACTGTGTAGTTTTGTTATCCATTTTGTTGTTGGTTTCTGCATTTGGCTGAATTTTATTTATACGTTTCACTTACACACACATACACTGCACACAGACACACATATACACTTGCAGCGCGCATACAAGCGCAATTTCTACATATATACAGCACACGTACACGTACACGTACGTATGTGTGTATTTTATTATTTCGATTTTTCTTTGCTTGTGTTTCGCGTTTCTTCTACTTGCTCGCTACAGCGCAGCTCTTTTTTTCCTTTTTTTCTTTGATGTTATTTCATTTTCCTCATTTTCTTTTGGCTTTTTATACGTTGTTAACGCTGACGGCTACTGCGGATGTCGTCGCTGCTGCAGCTGCTTCTACACAACTTTTCACTGTATTGACAACATTGAGATATTGCCATTGGTTTCACAGATTCACATATTTCACATGCACATTTTATTATTGCATAAATCTATACAAATATCAAATGATTTACGAATATTTCTCTCTCTTTCTATATATATATATATGTATATATGTACACTTAACTATTGCTGCTGCTTGCCTGATTGCCACTTTCTGTGGCACACGCACGCACACACACACACACATACATCCACACACGCACACATACAGACGCACGCACGCACGCACACTGTCTCACACGCGCTCATACAGACGCGCGCTCAATGATGATCTGCTGCGTAGGAAAAATGGCTATGCGTTTGCTTTTATTGGTTTTCCGATGCGCGTAATCTAGACGCGTATTATTCCGTCATGGGAAACCGATTATTTACTAATTTTACAAATATATTTAACTTTTTTTGGGAGCGAAAACTGCAAAAAGCGACGGAATTTCCACAAAATGTTTTGTACGGTATTTTTTTTTATTTTTTTGGTGCATACAATAAAAGGGTAATATTTAGCGCATTTCTTGCGACAAGAGCTGCCAACTCGCTCGAATTGCCACATCGGCACAGTAATATCGTGATTGGCTTTTAAATTGCATTTTCTATCCCATAATTTTGAAATTTTATTTCACTTACAAAATGAACTCAGTTTGCCATTAGAATTACAAATAAAATATGTACCAAGGATAAGAGAGTAATGAAGAATGCTTAGGATGATTTAGACTGCTGGGCCTGCTTCTCCTTCTTAGCCGCCTCTGCCTCCGCCTCCAACTTATTGTATTTCACAATTAGCTTCTCCACATCCGATTTTTCGAGGACATTGTAAACGGTAGCATTGTTGATGCGCTGCAACGTAGCCATTTCCACCTTCTCCGGCGTTAGTTTTGTGGTATCCAATGTCTTGCTCAGCACCTTGACAGCCAAATCCTTCGCCTCTTCCAACTTAATGTTATCCTTATCGGCCAACTCCTGTTTCAGCATGGAAATGGCGGCGCCAAAATTATTGCCAATACAGGTGGCCTTCCAGCCGCCATAGTTGCCGCTGGGATCGGACTGATACAGCTGATAGCCATACTTGCTGTCCCAGCCCATGTACAGCAGCGAGACGCCAAAGGGACGCTTGCCACCGTACTGGGTGTAGGCCTGCTTGATGTCGCACAGATGCGAGACGAGCTGCTCACAGGGAATCACCTCGCCATAGCTGAACTGATAGCGTTGGGCAATCAAACGCAGCTCCGACGTCAGCACATTCGCATCCGAAGTAATCCCAGCCACAGAGCAGACCATATTCCTTTGAATTTAAATTAGCAATAAATATGCGAATTACGGATTTTTCAAGTCTTACTCATTTAATTTGTAGATTTTCTCGGATGGGATCGCATTGTCCAACAATTTGTTTGTGCTGCGGCATTCGGCGGCAAGCACAATGCCATCTTCGGCGAGGATGCCGAGGCATGTGCCGGCATGCGATATCGCCTCCATGGCGTACTCCACCTGATACAGACGACCCTCCGGCGAAAAGATCGTGGTGCGAGAATCATAGCGACGCGCCTAAAAATGAAAAATTGAAGCACCAAAAAATCAAATAGTGGCCGTGATTAAGCAAATTGCACATGCTAGTTAATTATATATAAGTGTGTGTTTGTTTCAATTGAACTGCCTGCACTACACATACTTTTATTTATTTGCCCACTTAAGTGAACTTACCATTTTGTTTTAGTTTTAGAATTTACGTATTTTTTGTGAAAATCAAGCAAAATTGCGGCGTCGAATGTTTTCCCTGCAAATTGTACTTGTCATTCCCGATCAGAGTTGTCAGCCTTGCTCAGGCTTATGTTTGTTAGAGCAGCTATCGATATATTTGCATTCACTAGTTGAAGAAAAATGCGATGCAACGTGCGATTGGTGGTCCCATAAATGATAAATGATAAATGGACACGAATAAGTATCGACTACTTTGTATGCTGTAAGTCTGGTCATTCGAACGATATTTGTGCTTGTAATTTGAATTGTTTGGCAATTGAAAATGCCGTTAATGCTCTAAATTGATTATGGGTTTATTAGTATATAAATAATTAAAATACTACAAATTAAATAATTAAAATATAATAATAATGTACATATTATAGAATAAAATATGATAATAATATTAATATTTCCAAATTTTAGAACATTTTTTAAATAGGGTTACACAGTGATATTCTGGATGTGGTTTCTTAAATTATAATAAAGTATATATATATTTATTCTGTTCTGGTTTTCAACATTAAATCATGGTGAGTTTCTAAACTGCCAGCCAGACTAGGCAGAAGCACAGGATTCACTGGGCAATAAACACAGCTGAAGCAGACACGATTATTGCTTGGACGCTGGAGACGCGCAGCGTGCAACATCGAGACGCTTTAATTGTTGGTGGCACGCGACACAAGTTTTTTGTTGCCCGACTGTTGCTCCTTTCGACTGGCAAACAGTTTAAATTCAAATGGAGCATTACAACAACAAAAAAGCAACAGTTGCCCAAGTGTCTGTTGTTGGCTGACATTGCGTCTTCTGGTGGCAGCCTTCAACTTACGCATTTAAATTGACGATGGCCGGCACCGAAATTCAGTTTCTGTGGCGCCACCCACTGACGATTTAGCCGAACCGAAACGAATGCCAGCCATTGGCTGCCTTGTCTCGGCTTGGGATGCTTTCCACGAGTGTCCTGCGCCTCCTCCTCCTCCTGCTGCCACCCCGAGTAGTGGTCCCTATATAAAGAGTCCAAGCATTTGCCTCTGGTCTCATTCGTTAAACGCGCCTTTCAATGTTCGGTGAACACTTTGCTCGGAATAAGTCAAATCCTTGCCTTGGAATATTTTCTTTATTTAAAGTGGAACCTGTTGCATTTCATTAGAATTGACTTTGAAAATTTAATGCAAATTGAATAGTTCAATTATTCACCATATCTTTAAAGGATTGCGGCCCCTGTGCACTATCCACCATTAAAGTAGCAAACGTTTCGGAAACATTTTAAAGCAATAACCATCTGAAATCTGGAATAGTTTCTTCATTTAAAGTGGAACCTGTTGCATTTCATCAGAAGTGACTTGGAATACTTAGTGCAAAGCTGAAAAGTTCAATTATTGACAAAAGAAATAAAGGATTACGGTCCTTGAATACAACCCCCTTCTTTAAAGTGGCAAAAGTTTCGGAAACATTTTAAAGCAGCCGCTCGAAAAAATTAGATGCGCCTCATTATCTTTGTGTAAGTGTTATTTGAATTAATTTCGCATTAAAGTGAATTAGTCGAATACATACAATTATTGTTTTACTTTGAATTTAAGCATACTTTTGAATTTCGTTGCTAAGAAGTAAATTCAGAAAGTTTTTAATCATGTTTGAGTGATGCTTAAGGACTTTCAAAAAACTCAAATCATTGCAGTCTTCAGTTATATAATTATAAGTGATATAATTTGTAAGCGACTTCTTTGCATCTACATATTAAAGTCTTTAGATATTCAAACTTGAAATTATTTCCATTGATTCAAGCACAATTCAGCTAAGTGTATCTTTTATTTCGGAAATTTAATGTACTCTCTTTAAACGCATTTTGAATAGCTTGATGTACAATATGTTGTGGATTAAACAGATTATATATCTGACTACACTGATGCCCCATGCATTGGGTAGCGGCATAGAGTCGTGGGAGGAACCAAGGGAACCAAACATAGATAGCGTTATGTATCAGGCTCGATCCAGTAATGCCAGTGAAAACATCGATATAAACGTCTTTGAGCGCATCCGAGAGTCCAAAAATCAAAAAGGCTCCCTCAACGAAGGCGACATTAGCAGGATGCGTGTCTACAATGTTGGCGTCCTAATGGCCTCCCATTTGGGTGAGTGAACTCTGTCAGTTTTTGGGGGAACCAATCGGAGACAGCAACCGGAATCTGTTTTTCTTGCGCTTCAGATTCACCTTTTGATCTGGAACGTTGCGGACCTGCTGTCGATTTGGCCTTGGATCAGATTAACAAAAAATTTCTCGCTCCACATAATGTCAGGCTGGTCAAGAAGAAGGCCAGGTGAGTGCTGGATGGCTGCTTTCATCGTTGACTCCAGTCCTCATTTTCTCGCTTTGCGTGAATTGAACTTGTGCTCCATCAATGACTTTTGAGCCTTTCTCCGCCTCCCAATGCGCTCTACACTCACAAAAAAAAGATACATTGCTCGAGAGCATTAATTACGGAAATTAATCTTGGTTTATTATACATAATTTTATTGTTTTTTAAGTTATGTTATGAATTTCTTCGTCGTTTTTTTTTACTTTTTCAAACATCATTTTTTATTAGACGTTATTTTTCTTTTAACATTTTTCTAAAATACATTGTTTTATTTTTTGAAAATTAAAAACACTTTCTTTCAAACATTCATAAAAATAAAAAATGTTTATGGAATTGTTGTATCTTATTTAAATTTAGTAGAAATTAATTTAACAACATTTTTTGTTGCTGAAAAGCAGAGATTTTCTACGTTTTTGAGTCTTTTTCATTTTTTTCCGAGTGCACTCCAAGGTACAAACACTCTCAGCTTGTTGCGTGCGGCACGAGTCGAGTTAATTACTCGAATTTCATGGGCGCACTCTGCTCCTAATCCCCAGCCCCAGCCCCATTCCCATTCCCATTGCCATTGCCAACCCCCAGCTGTTTGCAATGCATGTTTTCCACACAAAATGGTTTGTATCTTTTCCCACGCGCGCTTTGCTAACCAGTCTTAAACGATTACCTTTTTGCCTTTGCCTACTGCCTCCTCGTCACTCCACTGCACTCCACTCCGTGATAGTTACCCATCTTGCTCGGGAGCCAAGGCGCCCGGACTGGCAGCGGATATGCATTTCAAGGACGATGTCATCGCGTTCATAGGACCCGCGTGCGCATTTGCTCTGGAGCCGGTTGCCCGCTTGGCCGCCTATTGGAACACGCCCATTATAACGGGAATGGGAGATCAGGTGAGTATCTGGATCAGTGTGTGTGTGTGTGTGAGGCAATCCTGCCTGCGGTTTGTCATTCCAGCACGTATTCCTCGAGCAAACTGCACAGCAAGTGGCTTTCAATTATGTGCTCCGCTTGGTAACAAATCCATCGACCCTCCTTCAGCCAAACTGCTTGCGACCCTTAACAATTAAACACGACTTTAAGCAGCTTTGGTAGTCGCCACAAAGAGTGCTCATTTAACGTTGAATCATTGCATAAACATATCTCAATCTCTTCATTTCCCACAAAGCCACCTTCATCCGAGGGCGAAGTGACTGTCACCTCGGGCATCCTGGGCAGAATACACAAGTGGAAGAACGAGGGTTCGGTAGGTGAACTTACACACAACTATATTAATTACTTAGTTAATTACTTAGTTAATTAATTAGTTAATGACAAGAACATCTCGACTAGAAGTTCATCTAGAGGCTTTTTGTTTTGTTAGAATTTAATGTTTTGGCCACATTAATGTCCATGGTAATTTGTAGCTTATACTTTGCCTTATCAATAACTGAATTGTAGGGCATGTTCAAGGATAAATCCAAGTATCCGACATTGACGCGAATGTCCTACTGTCAGTGTCGTCTGAAGCTGGTCTTTGCCAGCGTTTTCCGTCAGTTCAAGTGGAAGCATGTGGCGCTGCTCGTCGATCGCTCCGAGCTGTACTCGTTGACCGTGGGCAAGAATCTGGAATACGGCCTGCTGCAGGAGGGACTCTTGAGTTTTGTGCGCGAACTGAACGGCAACGAGGAGGAGATCTATGAGAACTATCTCAGGGATGCGAGCATGTATGCGCGTGGTAATTATACAAATAAATACATATTTATTTCTTATATATGTTCAATATATACAACGTATTTAATTACAGTGGTCATCTTGTCTGTGCGAGGTGTTCTCGTACGGAAATTTATGCTCGCCGCACACAGTTTGGGTATGACGAACGGGGAGTGGGTGTTCCTCGATGTGGAGATCTTTCAGAGCGCCTACTGGGGCGACAAGGATTGGGAGTTGGGCGATGAGAATGATATGCGTGCCCGCAAGGCATATGAGGCACTGTTGCGTGTCTCCCTGCTACAGCCGACGAGTCCCACCTATCAGGACTTTGCGGATAAAGTCCGGGGCATTGCCCTGTCCGAGTATAATTATACGTTTGTCGAGGGTGAGGAGGTCAATTTCTTTATTGGTGCCTTCTACGATGGTGTCTTTCTGCTCGGCATGGCGCTGAATGAGACTCTAACCGAGGGCGGTGACTTACGCGATGGGTTGACCATCACTCGACGGATGTGGAATCGCACTTTCGAAGGGATAACGGGACAGGTTCGCATCGATAACAATGGGGACCGCGATGCAGATTACTCGATTCTCGATTTGGATCCCATCAATGGCAAATTCTCAGTGGTTGCTCACTACTACGGTCTCCACAAGTGTGTTGCTTTTAGTGATTTAAATAAATACAATTCCTTCATTAGTTTATGGGATTTGCAGGAAATATGCTGCTGCGCATGGCAAGAAGATACATTGGCCGGGTGGCTGGGAGGGACCGCCACCAGATGTGCCACCCTGCGGTTTTCTGGGCAATGCTCCAGGCTGTCATGGTAATGGTAAGCTACACCATTAATTCATTGTTATCGAAATATTGATCAGTGTCCTGTTGTAGGGACGACAATTATGTATTCGGTTTTTGGACTGGCTTTGTTTTTGGGTCTTGTGCTCCTGGTCATTTGTCTGCTGCAAAAGTGAGTAAAAATGAATTTTAAAAGAGCTCAAATGTTGAATGAAAAACAAAATAATCATCATTGTTTATCTTCTGCGCCAGACAAATGAAGCTCAGCAAGGAGCTGCACAATATGTCCTGGAGAGTGCGACCCGAAGATGTCCTGATCGAAATGGGTGGCATGTTTGGCTCGAAGGGTGGACTCCAGCGCCTGGATGTGGAGAATATATCACTGCAGCAGTTTGGCATACATTCGGGCAGAGCTTCGATTGCAAGCTTTGCATCGCTGCCGCCTCAAGTCTACACAACGATTGGACAATTCAAGGGCGAACGGGTGGCCATCAAGAAGGTGAATGTCAAGAAGGTGGAGGTGACCTCAACGCTGCTCTGGGAGATCAAGCAGGCCCGCGATGTGAGCCACGAGAATACAGTGCGATTTGTGGGTGCCTGCATCGATTTGCCGCGACCCACTGTCCTCATCCTCACGGAATACTGCTCGAGGGGCAGCCTGAAGGATGTACTCGAGAATGAGGCCATTGAGCTGGATTGGAACTTTCGGATGTCGCTGATACACGACATTGTCAAGGGCATGAGTTATCTGCACAACAGCGATGTCGTCGCCCATGGTAAACTCCGCTCCTGCAATTGTCTCATCGATGGACGATTCGTTCTGAAGATCTCCGACTTTGGATTGAACACGCTAACCACACCCTCGGATTTTGTGCGCGATCAGAACTATTATACCAGTAAGATCACTGCCACAACTCTTGAAAATTCCTTAAATGCACTTAGAGAAATTTGTCTTTCTGTGCGAGTGTTCCCTTAACCTTTATATTGATGTTTATATTTCAGAGCTGCTGTGGATAGCCCCCGAGCTGCTGCCGATGACCTCGATTCCCGGCTGTCCGGCGACGCAACGCGGCGACGTTTACTCCTTTGGCATTATTTTGGAGGAGATTGTTAATCGAGGTGGACCCTATCAGGAGGCACGACAACAGGGCATGGATGTGCACACCATTCTGCATAAGGTGCGCCAGTGCGAGTATCCCCCATTTCGACCACTCATACGGGAGAGGGAATGCCCACCGGATCTCCTAGTGCTAATGGAAAAGTGCTGGGCTGACAACCAGGAGGAACGTCCAGCATTCTCCATAATAAGAAGCAACATACGCACCATTATGAAGTAGGTGATCTAGGAATTTGAATTGATCGAACAAATTGGCATCGTCTTTTGTCTTATTTCAAAGTTGAGTTTATATTTATTATTTATTATTTATATTATATTATAATAAGATAGATCAATATTAAATGAACTCTGTTCTGTTTTTTTCAGAGGCTTTTGTGAGAATCTAATGGACGATCTGCTGAATCGCATGGAACACTATGCCAACAACTTGGAGACGCTCGTGGAGGAGAAGACCCGTCAGCTCAGTTTGGAGAAGCAGCGCACCGAGGAGTTGTTATATCAGATACTGCCACGTCCCGTCGCTCAACAGCTAATGGCAGGAGATCTGGTGGAGCCCGAGGAGTTCAGCAGCGTGACTATCTATTTTAGCGATATTGTTGGCTTCACCGAGCTCTGTGCTCGCAGTACGCCCATGGATGTGGTCAATTTTCTCAATGATCTCTATAGCACCTTCGATCGCATCATTGGCTTCTACGACGTGTACAAGGTGGATTAAGATTGGACGTGATTTAAAGCGATAACTCTTCTAATATATCCATATATTTATCTTTTTGTTAGGTGGAAACCATTGGCGATGCCTATCTGGTGGTCTCTGGTCTCCCGGAACCCAATGGCGATAAGCATGCCCGGGAAATCGCTTTGATGGCCCTGGACATCCTACAGGCTGTGTGCTCCTTTAATCTGAGACACAAGCCCGATTACAAAATACAGATACGGATTGGAATGCATTCGGGCTCCGTCTGTGCCGGCGTCGTCGGCAAGAAGATGCCACATTATTGTCTCTTTGGGGATACAGTAAACACCGCTTCACGTTTGGAGACAACCGGAATGCGTATGTCACCACTATAATAATATGCATAATTTGATTTGATTTGATTTGTTTTCATAGCTGGCAAGATTCATGTTTCATCGGCCACCAAGGCCATCTTGGACAAGTTTGGCACATTTCAATTGGAGCACAGGGGCGATGTGGAGCTCAAGGGCAAGGGTACGGTGACCACCTACTGGCTAAATAGCACCACCGAGGCGGAGGCACGTGCTCCAACTCCGCCGCAAATAACCAACGATGAGGTGCCTTTTCCCCTGCTTTTTGCCGGCATGGGGAAGTGAGGGGAACTTTCCGCCGAATGTCCTTTAAGTGCCAACCAAAGTATGCCAAGTACAAATCCAGCTTGATCTCTGTCTATTAATGATTAATGGCTATCGAATTAAATATAGCCAATTAGTTGCTCAATTTATTTTTGATTTTCTATTTGATCAACTTCTTAAAATAGTTAAAGTTACCTGAAAAAGATCAAAGTATTTTAAATAGTCAACCATTAAAAGCGCTGTGATATTTATGAAAGCTAAGCGCACAAATTTTGAACAAACTAAATATAGAATGATTCCCCCATTAAAAATAGCACAACTATGCATCCTTCTCTATAAGCATTCCACACACATTTAATAATCGCAACAATCTGATCTGAGATCTTCGCAAAGTTGATCCTCACTCTTTGAAATATATTATTCGATGTTTTTATGTATTCAAATATGTATTTATATTATGTGTATAAGTGTTGCTGTGGCTATTTTGTAACGCATATTAATATGCATGAAATTTGTATGCTTATATAGGGTATATATATACGTATAGTCTATGTTTGTTTACCATAATATTATCTTATGTATTTTTAAAATAATTAATAGCTTTGTATCCCTTTATATTTATGTATTAAGTTCATCAATTTAATAAAAGTATTAGCTGAAGAGTACTTAAACTGTAAACAAAAGTAAATTGATTTTATATATATACATAAACTATTTTCGATTGTATTTTAGTTTTTACAAGCTATGTATTTGTGTTATTTTGAGCATATTAAAATTTGTTTGTTGTACTCTTGTATTTCTTACTTTTTTCTAATTTCTTATAATAGCAAAATCTCAAAATTTTTGAGAGTACAAAATCGGCGATAGGAATTTTAATTACCAAAACGAAAAACTATAAATTATATTTAAAACCGTAAAATATCGATTAAATTTTCGTATAAATTGAAATCCCTCAAATTGAAATTAAATTGTAAACTTCTGGCGTCGCCTCCCTGCAAGTTTAAGGGATACAAAAGTTAAGGGTATGTTTTGCGAAAGCTCGCTTCGAAAGCCTGATGCAAGGATATGTTTAACGGAATTTTAGCTCGGTAACCAACCGGTCTGGTTGGCCAACCCCTGCAGAGAATCAGCTGTTTGTGCGTTGTAAAAGCTTTGCTCACATTAGAAAAATATCTTTGCAAAGCTGAAGGCGAAAAGGGAAACTGAACAAAAACAAAAGTGAGAAAATATTAAATGAAATGTGTTTCCAATTGAAAAAATACATAAAAGTGAATACGAGAGAATTGCTTTGCTGTCGCTAGGCTGCATGGCCAACGAAATTAGCGACGTAGATCCAATAGATACTAGATACTAGATATAGCTACAAGTGCAACCTGTTTAGTTCAGTCATCAGTCCTCGCCAGCATCCAAGACAGCTCCCCAAAGAACTCATCCAGCAATAAGATGAAAATATTCCGATTGCGCTTGGTTAAATTGCTGCTTTTCGGTTTTATTATTGTCAATCTGATACTGTTGTATTACACATGGAACTCGCTGCTCTGGCGACGCATCACCCGAGCCCTTGGGGGTGGTGCGGGCAGCGAGACGAAGCCAAAGGCGGATGCGATGCATGGAGCAAAGCTTTCGCCAAAGGACAAAGCAAGGAATGCCAACAAACACATACGCAAGTCCATAACAATTGTATTCTTTGGCCACTACAACTTTGAGCAGGACCTGCGACCGAGCATCGAAAGGTAATAATTTCGAATATACATATATCGATGTATATGCAAATATATTGTATATTCATTTTATTATTAGCATACTGGACGTGGTGCCCAATATGCCCATTCTGGTGCTGCAAGAGGGCACCTCCGAATACGCCTATCCACCAATCACCTTCGAGCGCAATTTGACCACCGGCGAGGAGCAGACGGTGCACTTTATGAGTCTCGCCTTCGATGTGCGCCGGACACGTGAACAATTGAATCCCTTGGCAGCTATCCACACAAAATACGCCCTGCTAATGCCGGACAGTGTCCGGCTGAGCAGCAAGAACTTATTGCAGAAGATACTGCGTGAGATGAACACCAAATCGGGAACACAGCAGCAGCGAGTCACTGTCGCCATGGAGGAGACAGTGCGTCGTTTGTTAATCGTTCCATTTGCGGGCAATCAGAAGGCATTCAGCAGCTGCGCCAAACTCAATCTGGATTTGCCCAACTGGACGATGAAACTGGATGCTCGCAATGATAGCACACATTGTGACTTGGTAGGTGGATATAGATGACATACTTATATATATAGATATGTATTTATATGTATATTTATGTATATCAGTTACACTCAAAACAAAAATAGAAAATGATGTCCTCAAATTAGTATGAAAGTTGTCAAGACAGATGACGGTTTGATTGAGGTTGTTCTTAAACATATCTAGATATTTCTGAAATCAAGAACAAGCCAAGCGTAGCCAGCACTTCGTAATATTTCGAATTGTAATAATTTAATTTAAACTTCACTAAGATTCGGAGATTTGGAGAAGACAGCAGCATCCCTGCCCATATCTGCCTATGCCCAATATCAAGAATATGATTACTTGGAGCAAAATATTTAGTTCTTAATCGAAGAATTCAAGTTTTGCTTGTAATAACTATTATTTTATTTATTATGTTTTCTTGTGCTTCTTCCTTGATAGTTCCTGCAGAAGCACGCAATTCTAATAGACGTTGCTGCACTTGGGACAATGCCAGAACCCTTCGCTCTGCCCTTTCCGGAGATGCTCTATGTGCAGGCCAAGATTGCTGAACTAACGGTAGCTAATCATTTATTCCATGCTTGTCATTTCTCTAATTGTACCGCATTGTAGACGAGTGTGTTTCCGCACTCCTTTCTGGAGGGACGCCGTCTGTTTGCCTCGTTCCACACGAAGCAAAGGAGAATGGAGTTGCGTCGTCGTCAGTTTCGTGAGATGTATAAGAAGCTGCAGATCAAGCGATTGGTGAGAAGAACCCACAAGATTGGTGGCAAAGCGACAGGACGACAGGAAGGCAATTGGCAGCCGCATAGTCCTGTGCTCGACGCCCAATTCTCCTCGTCAAATTTCTCGCTGCCCCTCGTCACGGATATCGATCTGTTTGGCTGTGAGAGGACAACCAAATCGTGTATAGGACAAGTCTACAACAATCGACCCTTCTACTATTATCTGGGCAAGCATACGCCGCCGTGCTGTCTGGACAAGCTGAAGACCACCTTTAACCATGTGCTCGAGGAATTTGAGAATGTGGGCATTCGCTACTGGCTGGATAACTATGCACTCAAAGGTGCCATCGAGACGAATCAACTGTCGCCGGATGCCTACGATATTGATATCAGTTTCAATGTTCAGGATCTGGAGCGATCGAATGCAATGAAGAAATCGCAGAGCAAACCGCATGTGGACGGCGAGGGCTTCTACTGGATAAAGGCCACCGATGGCCATTACTTTCGGGTGCAGTTCTCCAAGGTCAATCAAGTCGGAGTCAATCTGCTGCCCTACGAGATCAATGGCAATGAGGTTCGGGCAAGTGGATTTTTTGGCTGGAAAGCATCGACATTCTCGTCGGACTACTTGCATCCAATGTCAACGGTGCTGTTTCTGGGCAAGAGCGTCATGTGTCCCAACAATGTGCTGGAGTATCTGGATGCCAAAAACATTCGAGTACAATCCAATGATGTACCCATTGAGGAGGAGTAGCTGATATACCATTAGAATGTCCTTTCCACTTAGTATAAATTGTGTTGACTTGCATTTTAAGGATATTAGATGTAGTTATACATTTTTTAAAATGGTTTTTTCTGTATGTACTATATGGTTGTTATTCTTAAGATATATATATATATATATATATATATATTTATATATGTATATGTATTTTTAAATTGAGGTTATGTGTTCCTTTATTTTGGTGTGTGTTTTCATGTTTATGTTGTTATATAAATATATATATCATATAGATATACATCTAAGTTAGTAAGTACAATTTCTTAAGCCAAAGCTCTCGGAACTATCTACAACCGAATACATGTCTGTGTAATATATATACTTAGCCGTACAATAAACCTCTCTGTACCAGTCGTACTTCTTATATATGTATATATAAATGGTAACTTATTAAATATAATACATTTGTATGGATTTCACAATCTAAGATCGCACAGTCGTGGCAGCATCCGGAATTACGGAACCCTCTGGCAACTCACGCACCAGGGACAACAGCTTCTCCAGTTTTGCGTTCTGCAGTGTCAGCTGATCGAGATAGAGCTGCTTCTTTGGCGGCTTGACCATGACACGAAGATTCGGAGATAGTTTCAAGGAGGTGGTTACTCCCCTGGAAAGAGAACAGAATGAGGGTTATTCAAGAAATTCTACTTTGTAGGTAGGAAGTTGTGTTTCTAGCTGGGGTGTACTACTTGGATGCTTTACTCCATACTCACTTCTCATCGCCCACCACAATGAAGGGTAGCTTCTCGTTGAATGCGAGGCGTGTCAGTTTATTCTTTCGCTTGGGGACCACAGCTTGCACACAGATGGGCTTATATTTGTTCACATTGAGATCGAAAACATGCACCTTGCCCTCGTTGGTGACGGCAGCGAATACGGTGCTTGAGTAGGGTGCCCATTTGACATCGCCGACAGCGGAGCCGAGATCGAATATAAAAAGTGGATCTGCACGCATATCCTCCCAGACCTTGACGCGCCAGTCACCGCTGCAGGATACGAATATATTCGAGTCGAAGCGATTGAAATCGATGCGATACACGGACATATAGTGTGCATTGTAGGTCATCAGATACTTGGAGCTGAAGGCCGTGCTGCATTTGTAGATCAAGCCACACTCGGTGCCAACAAGGAATACGGTTTGATTCGTCGGATGGAATTGTACACAGGAGCCGCCACTCTTGAGGACGACTTTAGTGCCATCCGGGCCATCTGTAATGCCGTTCTCTAAATAAAGCGTAATTATGGTCGTAACCCAAAGCTTGTTTTGCATCAGAATCCAATTGAAGACGCATCCATCAGAGGATACCGAGAAGAAGTTGATTTCACCATCGGCCATGTCCGGTCCCCATTTGATTTGCCAGACGCATTCGCCGTGCTTGCATTTGACTCCCCTCGAGACATACATGGCTTCCTTGCAGCCATCCCGTAGATCATAGACAGCCACATTGCCATCGTATAATCCAATGACCACAAGGAATGGATAATGTGGATGGATGTCACAGCACATGACACCACAATCGGCTTGAACTACAACCAAAGCAATGATGAGGAAATGCCAGAAAAAGAAAGCATGGAATTCAACTCACTTATGTAATCGGGATAGGAGGGATTCTTGACGGTGAACAGGCACAGATAACCCTCGTTGGGCTGCTTAAGAAAATCATCTGCCAGGAATAAAACCTAAGTGTGGATTTTCAATTGTATTACACAGTCTCAACTCACGTGAACCGAAGCACACGGCAAATAGATCGTAGTAGGATGGATTGAATGTAATCTCGGTGACATTCATCTTCTTAGTCTTCTCGTATTGGAACTTCCAGAGTGGCAATAGATTGCCCTCGCCGTCGCGATACTCATCAGCCGGATCCTCCCAGTAGCGATAATCGTTGCCAATATCATCGAATATATTCTGATTAATCATACGCTCGAGTATCTGCCAGCATCGCATATATTTCCGATTTAGCTGCTCCGCCATAGCGGTTTTCTTTTTGTAGCTTTTCTTGCTGGATCGGGATTTGTGATCGCCTTGCGAACTGGTCGCCTTCTGCGTCGCCTCGTAATCCTCCTGATACGTATCATAGATGACCCACTGCAGCACATTGCCCCCAAACGATGATCGTGGCGGTGGAATCGTTTGGGTATCCACGCTCTAAAAGAACAAAGAACGCAGAACGTGTAGCGGAGATTGTGAGAGCAGCTGGAAGCTATCAGAGAGTTGCTACTTACACGCTTGGCATTGTTGTAGGTGAGAGTGGCGCGTTCGCAGTAGTTGAATTGGTTGATGAGTTTTCGCTTCTTGCTTGGAGCAGCAGTTGCTGGTTGCGTTTCTCCTGGACGCTCCTCATCGTCGGCTCCAGTTTCGGTTGCCTGTTCACCTTCCGTTGCCTTGCCCTCCTCATCCTCTTCTTCCTCGGCTTCCTCCTCATCGCCAGCATCGCCGGCACTAGTTTGTTTGCCATCCATGTCAGTCTTCTCATCCTCCTCGCCCTCGCCTTCATCCTCGCCCTCAACGACAGTTTCACGTTGCTCCACCACTGCATAGTTGGGCATTGGCAGTGGATAGCCGATTTCCTCGGATTCCTCAACCTGACGTCGCGCCTCCTCGGAGTCAACATGCAGCGAATTGCCCGGGAAGCTAATCAGGGTCACCGTATTCCCCGGCAGCGGTGCAAGCACATATTCGCCTTCCTTGAAGCTGTACACAACCAAATTGCGCTGCACATTTGTATTGGTCGGTGTCAGCATCTTGCTGACCTCCTCGCCCAGCTCGGCCTCCGTTAGATCCAATTGGTCATCCGGCTTGACCAATTGGCGCGACTTCATCCAAGCATCGAAGTCATCCGCATCGCCACCACCGCCGCCACCTTCTCCCTTTGTCTTCGACCCTCTATTCTGTTATTTATAATACATATATATATATATAATTAATATAATGATTTAATGATCTGATCAATTGAAAAATTGGGAGTGGGTCGTGGTGTAAAGTGTGTCTATGCAACATTGATAAAAGTGCGCGTGAATCTTTAATTAACTGATAGGAGCAGGATACAAGGCGAACTGGTCAGTGACTTACCTTCGGTGCGAGGATACTTTACAGGAATCATACATCAATTGTTTGAATAAAATGTGCTTTCGATTTTGAAGTACATATGTGATTATGTGGATTTCATTCATCTAGTACAATAGAATCAGAGCCACGCAGCATGCAAATCTTTTAAATGTATGATCTAACTATATTACTATATAGTATACATATATAATCATATACTCTTTCCAAAATGGTCGAGAGATTTGGGGAAAGGTTAGGTAATACAAGGAACAATAACAGCTGAAAGATAATTGCTTTTATGATAAGGTAAATTAAATTCTATAATAACAATGCTTTTCATTTTAAGAATTCAACATTATATATACTAAAAATATATCATATTGTTATAGGATCTTCATAAATAATGAAATCTAGACGAGTGCAGTTGTACTTTAGTTCTTAAGAGTAGGTAATTTTCCACTTTTTTTGTCTACGGATAAGATCTAAAATACTTTGAAACACCATAGTACAGCTAGTCTAGTGAGGATGGGGTTTATCACATATCGCTCATAAGTCGGAAGTAATTTCTTTGAATGAAAACATTTGGAAAGGGCATATGTATTCGGTGTACCGAAATAAAAAGCATTCCTCAGCTCGTTTCTCTGTGCGTCGACAGCTTAGAGTTACCTCGTCCAGTTGCAGTTCGTCCATTGCAGCCTCTTCTTCTGCACTACCGGCACAAGGACGAGCCTCGTCCTCCGGTAATTTCGCTGGATCAGCGGCTGACATTTTATTTTTTTTTTTTTTTTTTTCAACAACTGTACAACAACTAAACTGTAATGTGGTAGAACACTAATTGATCGAGTGCGAAACAGACAGCTGGGAGACGTGGTTAAGCTACTTATGGATTGAATATAATAGATATGTTTATATATACAGTATGCAGCAGCTGTCGATTAACTGACTGAATGAGCAGATCTACAAATTACTGAGATTGAAAATTGGGTTCATATTTACAGATAGTATGCAGAGCAAGAGCAATGATTCAGAGTCTGGCTTGTATTTACATGTTCTTTGGCTACTTTCATACCTGTACACAAATACACACACCACACACACACACACTGAATTTGCACTACTTTTTGCGATAAAAGCAACTTTGCGTTCTAAACTGCTCAGAGATGCAGATACAGATACAGATACAGATACAGATACGGTTAGAGATCGCTACAATTGAATACTCATGCATATACCGCCATGGCTTTGTTAGCTAGCTTCCACATCTTGACCAAAAATATCTGTTTTGGAGGGGGGGAGAGGAGCACACTAAGAAACACGAGACGTGCCTGAAGGCGTTGACAACTCGTTGTGGGAAAGCGCAACACAACTGAGACCTGGTCGAGAACAGTCTCGAGTGAATACTGCCAACAGCTCAGCTCAGCTCCTTTTCGCAATGTGACTGAAAACGAACCTGATGACGTTCGCGAAAAACTTGCGACTCGCAATCAACAAAAATCTAAAAAAAAAAAAAAAAATTAAATGGAAATGGAAAACTTTCCTCGCTGACGTCTCTGCAGCACGTCATAGGTGAGGATGCGATTTGAGCAGCGGGGTTTTGACATTTCCGGTTTTGGTTTGGGGCCAGTAGCTAGGAGCTGGGCGCGTAAATAAACAAATTGCACACAACTCGATTAAAGCTCGCAACTACGCCGGAGTCATGGAGTAGACTCAACTTGGGACAATAGCAACCATCTAAACTATCATCAAAGTCAATTACAATACCCACACTCAGAGAACAAAGGCTTTTGTTAGTTGAAGCTCAAATAGAATGGAAGTCCTGACTTTGTTTTTATTCATATTTCGAGTACAATTCGCTTAACTTAACTAGTCCAAATAAGAGCTAAATCTATTTATAATTATATTTATATTATATTATATTTTTCTATAAATTCTTTTAAATCTACGCAAAACTTTTCTGTTTCCGTTTTGAACAAATTTAATTTGACCGATTATTATTATTAAATATTTATTATTACTATTTTTTAAATAAGAAATACGTTCTATATATATTTTCTCTGAGTGCTTCAGGCGTCAGTTCAAGTAACATATTTATATTTTTATGGGCCCACAGTAAAGGTGCGCTGAGAGTCATATATCCCTGACTGATTTATTGACTATTTTATTGCGTTGAATGAGACGTGCAGACGAAGGCGACATTGATTGCCATCGACACTCAATTGGCCCTGGCTAGTTGAGGTATCCATAGAAAATGTGTATGTTCTTAGATAAAGTTGCATTTACCAATTTGATCTACTGTGTGCCTAAATTTCTGGCAGTTCCATTCCATTCCTTTTTTTTATATTCTTTTTGCCAGCACGCACATGCCAAAAATGCTAAACTTCCTTACCCCAACCGCCTGCGTTTTGGCCACCTTGAGCAAATTGCAAATTATATTTCGTGACAAAGTTCCATCAGAGGGCCAATAACTTTTTCTACGCTCCGTTTCAGCGAACTTATTAAAAAGTAATCGCGAATTTTTAAATACGAAAATAGAAACATGTAACGAAGGCCGCCGAAGGACGAGAGTTTTTTTTATATTTTTTTCTTGACATATATATATATATATGCATATATATCCATGGCAAAGTCACAATGCTGTCAGACCTCAAAGTGTTTGGATGTGCGGAGCACAGAACTCCAGTCTCAATTGTGCAATTGTGCAATTGTGCAGTGTGTGCTATATTTTAACTGTGTCACAATAATTGCATTTATAATTGACTTACCTTTTTTTGTTTGCCCTCCTTGAGTTTGGTATCCGGCATAATGTTGCTGTGGCTGTTTTTATTTCTTTAATTGTTCCTCGCTGCTCGTGAATAAGTTTTAATAGTGTGTCTCTCACTTGTTATTTAATAACACTTATCACGGGGCTACTAACAATTTTATTTTCTTGTTTTTCACAGTCTAAACTTTTACGTAATTGTGAATTAGAACAATAGAATGCGCCGCTTGCTTTTCCTTTCCATACGAGACTTGTTTTGTTTATTCGAGTTACTATAGAAATTCGCTTATGCCACAAGCCAGTTTTACGCACTAGCTGCAAAATTTGCATATCGATTTGGCAACACAAAAAGTTGGTAATGTCAACAACCTGGTACAGAACTGGGCTTTTGTTACAACTCTTAGCCCCTTGAGAATGGTATATATTTATTAGCAGGTTGGTATAGCAAGGGAAAAGCTGTTTCTGAAGCTAGCTCATCTGAGTCTGTTGGGGTTAAAAGTGGTACCCCAAAGGCTAAGTATATTATTGTAAAGTATATTTATTTAAATAAAAGATAAAGAATAGTTTGACAATAATAAAATCTACAGCAAGTAAAATCTATCAAATATACACAAGTCTATAATTTTAGTTACCCACCGTTTTAAATGCATTTGTCTTACTTAATGACGTCATATTTATCTAAGTTGATCAAAAATACAATTCAGACGCCGTCAACTGGGCGAGTAAAGTTCAACGCTCGCTCTCAAGTAGAAGTCTTGAGCAAAATAACGAATGTAGTCCATAGAAGGCCAAACATGGGTTCAAATAAGGCCTCGCTCCCAGACAATAAACCTCTCCGTAGATCGCTGAAATCATAGCCTTGAGTGCCGAGAATAAATTGAGTACAACTTCTGAATATTCCACATCAATGATTTTATTGTAACGTAGAGCTTGATGTTATATTGATTATACGAGTACATCAGTATAAATATAAGTATTTTCAATATATATATATATGTATATATATAGTCTATGTATGTATGTATAAACAATTAAGTAGGGTGTAAAAAGACCTATGTTTGCTGTCTCAAGCTCTTCACATATCGCACTGGCAGCTCGGGTAGATAAACGCAGACAAAGAACATCAATGGTCCAAATAGAATCATGCAGATCAGCCAGTAAATCAACTCGAAAACTGTTATCGCGTCCATATATAATAGTATATAAAATAAGTGTTTGAGCTTTATGGATGAATGCCAGTCTCGATCAGACAAATAATCAATGGGTTTTGTATAATAACAACTTTCACAATTAAAAAATTAAATAACTAATATCACTAAATACCGGGTATTGGAGATTGTGTAATAGTATAAAATACACCTATTACAGCACCGATATTTCTAATTATATAGTTCACTTTACACTTAATTTCTAAATGATATGCCAGATTTTCGGGGTTTTAACTTCAAGCCCGCCACCTGTAAATAATATAGAAAAAGATAATTAGTTTGATTTACATAAGGTAAATATTTAATTAGAGATACAATAATCCAACTTGATCTAATCTTCAAACTTACGCTGCATGTAATCTTGCCCTGCCCGTTGGTAAACTGTGACTGTTGCAGCTGCTGTGCTGAATCACGCACTTTATACTTCAGCGGCCAGCCCAGCTTTATTTATTTTTGGATATTCACCCAGCCAGTTCACAGCTAAAATCGGGGCTTTACCACAAAAACACCTCTGACGCTTTTGCCAGCTAATTCGTAACTGATGTGGGAACGGGAGAACGTCGTAATCGCCCAAAAACCCGGTTTTCTCTCTCTCTCTCTCTCTCTCTCTCTCTTTGCCTCGCTCTTTGTCTCGTTACAAACGTTCTATATGCGAATATTAGACATTCATTTACTCAACATTGAGCATACACTCAGAAAAATATATTCCTTTGCAACTAAAAAGTCATTTTTATTGAAAACAAATAATATATTTGAAATGTAACATTAATTTTTTTTTTTTTTTATTTAAAAAAATATTGCTTACAGTTCAGAAAGTCAACTATAAATTTTATTTTTACCCAGGAATGTTTGGAATGTCTTGTAACATGAGAGATTTATTTCTGTTTATATTTTGAGATTTTTTTATATTCAAATTTAGCTTAGAAAAAATGGTCTTAGTTACTAGAAGTAAGACAAAATCTAAAACAAGTTCAATTGTTTTTTTTTGCGTGTACGTTAAAAGCTTTAGTCTGTGAATTTGAAATTGTGGGTTATATATAAAATACTGGTATTTTTCAAGGCAATAACAATGGCAACGCCAACGACCAGATAGAAAATAAAACTGGTTTACCTAAGCTAGCAGAGAACTTTTAAAAGCTTGCTTTAATTACCTTCCTATAAAAAGTTATAAATAATGTTTGCTGTTGCCGCAGTGCATTTGGCAATTGTACTTTATCAATTTGACAACGAAAAGTAATCATGGAAAAGATGATAAGAGATATCTTTGTGCATTTGAATGAAAAGAAAATGCTCTAATAATCATAAATCTTTGACTCTCTCAAACTAGCAGATATTTCAATCTTTGCTACTTACATGATGTAAAAGTAATTATCTTTGTCCTTGGGCTTGACATCGCCACGGTTAACATCCCTCATTGAGGCGTTCACCGAACCCGGACACGCAGGCGATTGCATGTTCCTATTCCAGGTGGCCCAACGGCCACTTGCGCCATTTTGCTGATTTCCGAGATTGTTTTCTTTGTTTGCATTGGCAAAAAACGACCTGACGCTGTCCATGACTTATTTTTATTTTTTAAGTGCGCAGATAGCAGATATATGTCGAGCCTCCGAATTGACAACAAGTAAGCAAATCTAAAAATATACCAGATGTGATTTGTTTTGTATGAATTTGGGTTTTTAGTGGACTCGTTGCCAAGTCATAAATATATTTATATATATATGCGAATGTGTATAGAAATATATGTATGTATATATTAACGGTGTTTGTTGATTGTTTCTTTATAAATTATGTCCACTTCTGAAGTTTTTGATATCATTTTGATGCAAATACAAGATTATTCAATGATAAAAATGGTACGATTTGAAACTTTGCTGGTGGCATTTGAAGGCCATATTTGCCGTACAAATATTTAGCTTGTTTTGCAAAAAGAAATTTTATGATAAGAATAATCAAAATGGTTGCTTCAAAAAATGCGTCTTAGATTCACTGCTTTTCTGTTGATTACCAAATATATATACACTGACTAACTCGTCGAATATTATCAATTATCAATGAACTTAGTCAACTGAACAAGTTCAAAACAGTTCACTTCGCGCCACTGATAACAGGTTGATAGCCAAAATCAGCAAAGCCTTGAGCACGCGCCACAATTCAATACAATTTACTTACTCTCAACAACGTGGCAAGTCCTTCAAATGGCTGTTGAGTACCACTAGGGGGTTAACAATCTTACATATATAATAATATTGTGTACACTTTGCCGAATCGGACCTACCTCAAGGTTCGTTCACACGACAAGTTGTTTGTTTCTGCTGTAATTGAATCAAATGATTGATGTTTTGCTTCGCCTCAGTTGACGCCCTTTTCCGCACACTTCGAAAATTGGCTTGACACAGTTACAAGCTCCAGCGACCGATTCCAATTTCAATTCCAAGACACCTCACTCAAAGCGCCGAGCTAATGCGATGAACCGTTTAGCACAATGTCTGCGATCGTACTGAACAACGAACAACGGAATAGCGAACACCAAACACTGAACGCTGAACGCTGAGCAGCGCAGCTGTGACGACAACGAGGCGCGTCGTTAAATGCTCGACGATGCTCGATGCCGGTGGCTTCGTAGCATTTAATCAATTGCGAAGGCGGCACAAACACAACATTGAATGTTTTTCTATATGTATCTATATAAATATGTCTATGTACGGTGTGTGTGTGTGTGTAGATAACCAAGCAGATTACTTTATGTTTTAAAATGCACATGGGTTTCAACGAGTCTGTCGACATCTGGCATCTGTTTTCTTTTTCTTTTTTTTTTGGTGTATTGTTGTCTTATGTTTTTCGGCCTGGTCGGAGCAGTTTTTCTTGTTTGTTGTGATCGTTGTTTCTCAGTGTGTTTGTTACACATACATATACACAATTAATCTAATGTCACTCACATACAACATGTACAGGGTGTGTTTCGAGGCACGACTTGGATACAGCTGTCACTTTTAATACCCATTAAATTATCAACAACCGTTTATTTTTGGGTATCGTTATTTTGCTGACTTAATGGCGAGGCTTATACAAATTAATGTTTATATCAATGCAACTAACTTAATCAGCTTTTGATACAATTCCAAAACATATTTGCAAGTCGTGCGAATATAATCGTATAATTTCCATACGAATTAATATATGCTAATTGAACCAGCCTCTTTTGGAACTTGTATACTATAAAACTCACACAGTATAAATATTTACATATATATCTAAATATATATAGTTGATTTAAAGCGCATTTGCCTCTTTTGTTTGACTGTTGCGCAAGTAAACTGTAAATAAGTTTATATATATAAATGTGTATTTGTAGCTATATATTTGCTTCGAATACCTGTCACACTGCCAGCGTTTGTTTATTAGCCACACTTCCTCAAATCGAGTATTTTTCTTAACCCATTTGCTGTCATTGATAAGATGAATACAATCTTACAACTGTTTAAACTTATAGGGTATATAAATGTGTGTATATGAATACAATCTGACAACTGTTTAAACTTATATATATATATACATATGTATACATCTGTCTATATTGAGACTCGTGCGTCCGCTCAATGCACTGACGGACTTTGCCCCTTGCACTTTACACTCTCGAGCATACACGCGCACTACAGATACTTTAGTATTATGTAGTATATATAGTATTTTGATTTACATATGCAAATCTGAATTGTGTTTGGGTTTAAAATGAATGCCAAGCAATAAAAACAACAAGTTGACAGAATTATGGTGTTTAAGCTGTAAACTGTAACCCACAAATAACCAGAAACAATCGACTCGAAAATACTCTTGAACTCATATCTAAATTACTCTAAATATATGTTTCATAAATATATATTTACAAACACACTTCAAGTAGTTCCTCAGTTATTGGAACTATTATCTTTCGAGTGGCCCTGAGGGCAAGTAATTAAAATGCTTCCACATTCAAGGGTTAGTAATATTTACAAATACAGTCGATCTGAGAAATGTTATCAGCAAACGATAAGCCAGATGCCCTTTTGTGCTGCAACATTTTAAAGCATACTTTCAGGCGGAAGAAAAAAATGTTTTCCGCTCAATGCATATAGATATAAAAGCCACTAACTAATGACTAATTGACTAATGAAGTATTTAATTGTTACCTATATATTAATATATGCGTATTTATTCATTTACAATGTACGCATTTCTTTTTTACAAATACTGCAGACAATTTTACAGGTTGCAGGACCGCCAACACCGACTCTGTGATAGACAGTTGCGGCTTCCTCGGGTAACATTAGCTTGCTCCTGCCGAGTCCTGTGTTTCGGCTATTTTGCTGTCGCTTCTTCGTATCGACGCAGCAGCAGAGCAGAAAGCTCAGCGGCACCGCTTCACCCTCCTCCAGGCTCTGTGGCAGATTCTTGCCACGCGTCTCGGGCAGAAAGAGACTGGCAAAGCCGCCCACGATTAGCAGGCCTCCCATCACAATCAGTGGCAACACCAGCATCTGCTGGCCCTGCACGTTTATCCAAGGATTTGATTATACATTTAAAATACGATACGCTATTTGATATCTCATGCCTCACTTACCATATGATTGATAATGGGTATTATGATGGGGCCCGTCATGGCCACTACAGAACTGAAGCTCATGCCCAATCCACGGACCACAGTCGGATACAGCTCGGAGGCAAGCAGTGGCAGGACAACAAATGCAGATGAGATGCCCATTTTGCCAATGCAGTAGAGGAGCAGCATCACATCAGCCTGCTCCTGATAGAGCAGCGTGGTCACACAGGCCACACCGCCGACAATCATCGATATGAAGAGTATCCAGCGTCGGCCAAAATAACTCAGACCCGGCCAGAGTAGTAAGTAAGTTGGTAGCTCCACTGCTCCAGCCAGGAAGAAGTTCCAGATCTCATCGCCACCCAGTGCAGGTGCATAGTAGCTGAGTCCCACATAGACGCTAGTGTTGGCAAACCAGATCAGGGTCACAATTAGCGTCTTGCGTCGCATATTCGTGCCACGAAATAGATCCATAATACCATAGTGCGTCGCCTCCGCCGGCTGTGTTGAATGCAACCGCTGATGCAGTCGCTCCACAAACTCCCGACTCACATGGACCCCATTCACACGAGCCATCACCTTCAGGATGCGAACGGCTCGCTTTGGTTGTCCCACGGCAAGCAGCCAGCGTGGCGACTCGGGCAGCACAAAAAAGCAGGAGAAGAGCATCAGCAGTGGCAGGGATACGGCCAATGTTAGATATCGCCAGTCGCGCACCAAGTAGACAACACCCTAGAAAATATTATCAACATTTTTACGTTTAACTATCAAACTTTCGTCCTAACTAATCCACAATGTCTCAGCTAAAAATATAAAACGAGACTCACCGCAAGTAAGACCAGACCCAACGAGTAGGCAATATTGGAAACGATTGTGCAGAAGACACGCCGCTCCGGGCCGACAAGTTCAATTGCCAGCACATAGGGACTGGCTAAAATGGCAGGCACTGTAAGACCGACCACAAAACGGAGTCCTAGCCAGGAGTAGTAGTTCCAGGCAAAGGCGCTCGCCGCACACGCCACAACTTCAAGCAGCAGGTACGCGTAGAAGGAAGGACGCCGCCCCCAAAGATCGACCATATAGCCAAACACATAGTTGCCAATTAGACCGCCCAGGCCAAAAATGACTAGTGCCAGGGTGACGTAAAAACTCCTGTCGCAGACCAGGTTCCACTGCCAAGAGCCAGCAGAATATTAACAAAAGCCAGTTTATCTTGATGTAGTTTGACTCACCTCCTGAACTACGGTGCTGGGATACATGGATCTATCGTAGTGCCAGCCATGCTGACAGGGGACTACTGCATTTTGGTCTATCCTTAACAACTTGGACGCCTGCTCCTTTTGCAGCTCATATGGCGTACGATACTCCAAGTAACGCACCTATGCAATACAAGACAGACATGATCATATCTAAATATCTAAAATTAACAAAACTTTACTCTGCTCCTTGCATTGAAATCTATTTTAATTTTGAAAGTTTAAAACTAATTAAAATCGCTTACATTTTCCACAGTTTGACATTCATTATGCGTGTGAACTGCTTGCCAACTGCTTAATTGCACTTTGTATGCACTCATTGCATTTTCCAACAACCTCAATTATATGCCATATTTGTCTGGCAAGTAAATCTATTGTGAGTTGGTTGCTGCCAAAAATTCAAAAATATATATAAATATATTGTATTCTGAACTTCCGATTATAACAATAAAAGAATCTCAGTATGCAAAATCAAAGATTTTAATGTTTTAACTATCTAGCAATGAACTTCAAACTTAAGTAAATCAATGCCGTTCCAAAAGTACAAAAAACTTCAAATTAACTACAAGTTGTACTGGTGTCTATTAAAAACCGAGTATTGAATAATCGAGGTATTTTTATGAGAAGATTCCTAAGTTAATTTAATATTTTACTGTCTAAATAGAGACTATAACTTTCTAAACACTTGCATTTTCTACATGGAACCCAGAAAACCACACGGATGTATCTATTTATGTATATATACTGTAATATATATAATATATGTATACGAGTATATCAAGATAATGAGATTCACGCACTATTTCACTGTAGTTGCGAACGAACATGGCGCACTCCTCAAAGGATCCGTGTTCGTCGCGTGGAATGCTCAGATTTTGAACGAGCTGTATATAGTCCTGTGTCCATGGCTCGAGTTCCGGTATGCGGCACCAATGCTTTGGCGTCGCTGCAATAAACAACTGACTGCAAAGAGAATGTTAGACCTTGTCTGAATGGGGGCTAATCCGATTTGAGGGTGTGAGTGTGAGCAGAGAGTGGATCAAATTATTTGACCCACCTATAGGCGTGAAAGGCGCAGGGTAATGCGGCCGGCAGCAGCACTGAGCAAATAATAATCTTTTGATATAGACCGAAGGCTCCCACCTCCTTAAGTACTTCATCGAAATCCATTGTGGAATCCGCGTCAGCACCCGATTCCAAATCGCGCACAACTGATCGCGAAGGGGGCCTTGCGCATTTCCAGGCCCCAGAATAATCCGGGTACTGTGTTCCGCCACGCGGCTAAATCTCAATTGGACATAATTACATTACGGCCTTTCGTATGCTTTTAATTAATTGGACACCGCTGCGTGAGACAGGGTCGCGACCAAATCGCAAAACTGGGCGATCGCCCAGCGGTCAAAGCACAAACCAACAGTCGCCAAAAAACAATAGAAAAAAATTACCCATCGAAGTTTAAATGCTCTTAAAGGAAACATATATTTTGATAATATTTCTCAACTGAGAAAGCCACAAAAAATATGATTTATGGAAAATGCTCATCTTTCGAATGACGCATATTTGCTCGGCTATAGCAATATATATATATATATAGTTGGCACAGAAATATATCATCAAATTATTAAACAGAGAGATTATTTTGCAAAGAGACTGATAAATGGACTACCCTCTCCATATATATATATATATATATATATATTATATATTTATCGGAGATATCTCACAACGATTCAATAATAGCCTCTCTCTTTGCAAAGGGTATAGAAACGTACAATAACAAAGAGATATACTTATATACATAAGTCAGCTGTAACTGTATTTCTTGAACAATTCCGATACGTAATCTCAGTAAGGTTATATAATAATAAATAGTTTTAGATAGACGACGACATCTAGTCTGTAGTCCTCACTTAACTGCGGGCCAGTCCAATGATGGTTAGTAGGTACATAAAGATGTTGACTATGTCCAAATACAGATTGAGTGCGGCAAAGATGTACTCCTCGGGACTAATCGAGTACTTGTGATTGCCACCGAGCATCAACTGTGTATCGTACACTAGATACACAGAGAAGAGCAGGGCACCTAGCGAGGCATAGACCAGTCCAATGATTTTTCCAGGTATAAAGATGGCAATGATGCCAAAGATGATGAACACGACCAGGCAGGCAACCAGAACTCCGCCGCACATGGTAAAGTCGTATTTGGTTTGTAGCGCAAACAGAGTTAAGCCCAGGCTAACAGCTGCTGTGATCCCAACAGCCATGAGAACCTCATCCGCCTCATAAGTGCCGGCAATGACGCCCAACAGAAAGGACTCTGCGAGCGTGAACAGGAACAAAAAGATGAAATTTAGCGGCGTTTTTCTGCGCACACTCTCGCAGCAGGCCATGCAGATCATGGTCACAATTAGCACGGCCTAAAATCAGTAAAAAAATACCTATTTAATACAACAGTTGTAAAAAAAGTCACTTGAAGTCGTAGAACTTACCAGTGCTACCCACACGAGCCAGTAATTGGTCTGTGCCCACTTCTGTGTCGCCTCTGAGAAGGTGAACACGCTCACAAAGCCAAACGTGATCAGCAGTTGCATCTATTTGGGAACAATCAAATCTATTAATAATCCTTTTATTATGTGATATGAGAATGAATGAGAACATGAATCATGTGCAAATTACTCATTATGAAGGCAAAAACTTTTTAGATTTCAACTAAAGAGCTAAAGCTCTTGATCTTGATCAAAGCTATCAGCTTTGATTGTACAACGTAAACACTCAAATTAAGAAATATATATCTTACTTAAAGTAAGTTTTTGATGAATTAATCACTCACTTACCATGAGTATGAGGTAAACCTTGCGGATGAATCCTTTGCGAATAGTCTGATCATCGAAGGCGAAACTCTTGTCCGCCTCCGCATCCGAATAGACGCCATTGCCATCGCCTGTTATGGGAATAGAGCAGAATGAAAGTGTTTAAAGAAAAGCAAACAAGATTTGATCTGATTCAACCTGACTGACCATATTGAAAATGGGTATCACCCATGACTAAAGTTAGTTCTGCTTGTAACCGGGATAAAGTCTGAATGTGTCTGAGTTGTTCGGCTAATGAATATTGCCGCAGACCATTTCAGCTCTTCCAATTCTACTCCGATAACTCTGTAGATTAGCTGCTCGCTATCAAACGCACACCAATGCAGAACTGTTGATAAGGAGCAGAGAGGGTGGACAGGAGTTGTAACACTTTTGCAGCTGTTGATAAGCACTGCTTCTGATAACGAGTGTGCCACCACACCTGGCATTCCTGTTATATACAACCAATTGATTGGAAAAGTGTATAAACCACTCCCTCTCTCTCTCTCTCTCTCTTTCTCTCTCTCTCTGTGTGTGAATCACCCACAGTTATAACTCTTGTCTTATCAAATTGCTCTTGATAAGGAATAAAAGTGCAGATATGCAAAGAAAATGTTTAACTGATTTCAATTAGGCGAGGTAAGTTGAAGAGATCGAGACACCTTCAGATTCAGCTGGGATTACCACAGACCACAGTCAAGCTTCTGTAACGCGAACTTTGGTAAGTTTAATTTTCTGTTATTCCCATTAAATTAGATATAATTTTGACTTCCAAACTTGAAGTTGCACAAGTCTCTATTTATATATATATATTTTTTTTGCTTCTGTGTAGGTCCCAATTAAGGGTTTTTTTCCGCAAACAATAAAATTGGATTTAAAAACACAAAATTCGAACCACTCAATGCATTGATAAGTCAAAGTTACCAAATCTGGACTGTATATATATTATTTTAATGTGTCACACTTTATACACAAGTTGCTAGGCGATTATCTTATCTTAAGCAGTTTCTCACATTATGATTTTTATTTTATTGTTGTTGTTCAGTTAAGGTACTTGCCTTGCTGGTAGTGATACATTTGATGACTGTAAGAAATCAAAGATATTTATTTTATTTCCGTTGCTTCTGGCCGTAAAACGCTCGCACGACTTTTAACTACCGAATAAAACTGACAACCTTGTGTATTTTACTGCGCGGGTAGCGCAAAAATTCCAAAATATTTTGGTGTTGTCTCACAACACTTATCGCCAGATAAGAAAGTAGCCCAACTATGATAAGTATTTGTAAGCGCTGTTGCGACTGTTTTGCTTTGCCTGTTGCCTAATCCAATGCTGGCAAGTAACTGCTACCAGTTAACTGTTGCATTTACTGCATGCAATACTTGCTGTGGCTGCCAACGCCCCACTGTGGGGAAGACCCACAAGTCTCGCACAATGCAGCGTCTTAGAGTTTTGCCTTTCAGTCGCTTTCCAGTATTCGCCGATAGTTGTTTGTTCGTTTTGTGTTTTTTCTTTCTTTTAAATTAAATAAATAAATAGATTCGCTTTATTGTTGACTTTTGAGCTGTGTCGTTGCACAGTATATAGTAGAATATTCTTTGGGGGGTTTCTGTTTTTCCTTACAAGTCTGCATTTAATAAACATTGTTTTTTTTTCTGTATATGATTAACAACTGCAAGCGAGGCGACGCAACGCTGCATAAATATATGTAGAGAGGTATGTATATAATTATTGTATTGTATTATTATGTGAATACGTACACGACTATTTATTGTTTGTATGTGGTAATTATTTGGTTTGGAATCATCCATCAATCGAATCAATATCAGGTATGCAGAGCTTTAACAAATTTTGAAGTACATATTATTATTATTATCATATGAAAACTAAATATGTGCATATTTTTGTTTTTATGCATAACAACTTAAGAATTTTTTTCCGTTCATTTCACCTTAACATTAATACAATCTATATAAGGAAATTAGTTAATTGATAACACAAAGTACTGAAAACAAATACTTGATGTATACAGCAACCAAATAGATTAATACAATAATATCTGAACGCTTTCAAATGAGATTACGCGATTATCGTAACTAGTAATAGGAAGCAAAACATTAATAAGCTGCCGATTAAAATCAAAATAAGTTCTAACCAAAATGTTGTTAATTGTGCGCCTGATTCTAATCGCGCGAGGCGCCAATTATGGTTAGAATGTAGATGAAGATGTTGATTATATCCAAGTAAAGATTCAGTGCAGCAAATATATACTCCTCGGGACTAATCGAGTACTTGTGATCACCGCCCATCATCAGCTGGGTGTCATATATCAGATACACCGAGAAGAGCAGCGCACCAATCGATGCATATACAAGCGTTATAATTTTGCCCTTTACAAATATGGCCACAATGCCAAAGATTATAAAGACGACCATGCAAGCGACTAAGATGCCGCCCATCATGGTAAAGTCCACCTTGGTTTGCGTGGCAAAGATTGTCAAAGCGAGACAAACAGCAGCCGTTATGCCCACAGCCATTAGAACCTGCCAGATGAAAAAGATAGATATATATTTGGAAATAACGGTTGTTAACGACTGATAAGAAGCGTACGCACCTCTTGTTGACCGAAGCGACTGGCAGATACGCCCAAGAGGAACGATTGCGCCACTGTAAACAAGCCGAGGAATATAAAGTTGGTTGGTGTCTGACGTCGAACGCTCTCGCAGCAGGCCATGCACAACATGGTCACAATCACAACAGCCAGCGCCACCCAAAAGAGGTAGCTATTCTTTTGTACAAATCGCTTGGTGCCCTCGTGAAAGGTAAACAGTGCAACAGCTCCAAACGTCACCAAGAGTTGACCCTGCAAATAAACTAAAATTAGGGCAATCTTCGAAAAGGGAATCATTATCAATACATACCATTAGAATAATGTAAACTTTGCGTATGAAGCCGCGACGGATGCTCTGATCGTCAAAAGAGAAGTTCTTGGGCTGACCCTCGGGATCATCGTAGGCGCCGTAGCCAGTCGATGGCGGTGGTTGAATGAAACCCGGTTGGGGCGCATATCCACCGGGTGGTTGACCCTGACCATATGGATCCTGGCCGTATGGTCCCTGAGGATACGGCTGACCGCCACCCTGACCGTACGGCGGATAACCGCCTCCCTGTGGCGGTCCTTGCGGGTAACCACCGCCATAGCCACCCTGTGGCGGATAGCCACCTTGTGGTGGATAACCACCGCCGTAGTTGTACTGCTGATTGGGATCTGTATGGGAATGAGGAACTTCTTTATCATCAGACAAAACAAATGGATTCGTTCCTCCATTCCGAGCTCCATACACATAATATGTTTAATAAGTAAATTCGATGAGTATATTCGCAAGACATTTATAAAAACAATAAATCAATAACATCTACCACACATTAGATAAATCCTAAAGGAAAACTATTTTAATAATGAGCCTAGTGAGCAGCTGAAGAAAATGTATACAAGGAACAACATAATTATTGCACATGCTCTATGTTTCTAATAATATATAATTCTTCTCGCAGACAGTGTTTATAAAATCAATAATCATTGTGAAGGTCTTGTTGGGAAGTCACGTCTTTTAAATAAAAATGAACTTTAAGTAAGTGTTATCTATTGCGATACCAAAAGTCAAGTAAATAAAGTGGGCATTTCTGCTGAAAAGATAGGAATAATTTATTTGTCATCTGAGTCAGTTTTTCCATGACTGATCGAATATGTGACGATGATATAGCATGAATACACAATATACAGGGGTTCCTCAAAGTGAAAGATATTATTACTGTTGCAAACACAAACCATTTTTAATGCTGACAAATGCTTAAGGGTCGGAATGATAATATATTAACTCAAGATAACTGCATTATATGCACAAAAAGAAGAAGCAACTTGAACCCTTGCAGTTAAATATGAATTCCATTACATTTATGGATATGTATTGATGATCGATGTGCACGATTATTGAAATGAACCTACAGATAATATAGGACATCCATCGATTAAAACTGAAAAAAAAAATAAGTGGCCAATTTACCCAAATGGGCAGAAAGACTTAATTAATTAATGGCAACAGAAGCATGCGAAGAGGGCACGAAACGAGACAGCAAGCAAAATTAATTATTATGCACAAAAGTAACCAACAAATGAAAAGTCAATATAAAGTAAACCTTGGTATTGAGGATATTGGGGGACACTTTGCCACGACATTTTTTGCTCTGTTTTTTGCTTTTCTGAACTGAACAATCTGCTCCTACAGATTAGCTACAAGGGAGGATCAATCAACCGCTGTGAAGTAAATAAAGACCCAAAGAAACTGTTAGTTAGTTGAGTATGTTCATCAGGACTCACCGTGCATATTTTTTCGTTATCGCTTATCGATAGAGCTCGATTTCGATTACCTGCAAATTGAGAAAAAGAATATCAAGATAAGAGAGATGAATAAGTCACAATTGCGTTTTGTTTTAGCAATTTTAATTCAATTCACTTTAATAACCGGTCGGGTCTCTTTAGATCTAAATTAATTTCAAGTCGTGGTTTGTTGTGGCACAACAAAAACAAATGGTAAACATGACGTGACACACAAACAGAGGCGCACGCAGAAGGGGGCCTTGGACTAAAATCGTTGCAAAAATTAGTCAATTCTGACGCCCCCTTTTACGTATACAAATACACACTTTTGAATGTGTGCGTGTCGCTCTTATCTACATGAGTATGTATATAACTTGTGCTCAAGTGGCTACGTCATCATATTGTATATGTGTGGTATTTTTTGCAGCCACTGTTCTTATCCAACATAAATTAGTTTCCCGGGGGTTAAGCAAAAGATTTCTCGATTGGTGACTCACGCGTCACTTTATCCACTTAGCTAATTAGTTAAGGAAATACGGAGAGAACATGAAACACCTGTTTCGTCTTTGTTTTGCAACAACTGCGCGTGTTCTAAATATAGAGAAACCACCGAAAATTACCTTCCTTAATGCGCACAATAAAAATATAAACAAGTGAAACAATTCCCACAACTGCTTTTTTGTTGTGTGGTTTCTAGAAAATTGTGTTTCTTAGTGATGCAACATGAGCACATCGATACACAGCATCCCACTCAGAAAACATCGATACAATTTTAAACAAAGTTGGGTATGCAGCTCAATTTATCGCTGGCAAAACTATTACAGGCAGGAGGTTTTGTTTTGTTAATAAGTATAGTAAATAAATATGCATATTCTTTATCAGCTGTTGGTCGGTGTAAGCTATTAATATGTATATATAAGCAACGCACTCAAATGTAAAGAATTGCTCTAAAATATCACGTATATCGATACCAACTATCGATAATGGTCTACAAAACAACCTAAATAACACCGAATTGCATTGCAGCCGAGCATGCTGCAATAGTTGCCGACACTCGTGAAATTCGTTCGATTCGTGTATTAAAAGGGACAAGAATTGGTAAGCCAAATTGCAAGTGCCAACACAAAATCAATATGTAAAAGGCAACAATGCTGAAATTAGTCAACTAAGTGTGTTGCGTTTAGGTTATGTGTGTGTGAGCTGCAAGAGACAAAGAAACGGTGGCGACTCCACCGCCCCACCACCCTGCCAATGTGTCCATATGTAACGGGGTTGATTGAACTGCAGCAAAATGAAAAACCGGCAGCAAAGACGATTTCAATTCGAAATGTGCAATATGCTAAACTAGTGCTGCTATTAATATGCCCACGCATGTGTATGTGTTTGTATATATGTGACGCAATAGTTGAGTACCGGATGCGTGTTCCCCTCTCCTCACCTTCACCCATGCCACACACTCGCCTGTTGCTTATCAAGTTGTGGTTTATACGAATAATAAAAAGTATATTGTTATTTTACAGCATTCCAGAATGGTCGAGGAAAAGGAGAATGTTGCCAATGCGGGGCAGGAGCCGGTCTCCAAGAAAGGTGCCAAAAAGCAAGCAAAGGCCGCCAAGGTGAGCTACGTGGCTAAATTTATAAAGCTGATAAACATCGTCTAAAGTTCTTTCTCTCTCTATCTGTCCCTCTCTCTCGCTGTAGAAAGCTGAGCAGAAGGCAGAGAATGCTGCTGCCGTTGCCGTTGATGCTGCTGGTGATAATGCCGCCGATCATGCTGCCGATCGTTATGGTCTCTACGAGATGATTCAGTCAAAGGAGACGCGTAGCGAACGTCAATTTGTCTCCGTGTCGGAGCTGAGCAACCACGTGAATGACAAGGGTCTGCTGTGGGTGCGTGGACGTGTGCATACATCGCGTGCCAAGGGCAAACAATGTTTCCTCATTCTGCGCCAGCAGAGCAGCACCGTCCAATGCATTCTCGCTGTGGGCGATGTCATCTCCAAGCAAATGGTCAAGTTTGCCGGAAAGTAAGCAACCACAATACAAATTTAACAACTTCCGCACTTAGATAATCAATTTTCTTACTTACCCAAGCATACCCAAGGAGAGCATAATTGATATCCAGGCCAAGGCGGTGGCTGTGCCCAATCGCATCGAGTCGTGCACGGAACAGTTGCTGGAGCTGTTCATCGAGCAGATTTTTGTCATTTCGCAGGCGAAGGCACAGTTGCCGCTACAGATTGAGGATGCATCGAGGCCGGAGAATGCAGATGATGCCGATGGACTTAATATACGCGTCAATCAGGACACTAGATTGGATAATCGAGTGCTCGATCTGAGGACACCAGCCAATCAGGCCATTTTTCGCCTGGAGGCCGGCGTTTGCCGTTTGTTCCGTGATATATTGACCGATCAGGGTTTCACCGAGATCCACACGCCCAAGATCATTTCCGCTGCCAGTGAGGGTGGCGCCAACGTCTTTACCGTCAGCTACTTTAAGGGTAAGTTCTGCGTTTTAAGAACATCTGCAATTCGTGTTTTGTGTTTTAATGCAGAATTTAAATTTTATGTTTATTTTTCAATTTGTCTTATTCAAAAGTCTGTATCTTATGCAAAAACATAGATAGATTCGACTTGACAATATAGATAAATTAGTGAAACAAGTAATTGTAATTTATAAATAAGAAATACTTAAATTTAAAGCAATTGTTTCTAAGAAAAACATAAATTTTCATAGCCAAATGTTGATCGCTTTTCGTTAACCTTAAAACCTTAAAAATATGTAAAACTGATCTTGGATTGTAAGCCGACAGCTGCTTTCAACTATTCTATTCTATTCTGCTATTCTGTTCTGAGTTTAATTTATTCTGCTTATCTTGCAGACTCGGCATATCTGGCACAGTCGCCGCAGCTGTACAAGCAGATGGCAATCGCAGCTGACTTTGACAAGGTTTACACAGTTGGAGCTGTGTTCCGTGCCGAAGATTCAAACACGCACAGGCACTTGACGGAATTTGTTGGTCTCGATTTGGAGATGGCCTTCAAGTATCATTACCACGAAGTGCTGCACACAATTGGCAACACGTTTACGGCCATCTTTAAGGGGCTGCGCGACAAGTACAGTCGCGAAATTGAGGCGGTTGGACAGCAGTACAAAGTGGAACCGTTTAAGTTCTTGGAGCCGCCGCTCATACTGCAGTTTGCCGAGGGTGTGGCAATGTTGCGTGAGGCTGGCATCGAAACCGGTGATGAGGAGGATCTGTCGACACCAAACGAGAAATTGCTGGGCCGTCTGGTGAAGGCCAAATACGATACGGACTTCTACATACTCGACAAGTTTCCGCTGTCGATACGTCCGTTCTACACAATGCCCGATCCGAGCAATCCGATCTATTCCAATTCGTATGACATGTTCATGCGTGGCGAGGAGATTCTCTCGGGTGCGCAACGTATCCACGATCCAGAGTACTTAATTGAGCGTGCCAAGCATCACAATATTGGTGAGTCTCGACATACTTGAAGGGGAGAGGCTTCATTAATCTAACCACTTTTCTTGCTTGTAGATACCACAAAAATTGCGGCTTATATTGAGTCCTTCCGCTATGGTTGTCCACCGCACGCTGGCGGCGGCATTGGCATGGAACGTGTCGTTATGTTGTATCTGGGCTTGGATAACATTAGGAAGACATCAATGTTCCCACGTGATCCCAAGCGGTTAACACCTTAAATGTGGCCAACACATCATCAATAACATAATTACAATAACACCTATTCTATCTTAATGAATGAAATTCGCAACAATTTATATGATTTTCTCCAACTTTCCATAACTGTGTGCCCAACTCTCAATATCTTTATTTTTGTAGACCCCCTGAACCCAGAATCTATCCCAGTTAATGTTGGTGCGCTCTCTTTTTTTTAAGACTTGCATGCTGCAAAGTTGTTTGACAACGAGAACTGTAAAGACTGCTTAGAGTCACTATTGTTTAATATCGTATGAAATAAATCTTTGCCAGTGTGTTTAGTAATTGATTTGTGCTTATTTCATTGGTGAACCGACGTTGGGTCAAGATGGATGAGGAAGGACAGACAAGAGTCGATATTGCTTAGTTTTTAAACGCTTCCATATCTGTCAATCTAAAGACTATTTAGAAATGGCTTTAAAGTTACAATATGGGAATAATTATTGTACTTCTATCAACATATATTTAATGCTCTTTCATCAACATTTTTTTAAAAGCAATTGCAAGTTTGACAGAAAATACCACACAATATTACAATACATCAAAACAAAAATGAATTCTAGAAATTTCATTGAATACTCTAATTAAAGACAACCGCTTAGAAATGTAATAATGAAAATGCTATTTAAATACTTGCCGCCAGCTGCATCTTATACTTATTATTGGCACTAACATCGACATAAATAATTAATATACATAACAGGTAAATAAATATATAAATATAAACAAATCGCCTAGTTTCCAATTGCTTAGAAGTGTCCAGCTAAGATTTCAAACTCCATAACAAAATTTTAGCTCCGTTTTAAACCAATTGTATATCCACAAATCATTATGCTCATTATGCACATAATTTAGAAGATTTTCGCGCTTAAATAGTAATACAATTTTTGACATTACCTGAGAAAGGTCCTTCCAAGATTTCTAACAGCCATAACTTGGACAAAAATGATTCGATTAGATGAAGATTTTTCCTGTATTCTCTTTTGATATTTATGATACTAAGCAAGCTGGAAATGTGTATTTTCTAAAATTACGGGTGAAAAGTCGAGGAACTGTAGAAAAACACTTCAGATACCCACAAAAAAATATTCTAACATATTTCTATAAATATTATTATATAAAATAAGCCGCAGACATTCAATCCTAGACTAAAGATGGTTTCATCTACTGCTCTGCAAATCTTGGCTTTATAATAAATATATGTGCTGGCATCCTTACTATGTCTTAATATCAAGTACTCGTTTAAGCAAACACAAAAACTATTTTGTAGTTCACCAAGTGAATTAAACTCGAGCTGAAATTAGGGGGTAGATTTATCGCACAATAGTCTTGTTTATTAGTTATTTATTTTGATTTTGGAAATGCATTTTAATTGATTTAATGAAGTGTCCATTCTTAATACTCGTCGCAGTTTATAGTGTCAGCCATCCACTGACGACGAGTTCATTATAAAGCAATCATGCTAATGCATTATCCTCATCGTGATGAAGATTTCTCACTGAATCTTGACATGCACACAAACATATACATATATTGCTAACTTATCGGACAAGTGTTCGCTGTTCTTGTCAGCAACAGCAACAGGACGAGCAACAGCAACAACAATAGCCACACATAATAAATTGTATTCGGTCTCAATCAGATTATTATCAATAAACAAGTGTGTACTTCTCGCATACGTCACGATGTGTCCAAGAGGAACACTGTTGACACAGTTGGCAAATACTTTTCTGGCCAAATACAAAAGGACGAATACGAATACGAGAATTCCTTTCAATCTGTGTGTTGTTTGCTGCACAGCAACTAACTCTGTGCGTTGATTCCACAGCTATCGGCAAACGAACTTTAAAATCAGACAATAAACAGAAGCACAAACAGAACACAACAGAACACAGCAGAACAGAAAGAGAGAGGCGAACACAGCAAACAGCAAACAGACACAGGCACAGCCAGGAGCAAATATTTGCTGCTGTGCGAGTCCGTCTACTTCAAGACACAATTGAGACGCACTCCATTTTATTTTCACACCGCGGCATCGTTAGTTCAGACACCGTAACAACAACAACAACAACAACGACAAGCACAGCAACAGCGACGACAGCAACAATAACAAACCACTGCACAGCTGCACGTAAGAGGCACACACACTAATACACATTCAAAGTGGGCGTCGCTGAGTGCTCGCACATCGTGTATACAGTGCTTGTCTCGCTCTAACCCACACTTGCTATGTGCGCGGCAAGGGAGATGGCATGCGTTCGAAATGCCATTTTGTTTGCGCTTCTGCTGCGACGCTGTTGCTGTCGCGACTGCATCCATCGAGCAGCAAGCAGGCAGGCAGGCAGCCAGTCAGCCAGCCAGCCAGCAGTTTGTTTTCTCCCTTCCAATCGAGCGGCAGTTTGGCGGTTACGCATACGCCACACGCTCCGCGTACTCTTCTCTCTAAACGTTCACAGACCGATGTGAGCGATCGCAGCAAGTGCAGCGTATTAGTTCAATTTTCTGAGTGCATACGCTGGCAATTAAAAGATTTATTCGATTTATTTGCCATGCATATACATTTTAGGCTCAAGCGATGCTGCATACGTAACGTAAACTAATGTGAATTGTGAGCAACGTTTACGCTAACGTTCTACGTTATAGTACGTTTCCGTTGTCGTCTTCGGTCGCCTTCGCCGTCGCCGTTTGCGCTGCGCTGCCAACTCGGAAAGAATTTATGGAATTTGGCATTTGTGGATTTAGCGAAAATATTTTCATTGAGTGCGCGAGCAAATGTTTTTGTGTACGCTTCGTTTTTCACATCTTTCGTTGCGCTGCGGGATTGCTGCGCCTGCATATCCCCCACCCTCCCTTCCTCATTGTCTGGCCGCAGTCGCAGTCGCCCCCGTTGCAGTCGCAAAGGCATTGCTAAAATCTTAAATATTCACGTGCAAATTTCGGTGCTTATCAAATGTAATTACTATTTAAATTAACTGCAAAGCATAACGCGCAACCACAAAAATAAAGCAAAGAAAAATAGAAAAAGAAAACGCGTGCTTTTATGACGGCGGTAAAAGAAAACCGTGAAAATCAGTGAAAATCTAAACCACGTAAATGTGATTCACAACAAGAAAAGTGTTTTCTCAATCTATGAGCATAAAAAATATCAAATATAAGTTTTCAGCTTATTGCTGAAGTGCATCAGTCATATTCACACACAAAAAAAACACGCAAAGAATAAAACATTTTTGGAACAATTGGATTATAAAACGAAAGACTTTAAGTGGTAAGTGGCTAGAATTAATCTACTATTAATGTACTACTGAGTGGAACGGGTTCTAGTCAAGGGCCTAGCTTAAAGATAAGCTAAGAATGTATATAATGTCTGGCAATGCTAAGTACTTAAATAATAATAAACAGGTTATATAATTTATAATATTTGTGACTTACATCTTCAATTCAGGCACGCTTCTACGATTCACATTAACAGATATTTCAGATATTCTAGTTACAGCAAATAACTGCATATTTTAATGGGATTATGCATTCATATTTTTTAAAGTACTTTGTGATTATTCAATTAAAAATGTTAATGTCCAATGGGGCGACTTAAAATGAATAGCAACGAAACTTGTTGGAAGATACTGATTAGATTATATAATCGCATTCTTTAGACATTAAGAAGTTAGTAAACTTAAGGGTAAATATGAATTAAATAAATAAAATTACTTTTGCTTACAAAAAAAATACGCTTGATGCCAAAATTGACAGTAAAAAATGCCGCCGGCCACAAAAGTATCATCAATTTGATGGAAGAACCTGAGTAATAATGATAGAATCAATAGCTATAGATAGATATCGATATATGTACATTATTAACTGATATATTTCTGTTATATCTTGATAAAATTGTAACTGGTAAGCGAAATTATAGAAGTTGATTCATTTATCATGCAGAAGGCTTAAATCATAGAACTAATACAATTGCCAAATGGTATTTTTGTGACTGTGCTTACTTTCAAGTTGATATATACGACGTGAACTATTTCAATATTCTTAATGCAATACTTAAACAACAACTTAACACTTTGGCAACAATTTGAAAAATGTGTATATCAAATACAAAATCATTGTCACGAATTTATTTTCACATTTCACAAACCAAATGTGTTTTTAAACGATTGATGACTAATAAAAATTTTAAGCACATTCTGGCAAAGTCAATAATAACAGATCCATATTTAAAACTCAACTCAAATGAATTGCCAACGATTAAGATTAATGTGGCAAATAGGATGTGGTTGCAATAAATTAGGAAAGTGGTTCATATAATACATTTGTATAATATATATATATACATATGTGACAAGACCACGTTCACAATGTGATTATGCATTTATTTGATATTAGAAATAATGAATGCACACTTAGATACATTGTTAAGAGTGATGCATTATACATAACGTCTAACGATTACTAAATATGTGTCGGATTTTATATTTTTGACGCAAGCAACAATTTTAATACCTTTCATTGCCTTGTCTTATTTTTACAGTTTGCAATTTTTCAACGGAAACTCGGGCAAGGGAACGGCCCGGCCCCAACATGGATGCCCGGAAAGCAGCAGCAGCAGCAGCAACAGAAACAACAATATTAACAATAACAATAGCAACTACTACCAACAACAACAACAAGAATAATACAAATAACAACATCTAACAGCAGTCAGCAATGTGGAAATGATAATTGCAATTGCCTGCGCATAACAAAAGCAAAGCAAAGCAAAGCGGGTGAGGAAAGTTGAAGTTGAAGTTGAAAAAAAACGAAGAAAAATACAACAACAACAACGACAACAACAAACAACAAAATCAAGGAAAATTCATAGAAAAAGAAGTTTGCACACAAAAGAAAAACGCAACAATCGGCAGAGCTAGCGAAACAAATCAAAGAAAAGCAACTGACACACAACAGCAACAGCAACAGCAACATCCACAGCACGAAGAAAGAAGAAAAACAACAACAACAATAATAAAAAAAAACAACAAAAAAAACCAAATGAAAAGTAATTAAAGCACTTGAAACAAACGCGATGGTGTTTTACAATATGTAAATATAATTAGCCGAGCGGAGTTTCCATTCCTGGAATTCGCCATTGCCAATCGACTTGGCGGCGAACAAAAAAAAACAAAAAAAAAAAGAAGCAAATCAAACAACTAAAAAAAAAAAAAGAGTAAAAAACACGCCACTGCAACTGCGACTCTGAGCCGGTTTTATAATTACTCTTCACATCACTCGACTGGCCGGCGGTTAAGTTTTTTAATAGTAATATATTTTTATTTTTTTTTTTCGTATTCGCTGTCGTCGGTGTTGCAGGCCCAGGCGCAGGCGCAGGCGCGGCCATTGCAACCGCAACTGCAACGGCTGAAAGCGACTCCAAAAACAGCCAACAGAAAACGGCAAAAGAAAAAAGTAAATAAAGACAAGCAACGGCAAATTGTGGAAAAGTTGACAGCGCGCAAAAAAAAAACTGTGATTATTGTGATTAGTGTATTGTTGTTGTGTGTGCGCGAGTGTGTGTGTGTGTGTGTGTGTGTAATAATTGGAAATTGGATAGATTGGGTGTTTTGAGGGCTGCCACTGCAAACTGCAACTGCGACGATGGCAGTGTCCTGCCCAGAAGTTATGTACGGTGCCTATTATCCATATCTGTATGGGCGCGCAGGACCAAGTCGTTCATTTTATCAATATGAGAGGGTAAGTTCGATATATATATTTATATATATATATAATATATATATTCGATATATAACATATATCAATCAATCCCTCTCGCATAGCTATCGATTTAAATTAAGAGCATAGCTCCTACGAAGCACATTAAGGAAATCTCCCATTTACATATTTTTCTTAACTCGGTCTTGTGTATAAATCCATTGCTAAAGCAGCTGAAAATGCTGATTTTATATTTATTTATGGTCAGCTTTCACCTGAGATAAATTTCCATTCATTTTCTGCACTGAAATAATTGCGTTTCACGTTTGGGTTTTTCATGGCAGACAAAAGAGTCGCTATCCTTGACAGCAACTGCATTAAAGTCATCAATATCATTATCATTAATATATTTCAACAAAATTTAAAGTCCTTATATTGTTAATTAAAACTATTTAACTTGTAGGAAATTGATTTTTCATTAGTGACTAGTGTGGAACAAAAATAGCAGTAAATTATTTTCATGTTAAAACATCAACAATCTTGTTTCTTCAACGATAGCCAAAGGAAATATCGTTTGCTTCTATCTATACATCTATGTATATATCTTTATTTATGTATCGATCAATCTATACTTGTTCGCTCATGAAAATAGTTTCTATCTATCATTGACTTGGGAAAATATCGCAGCAGCTAAGATCTACTTCAAGCTAAGGTGATCTTGGTCAAATGCCAAATTAGACAGTTTTAAGATGGATTAATTAACTTGACCTTGGGCCAGCAATAGCATATTTGAATTATTGAACATTTTGTCTTGTGTAGCCAAGAAACAAGCAAGAGCCAAATATTATAAATATTAAAACTAGACGCAAGTAAAATATTTCTAAATATCTTATCTTATTAACTTTGCTATTACAATACTTTTTGCCATTATAATTTCTGTAATTGTGACTTTTATGCTTAATTAAATGTGCATATTAATTAACGTTAACAAGCCAAGAAATCAACACGCACAAATGTCGACAGCAATCTGCCCCTTCTGCCCCTCCACAACCCGCCCGCAATTTGTTTACGTTGAAGACTGGGGCATTTGTATAATTAAATCCACTGAAACAAATCATAAGAATTCACGCAAAACGCAAATCGTTTTTCAATGTGAATGCGGCTTGCAAGATTTCAAGGAATTCCACAAAGCAAATGTCGCTTTGTTTGCCGTTTGTCTTTCTTTATTTTATATTTTTTGTTTTGGTTTTTTTTTTTTGGTGGTTTTTGTAGTTTTTTGCTAAACATTGATTTCGAAGATATCTGGTGATTTTTTTGTGACAAGTACAGAAAAGTTCTCACGATGGCCGCGGCTCGAGCTTCACAGTTCTTTTTTGTGGCCCAAAAGGGACACACAGTGAAGCCCTCAAGTTGAATCCGAATCTGAATCTGAAACTGGGCTTGTGTTTTGGTTTGGGTTTTGGGACTCCATTGGACACCACTGTCTGCATGTCGCTGTGGCACAAAGAAATTCTTGTGTCGCAAGTTCCAATTATACAAGGCCGCGGCACCCAAATCGAAATTGGCCTTTTATGTAAGTAACCGATACGAACACGATTCTGATTCTATGCTTTTGCATGACCATAAACAGGACGCAGAAAGAGAGATAAACTCCCGAGATCACCGCACGACGCTCCTGGGCCAAGTCAAGCCAAAGCCATAAGGGTAAAGGGTTCGGTTTCGCTTTCGGATTTCGGTTTGGGCTTTGGGCTTTGCGTTTGGGTTTTGGGGTTCGAGCCAATCGCAGATTGAGTCAGCAGCGCAGAGTCTGCTCAGTCTGCTCAGTTGGCTCTTGGCTCTTGGCTAACCAGACCAGGTGACCGCTGACCGGTGATCGGTGATCGGTGATCGGCTCTAAGAGGTGACCGGTTTATTTGCCCAAGCCTCTTACAAAGGAGAGGCAGGCTCCCTGGCAGTTTTGTCGTCCCGTCGACACTTTGCTTTTTTCTCTTTGTTGTTGTTTTTGCTGTGTTCCCTTTCTCTTAATTTATTGCGTGTATCGCCATTAGTTCTTGCCGAGCACATCAAAAACGATCAGATAAACCAACAAAAAAAAAACAAAAAAAGGAACGTCTATCGTAGGCACGCCGAAGCTGAGATGCCCTTTGCCAAACGGAGTCATTGAACACCTGCTGACATCTAAATTGGGCAACACCTTTGAAAGTTCTGTATTATAGTAGTCAAATGTGGATAATTCTGTTATCCAATATAAAATGACTCGTAACTAGTCTTTTGCTTTATAATTAACCACCAACGAATCAGACTTATTAGTTTGTCTAGTTAGTTCACGTAATTATTCCCATGGGAGTCACACCGATTCAGCCGACTTCGATAGATAGAAAAAAACATCCCAACTTGGCGGATGTGAACACGGTTAGTGCTGCAGATTACGAATATATATATACATATATAGAGGATATTACAAAACGGCACAACAAAATGATAGTACTCCTCAGCAAGGGCATACAAAGCGAAGCGAAACGAGCCAAGTGAGTAGTCTGGGAAGGAGGGATGTCACAGGTTCTTCGTCCAAGTTGGTGATTTATGCCGTGTGAGCAGCCGAGTTGATCGCTGAGCATAATCGAAATATCGCTGCAGCTAATAACAGTGACTATATGCAGCAGTTGCAGTTTCCGAGTCAGATACTTTCTGTATCTGAGCATTGTTCGCACATCGTTGGCTACTGCACTTTGGCCCAGATCGTGTCGCCTGATAAGGCATGCAGCAAGAGCAGCAACAACAGCAGCGGCAAACATATTGATTATGTGCTTAAAACGATTGACAGATAAAGATACAGATAGAGATACTTATTGCGAATGCAGCATGCGGCTTGCTGCTTGCTGCATACAAACACGTTATCCTTAACGTATCCTGCCACGATTCTGCCTGCTCACGCCCGCAATGAGTTGGCGCTTTTCGATTAGCCTAATTAGGGCGCCCCTTAGCACTTTGGGGGCAAACAAATTAAGACTTTGTAAACAAGCCGCAAGCATAAAAGCCGAAGTGTCAGCTGCTGCCGTGGAATGTATCTACAAGATACTCAGCACACTTAAAAAAAGTAAAGAGCACGTTGTTCTTAAATCTATAATTGAAATACGAGAAAGGAGAATGAAGTTCTTCTCTTAAAAATGTTTTTTCTTTTAATATGTTAAACTATTTCTTAAGCCAAAAACGTTTCAGCTTTATTTAGTTATTTGATTGAGTTATATTATTGGCTAAGATATTTGTTTACTTTAAGTAGCTGAGTTCCTTAAATGTTATCAATATCATTTTAAATCAAACTTGGTAAGCTTAACTGTAAAATTTTAATTCTGAAATTTAGAAGCTCTTTCCTTGAGTGAATTTTATTCCCAGTTATGCAAAATTGAAGATATTCCTTTAAGAAGTAAATAAAAGGAATTCGATAACGATTTTACTTGAACTTAGAACAGTTTTTACTCTTGGTATCTGTGTTTAAAGACACATTTACTACTTTTCCGAATTTTATTTTGCAAATTTGGTTATTTCCAAAAAAATTGTATGAAAAGATTGCAAATTTAAAGTAACTTTAATAATAAATAATGTATTTTTGACAGTCGGCTAAGGTCAAGCGTTTTGAAACACGACTTACTCCAATATTGGGCCATATAGTTTTCCAAGTGTAAGTATCTATGAGATACTTCAGACGACACCCACGCCAGCCGTCGCATTGTTTGCTCCACATAAATCATGGAAAATGGCTCGAGCTGTCGATGCTCGCTGCACTTTTCAAATGGATCGTGCTGGTTAACCCATTATTAACCCCGAGGCCAGCATCATAATTGCTGTGCTCTCTCCCCCACCCCAACCGTCGCCCGCCCTTTATCGTAGGTGTGTGGAGTGAGGCGTGGGGGGTTTGGGGGAAGGGGGAAGCGTGTTTAAATTTAGATGCGTTTTCGGGGCGCTCGCAAATGTGGCGAAACGGCAGCGTGCCCCTCGTCCGGTTATCAGCCACTTATAGAACGCTCGCGCTAATGGGCTCATTAAAGACGCCGTGCAATACACTCGGAAAAATAGGACCTGACATGTGAAAATCTTTGTAAAATGAAAATTGACCTCAAATGAGAATCGCACTGAAAATTAGAAAGTTTTTCTGGCTTCCAGAAAAAATTCAATATATGAAAATATAAATTTCTCTACACTGAGAAACAAGAAATCGACAATCCCCAAAAATTAAGCGTTTCATATTTTTCTTTGAATTATTTTCTTTATTTTTAAAAGAAATATATTTGTATAAAAGAAAAAATATTCATTCTAACACTCAGAAAGATAACAAGTTAGAATAATCTAGTCGAAAAAGAGCTCGACTAGAAGTTACCCTACACCCAGCTGTTAAATACATCGCAGACATCCAAATATTAGTTTCCTTATTATGAAAATTAGTTTTAGCTAACAAAATATGCGTTTCTCATTAAATTGTTGGTCAATAATATGTCTGGGAATAATATAAATCTGATCTATATCTATACAATTGTGTATTTTATTGGCACAAAAATTGCTTTGCATCGATTTTATCGACACGTAAAATCAACGTGGCATTCCAAATTTGAAGTCTCTAACTCTCAGACTAAACCCTTTTTCCCATTTCCTATGAACTCAAGAAATTTGCTGCCAGGTTTCGTTGTTTTCTTCGAGTGTAGTTGCAACGCTGGCAGAGGTAGTAGGGGGTAGTCGGGGCTAAGGGTGGAGGGATAGGTGTAGGTGTCGCACTGCGCTCGTAAATTGTCTCGAGCGCCGCATTATGTTTGACACGTCGCCAAGCTGGAAGATTGTGGCATGATTATCGCTGCCCTGTGAACGGCTTTAGACTGTGACCCCCACCCCCACCCACTCCTCTTGTTCCCTTGTCCCCTCACCGCTCCCGCAGCCCGCTCTAATTTCCTGCGTGACAATATGCGAACGCTCGTAAATTTAATGGTCTCACACTCAAATCTTTTTCCCATCGGCATAAATTTACGTATTGTGTCATTTTCAATTTGCACCCGAGCGCCTCATAATTCATTTCTCACTTTTCAATTTTCCATTTTCAATTTTCAGTTTTCAGTTTGCCCCCTCACTAACTAATGCTCTCTGTGTCTCTCCTTGCAGTTCAACCAGGATCTGTACTCGTCCTCGGGCGTACAGCTGGCCGCCTCGTCGAGCGCCTCCGGCAGCTCTCACTCCCCCTGCAGCCCCATATTGCCGCCGTCGGTGAGCGCCAATGCGGCAGCAGCAGCTGTTGCCGCCGCCGCACACAATTCAGCTGCAGCAGCCGTTGCAGCGGTTGCGAATCAAGCCTCCTCCTCTGGCCTGCAACTGGGCGCAGTGGGTGGCGGCGTCGGTGGTGGAGTGGTTGGCAGCGGCCCATCAAGCGGTTTACTCGGCTCAAATCTGGCTCCGAGCGCCGGTCTGGGCATGAGTCCGGTGCTGAGTGGCGCTGGCGCCGGCGGTGTTGGCCATGGCATCCACAGTCACAGCCGGACACATCAAACCAAAGAAGAGGATCTCATTGTGCCGCGCAGCGAAGCTGAAGGTGAGTGCTAGCTTTTGTGACTAATCCTAATTATCCAGATATATATATATATATATGTGATAGCACCTAAGAGATAAGATTGTGGATAAATTTAGAGTTTCGCAAATGGAATATTGAACAAATTACTTAAGACTTAAGTCTAGCGATGAATGACAGTAGGAAACATTGATAACATTTTTTCAATATGTATTTATTTGCATATATAAGAATAATATATATATATTTATAGCATCATATCATTATTACCAACATTATTAATTCGATACGTTATATAAAAAATAGTTTGACAAGTTGCCATTGATAACTAAACTGGTATATAACTGAATATCCGAAATAAATCTTTTAAAATTTCGCAGCAATGCTAATCCAAATACAAAATGCGTAAATTTATATAAAAATGTGTATTCAAAATAAATCTTAGCTAAAATGTTGCAACAAAGCTCAACTAAATAAGAAATTTAGAATTGTTATTGTTAAAATGTATTTATAGTTAAGCATAGTAAAAGGTTGTCAGTAAAGAAATAAATGCTGGCCGCTAGATTCATTAATCAAGAGTATTTTTGAAATGCTTTATGTTTATTTTGAAATTTATTCATTAACGTTTACTTTAGTCAAAGATAAGCCCATTAAAAGATAAGCATGTGTTCACATTTCTGCTGTCAGCATCGAAGATCGATTGTTTGCCATGCCAGTGGAATGTGCTCCCGTTTTAATATAGTCTGAAAGAAAGACAGAGAGAGAGAGAGAGAGACATGTATATATACACATATAGAGAGAGAGAGAGATAGAACGACAGGCTAATTAATTTGCACATTTTTGAGATTGTTCGCCGGCATTCCGACGAGTTAACATTTAATAATTTATATCATATTTTATTGCGGAAATGCAACGCGAATAACTTGCAACTATCCAATGAACTTCGCAGCTTTCTCTATCTCTCTGTCTCTCTCTCTCTCTCTCTGTCTCTGTCTCTGTCCTATTGGGTTGCCAATAATAAAATGCGTATTCAATTGCAGCGCGCCTGGTGGGCTCCCAACAACAGCATCATCATCATAATGAATCATCCTGCTCCTCTGGCCCCGACTCGCCCCGCCATCCGCACTCCAATCATCCGCATTCGCTGCACGGCGGTGCGGGGGGCGCGTCCACGGGGGGTGTCTCGGCTGGCACGGGCGCCATGTCCAAGGAGCTGCCACTGGACACGAGCAGCAGTGGTGGAGGAAATCAAGGACGCGCTCAGTATCTGTCGGCCACCTGCGTTGTATTCACAAACTACTCCGGCGACACGGCCAGCGTTGTGGATGAGCACTTCTCCCGGGCGCTCAACTACAGCAATAAGGATGCTAAAGGTAGCTACTACTCCAAATATATACAGATATATATATAAATGATCCATGTCATGTGTTACACCCCAATCCCACATTTTACATGTGGATCAAAAGGCCCGCTCATGTCATGTACTTGTCCCAGCTGTCAGTTTGCGTGTTGGCGTTCACAATTACCCAGAACCAGAACCAGAGCCAGAGCCAGAACCACCACAAGAATCAGTTTCACAGCCCCGTTGCCAGAATGCTGGTGCCAGGCCAGGCCAAGCCAAAAAAAAAAAAAACAAACAAAAAGTATCTCATAATTAGCCAAGAATCAGAGCGGAGTTATTAAAATGTCGCGTGCAATTGCTCATGAAAGTGCAAATGGGAATGGCAATGGAAATGGCAGGGGATGCGGGTTTTGCTGAATGGATATAAGAAAAATGTAACCCTCTAAATAGCAGCTCTACATTTCTAGGAAACCATACTTGCAATTATTGTTTACAACTAAAAACGGCTTCTAAAAGATTTGAAAGGAATAAAAAATTAAGTATTTTATAAAAGTACTTCTTGAATTCGAGTGAGCATTTTATATTTATATTGAATCTAACAATATTTCAATATATATATGTATTGTTCAATCGTAGGCGAGTAAATGAAATATGCTTATTTTTCCAAGTGTAGCTCAACAAATTCTTTTTGCGATAACTTTCATTAAGTTGTTAAACATAAAACTTGAATAAAATTCATTGACAAATAGCAAGTCGAATATTTTTCCTAAATAGAAAAAAGAATATTTATTAAATAAAATACAGTATTAATATTAAAATAATGATTCAAATATAGATAATTAATATTTAATTGCTTAAGAAGAGTGGATTGTTTTTAGACAAATCCTGCTTTTCAGCAGGCAATACAATCTTGCTGCGTACTCCTTCCGAAGACGATGATGCCACCAAGACAATCCACTTCCTTTCCCTCGGCGCGTTGTTGTTGTTCGTCGTATCTTTGTTGCACTGAATGCCAGTGTGTCGCACAATAAACCGAATAAATCAAGTTGCCACTTGCCACTCGGTTGTTCTTTCGATTTCAAAATTAATTACCTCCTTTAATGAAGATAAACGTTTCGTTTGTTCATGCCTGTCGCACTCTCCCCCAACCCCTTCCTCTTCCCCTGTTTATCTGTCTGTCTGTCTGTCCAACTTGCTGTATCTTTTGGCTGCAGTCGCCCAAGTTCTTTTTAATATTCCGTTTTATTTATAAAGTGTATGCGATTATTTGCCTCTTTGCATCTGTTTAGATCATGCATACAAAAATCAAAACAAGAACAGAAAAGTTTCTCTTTAATTTCGAAACGCCAGAAAAATATTAAATTATTATATAAACTGGAAGGCCTCAAAAATAGTCTTAATTATTATTAAATTTATTTTTGAGTCGAATTTAACTGCAAGTTTATTTAGCAGTTAAGTAAAATTTCCCTCAAACTGCGGTTCTTTGCTCAATCAATCAATTATCGCTTTTATTGCGAAGCACATTTGCATGCTAAGCAGAAACCACCGCCAGGTGACGCTAATGTGCCGTACGTGTCCTTGTATTGTATTGGGTACTCAGCATCCCCAACTCCAACCCACAACATTTGGCCAATCAACGAGCACTCAAACAATTTGTGGCGTATTTTCTTTTTACCACTAATCGCAATCGCATTTATTGCTCCAGCTGCCTTTTATTGAGCTTCTCTGCGACTGCCTGCCAGACACTCTGAGGGGGTGTGTGTTTTGGCTGGTGGGGTGGTACAGAAAGGGGGGGGGGGGGGGTGTCTACCTGGCACTTTGATTGTGTAATTTCAGTTTGGTACGCTTTTGATTTGATGCGCGTTAATTGGAAATTTACGTTTATAGTTTGGAGGCCCGATTAATTCAATCAAATTCGATTCGCTTTTCAATTTGATGTGATTTCCCCAAAAACAATATGCCAGAACTAGCCAAATTCCATTGAGTTGGATTTTTATTAAGCTAAAATTGCTTTTATCTTCAACTCTATTGCTGCTAGTCACTTTTGTATAGTTTTGCAAATGCGGGCTTTGAATGGATCCATAAAAGTTGAGTTATTTAATTAGATAGATGGATGTCAATATTTGTATCATTTACAAATTGTTTCATTTTTCAGAAATGATTAAGCTCAAAAAAACACAATTTTTAGTGAAGCAATTCAAGTGTTATCCACATTATGTGTTGCAAGTATCCATCAGGCAATAAACGGTTGAAAGGAATCTTTTGAATATTATGTGTAATTAATATGTTATGCTGTTCTCTATAAAATTAATTGAGCTATGCACAAAATTCACTCAAAATGTTTCCGCTTATAGAAAATTGTGGTTCTCAATATGATAGTTGTGGTTGTTGTAGCCACCAGCCAAACCACTCAACCACTCAACTCAACTCACCCACTAAGCAAAATGTGAAACTTGCGCAATTCAAATAACAAAAATGAAAACAAGAAAAAATATAAAAAACAAAGCACAAAAATCAGCAGCAAACTTTGTTCACGTTTTTTTGTGGTATGACGCTACTTAATGGTATTTAAAGTTCATTTTGGCCATTTGTCTATTTGAGTGGTTAGTACACACACACACACACTCGCACACACACACACACACACACTCGCACACATGTTAACACCGTGTTTGGTACTTTAAAAACTATTCAGCATTTATATAGATTTTTCTCTCTCTATCTTGATGTGCAGGTTTTTTCTTCTTTTTTGCTGTTTTTTAAATTTGCACATACATAATGCTGCTGCTGTTGTTGTTGTTGTTGTTGTTGTGGTGTGCGTGTGTATGTGTTTGTGTATATATCTAGTTGGAATGTGCTATAAAATGTCGCCGGAATGCGATGTGGTCGATGTTGTTTTTGCTGCTGACGTTGTTGTTGCTGTTCGTTGTGTGGTTCGTCTGGCGGTGCCAATGCCGAATGCCGCATAGATTCCTCATTACGGTTTTAAAATGCATTTCAATTAACTGCTCACTCGAGATACACTCACATTGCATTGCATCGCATCGCATTGTACACAGACACAGATACAGATACAGATGCATACGCTCACACAGATACAGTTACCAATACAGATGCAGATGCAGATACAGATACATTCTCAGTGGCACGCTTGCACTTTCAGTTGTTGTGGCTTCTGTTCGGTTCGGTTTGCTTCGGTTCTGTTCTCCTAAAATATATCGCCGTCATCAGTGCGACCAAACACCCCGAAGATCCACACATGCATACACAGCGAGAAATTAAATCAGTGATGTTGCTCTTGACTCTTGACTGTACTCAATTCAAGAATAACTTTTCTTTTTGAAACGAGTTTTATATTTTGCTGTTCTTTGAAGTCAAACAGAACTTTGTTTAAGCACGAATTAGTTTTCAATTAAGCATAAATTACTCCAACTAAGTGAAACTATTCCAATGGCTCCGAACAAATGTAAGCAATGCAAAATCGATGCATTTTATGTGCAATTTTCTGCTTTTCTTCTCTCTCTTTTTAATGCATTTTCTGTATTTTTGTTGTTGATTTTTTGACTAATTTATTATCCACTTACTTGTATATACTTGCCTCATATACATATATACTTTGAAGCAACATTTATGGTTAATTTTAAATCAAATATCAATTATACTAAAGTCAATAAATGTTATTCGCCTGATTCGCTCTTCAAATTTACAGAAACTTGTTTTCAGTTCAGGCATTTCTTGCACCAGCTCTTTTCCCACTGTGTACTTATGTGGCCCCAGAGAGAGAGAGGGAGAGAAAGAGAGATAGAGAGAAAGATGTCCTCAGCTGCAGCCTTCAGTTTGTGTGTGTGTACGCTGGCCCTCGTTTGCAGTGTTTGTGGCACTTTCATATGATATTCGAATGCTACGCGTATTTAATTAGATGCCCCGAAGAATTCGATTTAAAATTCCTTGGCACCCGCCGCTGGCGCAGATGCAACAGCAAGCAACAGAGAACAACCCGTGCAACATGCACCGTACACCGTACCCCGAAACCTAAGAAGAGCAACATATTTAGAGTAGGAAAGATTCTCGCTCGCTCTTTGACTATTTCCATTTGGGTTAGGTTATATGTTCTCTATATATATATATATATATATATATATATATATATATATATATATATATATATTTAAAAGGACAAACGCCTCTTTTTTTCTTGGTTGTGTGTGTGGTCGCTTATCAGCATTGCAGTTGATTCCGATTCAGGTGCAACTTCATTAGTGGCCGGCAGCGATCAGGTGAAAGGTGAACAGGTAGCATTTGCAGCTCTTTGCAGCGTCATTTGAGCCATGCGGCATTGCCGCATTGAATTGAAAGTGAAAACAAGCGGCGACAAGCGGCGGCAGCAAGGAAGCGCCCACAAATCTTTGCTGCAACTTGCTTGTTTGCACTTTAATGGGAATTCCTGGCCGTCAGTTGGGCGAGTGAGTGAGTGAATGACTATGACGCTGAAGATGGCGACGATGACGACTTTTTTTCGCCAGCCGTTTTTTCTTTTCTGTTTTTTTTTTTTTGTGCGCCGTCGAATGGGGCACGCGGCATCGCTAACCAACCAACCAAGTCAGCCAGCCAGCCTGCCAGCCAGTCAGTCAGCCAACCAACCAGTCAGCCACATCATCAGCATTCAAGGCACACTCACAACGTGCCACAGCGAGTCGCAACTTCTCAGTTGCAGTCCGCGACGGCTGCAAACAGTTCAAAGCACATCCTCGAAGCTACACTTGGAAAAAAGCTAGACTTAGAAAAATGCAATCCATAGTTAAAAAGAGCAGCTCGATTTATTTTTAGAAAGAAAAATCCTATCTCATTTATTTGATCGATTTTTGTTTATTTTCGAAATCAAACAAGTCTTTTTATGATGAAATTACTTTCTAAAAATTAGAACACTTCATATTTGTAATCAATAATGAAAATATTAATTTTAGCAACAATTTCTAAAAAGCAGAACAAATATTGAATGCTGAATTTAATTTGTTTTAAAGATGATTTCTGTTCCTTTCGGGGCATCTTAAAAATGAAGTCGTTCTGCTAAAGGCAAGGTGAAATTTGTTTTGCTGAGTGTAGAGCTGCGCAGAGTAACTGCGCCTCCCCTATGCCACATAAGCCTCATGTCTCTATTTCCATTGCCCCTCCCAGAAGAACAACAGCAGCAGCAGCAGCAGCAGCAGCAGCAGCAGCAGCAGAAGCAGCAGTTGTTGTATATTTTTCTCTTGAATTGAGTTTGGAATGTTGTCAACGCAAATGCGCCTATGTCCCAAGTACCCAGAGGCAGTTGCAGTTGCAGTGGCAGTGGCAGTGGCAGTGGTAGTGGTAGTGGTAGTGGCAGAGGCAGTGTGCCCAGTCCACTCAGCAGTCCCAAGTTGCAGTCCTTGGCACATGTGCATGCCACAGACGCCAAACAGGCAGTCAACCAACCAAAAGTTGTTGCTATTTTCGGCAACAATTTTCATGCAGCAACAGCAGCAGCAGCAGCAGCAACTCTCCATTACAATCGACTCCAAGAGTGCTGCGCTGCTTGTGCTGCGACTGCGGCGGCGGCTGCTTGCCACAATAATGGAGATGTCTTCGTGTTCGTCTTTTGCGATTTCATAAACGCGTAGATTTACAACCATTTAATACAAGTGATGATCCTGAACACGGCACCGACAACACCAACAACAACGACAATGACAACAAACATTCCGCTCAGTTATTTGCAACAAGCCATGGCGCCGACAACAACCAAGTACGTGGCTAAGGCTACGACTCTGACTCTGGCTGTGGCTGTGGCTGTGGCAGTCACTGTGCCGCTCGACTGTGCACCCAGCTTCAATTCGCGAATACAACAGCAGCAACAGCAGCAGCAGCAGCAGATGCTCAGTTTATCATTATGCACATGAATTGAAATTGCTGTTGCTGCTGCTGCTGCTGTTGACACTCCCAAAGTAGGCCCCATTACACAATGTATACTCTGAGGATTATTATGAAATTAAGAACAACTGTTCTGGGATTTTATAGCATTTAATTCTTAACAGTAAATTATTCTAAAAGAACTTCAACTAATGAGTTAATTATAAAATACCTAATGCAACCATTTAAGCATTTACAGACTATGCTTTTAAGTGGAATCAAACTTAATTGTTGCTCAAACTGAAATTCTGAGTTTAAGACAAAAACGCTTAACACATTTTATTTTCTTAGAAAACTCAGTGATATTTCTACCGGAAACTGCACTAAATTTGCTCAAAAGTAACACTGACTCAACAATACTCTTTTTTGGCTTGCAACTCTTTTGCAGATAGCAGCAATCCGATGTCCAGTCGCAATTTCCCACCATCGTTCTGGAACAGCAATTACGTGCATCCCATTCCCGCCCCCACACATCCACAGGTAAGTGTGTGTGTGTGTGTGTGTGTGTGTGTGCATCGGCAACGAAAAACCGATTAAGCTGCAATACGTGCCGCAATTACGAGTTGCAGCAGAAGCACGCACTCTGAATAAGTTGTAATTCGGTGGCCAATATCTGCACTGCTCAATCTCTCTGTTTTTTTGTATATATCCAAATGCAGGTTAGCGACTTGTATGGGACAGCGACAGACACTGGCTATGCCACCGATCCCTGGGTGCCACATGCGGCAGCCGCGCACTATGGTTCCTACGCGCACGCCGCCCATGCGCATGTGGCCCACGCGCACGCCTACCACCACAACATGGCCCAGTACGGCAGCCTGCTGCGCCTGCCCCAACAATACAGCCACGGCACAAGGTGAGCACACAAATACCCTCGCCCCTCCCCGCCCCGCCCACAAAAGCCTAGGCAGCAACTTAAAAGTCTTTCACAGAAACTCAGCAATGCTCTTTAGCTATTTTAATTGAGTGTGCAAATAACTATAATTTTATTTTGGAGAAGAAAAGATATAAGGAAAATTTAAAGATTTAAACAGTTTTACATAAAATGTAACACTAAAAGTGCCCAAGCCTGATGGCATTTCAAAAACTAACACGATCCTAAGTCCCAAAACTATTTGGCTTATGGTTCATCTCCAGATAAAGTCTACTTTCTTTAATATATGCTTATTATAATCTAAATCGGTTCTATTCAGCATCCGTAAGTGTATATATTGGGATAGAAGTCTTACAAGAATTCCAAGCGAAAATAGTCTTTCTAGATCTAGATCTAATCAGCATTAATCTACTGGACAAACTATGATTATAGATCGATACAAGTTTGACAAAGTAAATTTGACATTTAAAGTTTGGAACCGCTCCGAAATGGATTTTAGAGCAGTAAAGGTTAAGGATTGTTTCAAAATTGTTATCGGTATTTAGTTCCATTGTGGTGCTATATAATATATTATATATTGCCATCAGTAACTGATACTTACAATATGTTGAATTTTGGTTTCTGAATTTCAATCAGTAAAGTTGCGGTTCTGTTTTCGGTTTGACACACTGACTCCAACTGAACATAGCCGAGTGGCTAAGAATAGCAAATGTATGCTATATGCAGATCAAGAGTGCTTTGAGTATTATTGAAAAGGTCAAACCAAAAGGTCATACAAATATATGCATTTATATACACTATCTCACTTACTTACTTACTGACCCGTGTATGGCCTCATTGCAGACTACACCATGACCAGCAGACGGCCCATGCCCTGGAGAGTGCGGCAGCCTACTCGAGCTACCCAACAATGGCAGGTGCGTACTCGACTCCACATCTTTAAGGACTTTTGTGGCATATTTGGGCATTTGGCCATTTGGCGATTTGTCCATTTGTGTGCCATTGTCATGACAATGGGATGACTTACAACGTTTGACCTGTGCTTTAATGAAATATGTTTTGTTTGTCTCTTTGTTGTTTGCACACACACATGCGAAATAAAGGTCTGGAAGCTCAAGTGCAGGAATCGTCAAAGGATCTGTATTGGTTCTAGAAACGGTCTCCAGTGTTATCCCACGCAGCCAGCTGGTGTGAGGGGAATTTCTCGTTGATGCTTGATGGCAAAAAGGAAAGCGACTCTCCACAGATAAATAATCATAAATTACAAATTACCACAGCACAGCCCAACAAATAAACAATAAACGGATGCTCCGCTCTAATTATTAAGAAGGATCTGCAACTAATGCAAAACTTATGTTAAACAACGCAACACAAACAAAACAAAGAAATTGCAGCTGAGTTTTGTTTTAAATATTATTATTTGTTAAACGAATTGCTGATAATTATTGGGCTGAATTTATTAATAATAATAATAATAATAATAATAATAAATAATGCAATTTGTTTGTAATTTATAAAATGTGTGAGTCTGTCGGAGGTTTAAATTTATTATTATTTGTACTCTTATATTTGTAAACAATTCGCGTATTAAAAATTGTGTAATTTTTGTATTGTACCCCAATAAGTTTAGCATCCCATATCAGCAAGTTAGACAAGCGTATATATAAATAAAAAATATACATACATATATATATATATATATATACAACTACACATAAATCTAAATCGATATATATATATACGTATATATATATATATTCTTATGCATAATCCGCGTTAGAGTTTTTTGGTAACAATTTACTACAGCGATAATAAAACACTAACGATAATAATCAACATTTCTTGTATAGTTAACGACTTGGACATAAATTTGAAAGCTAGACTTTATTTTGTTTAATATCTTCAATTTTGGAATTTCACAAATTAGGTTATACAAATTGAATGCAACAACAAAAAAATCTAAAAAAAAAACAAACAAAAAACAAAAAATGAGATAAAATAAAACAAAAAAAAACAATTTGAATACAATCAAAATCTTAATGCTGTTTTTTATTGATTGGGGGCAAAGTGATTGCAAAGTAATCGATGCTAGAAAAGTCGAGGATATTTTTGTTGTTCTGTAAAAATATCGAGATTGAAATTAATATTGATAATTTGGCAACATAATAATCAAAATTCAAAACGCAACTGTTAATCCAAATTAATAGAAATTCAATTTGATTTTATACCCTGCTTTTCACACCCCAAAAGTAGTCTTATAGTCTGGAATTTTAGTGTTCCTTGTCGATTTACTAGATATGAACTCCAACCACTTGTTTTCTTCACACATTTGCCGCTCTTCAGCGATTGCGACCCAGTTCCCAAACTCAAACAAACATCCAGAGTTAAGACTAGTTAAAGATATGCAGGACTTGGGTAAAAACCAACTCATTAACACACAATGCGACAATAAACTTGGATACTGCCAAAGCTGTTGCACTTCTCCTCTTTCACTCAGGACTCAAAAACGGAAGAAGGAAGTGCCGCCAAAAAAACAAAAAAAAAAACGAAAAAAAATTGAACGGAACCATCTGTCGCATTCCCGTGTTGAGTGACAACGTCCACAAACAGGAGCAGCGAGGAGAACAGTAAAAAAATGAATTTAAACAGTGGACGTGGCAGTTATTAAAAAGCGATAAACCCAAAGCAAACGCATTGGCCAATTGTTGAACACCTTGTGCCTTGGCCAACAGCGGTGGCCCAGTTAGCCCAGTTAGTGAAACGTTCACGTCGTCGTCGTACCGAATTATGGAATTCTTATGCTAAAATAATGTGACCAAGTCTGCCACAAACTGCGACAGCGATCGGTAATAAATTTGTTGAGCTGCCTGCTGCCTGCTGCCCACAGACCACAGGCCGGCCGGACAGAGGCTCGAGAGTTGGGCTCTCGACTGAAACCAGTCAGCCAGTTAGCCAGTCAGCCAGTTAGCCAGTCAGCCAGTTAGCCAGTGTGGCAAAAATTCTTGATGTAAATACGCACACGGGAGCTTGTCGCACGTTTGTCCATTTCTTTAATTCATGAGCGGAGAGCAGAGCTGCAGAGGATGGGTTGTTCTCTTGGTGAGAACGGCTGCCGGCTTGGGATCTTCCCCCGTTGGACCTTGCTTGCATAGCTTCGGTTGACCAACTGTGCGATAAGTCATTGAAAGTCAATAATATGTTACGCGCCCTGCCCTCCAAGCCGTATTGTATAATAGCAATAACAATAATAAGAACGTTGCCAAACAGCTCAGGAAGTGGCAGGCCCTTGTAGCTGTATCTGTATCTATATCTGTATGGATATACCAGTATTTATGTATCTTTAAGTATCAATGGCCCAATGGTCTCCCAGTAGCTGGCAACGTTTGCTTCTCCGTCTCCATCACCGTCACCGTCACAGTCCCGAGCACAAATATTGTGTCTTATTTATGACGGAGCGACTATCTGAGATTTGTTTTTCATTAATTATGCATCTTCTGTGGCTTTCGGTAGTCTCGGGGAACCCAGTCCGCCAACGCCGATGATAAATAGCCCGAGATTAATAAGGCGCCTGGCTAAATGGCGTGGAAAACATGCACGATTATTAAATTTGTTTCTTGATTCATATCTCTCCCTCCCTCTCTCTCTCTCTCTCTCTCTCTCTCTCTCTCTCTTTTGATGTTTTGTCTGCAAGCTCACGTTTTCTCAGTCTCCGAATGAAATCATTAGGCATAAATTATGACTGCTTTCATTTGAGCGAGTTAAGCAACCTTTGATTACGTTATACAATGTAGATTCTTATCGGGATGAATGACCAAGAAGGTAAGTTGAAAGGATCCTCAAAAGCATACAAATATTTATTCTTTATCTTAAGATTTAGTAAGACTTCAGACTTTGCGGTGGATATCTAAACCAACTTTTTGTGTTTCATTCCATAACTTTAGCTATTTGTAGAATAAAATGCAACTCAATATATTTTTTGATATTGCACTTTTACACAAGTAACAAGCTTTGATAAGCAAAAATCCTGCATTAGATTGAATATATTGAAAGATATGTTAATGTGACTTTTAACTTCTATAAAAACGGTTAAGGCGCGATTTTTCATTCCTAGAACTATTTGTACAAACTTGTACAGGTTATCATTGCCTATTGTTATATTATTATCACTGAAGCGACCTCTTCCATCTCATACAGAATATATATTCTTGATCAGTATCGGTCGATATAGCGCTGTCAGCTTGTCCTTCTTTGCGTCTATATATGAGAGGAATATCAAATATCTTTATTAAACTTGGAATATATCTTAAAGTTGAAATAGCTTTTGTTTCACGTTTGAAAAACGGTTCAGACAAAGTTATGGATTGTTTTATAAGACGTGTACCATTTATAATAGATCTCTGATGAGTAAAGAATTCTGGTCATTTATTATTCGCTTCACATATATATGCATAATATTTATTTATTAGTACAAGTGTTATTTATATATAGTCAGCGTAAATTGAAAATACTTTCTCAATAGAGTAGCCGTCACTTTGCTTTCTTCCTTACAAATCTATTTATATTGTCTACATTTTTATTTGAAGCTGAATGGAAATTAATTTTGGTGCAGATAAACAAAAGAAAAGAACAGAAGAATGTCAACGCAAACAAATCGTTTGATGTGTTAAATAATGCCAAAAACAGAGGAGAACCAAAACCACAACCAAAAGTTGATAATAAATAAGATGGAAAAACAATAATAATAAAATCACTGAAATAACAAAAAGGTATATTTTTGGGGCAGACACATGTGAGTTCAACACTCGAGTGTCGAGTGTCGAACTATTGGAACTATTGACACTTTATGGCCAACGAGTGCGTTATGGTTTCCCATGCGTGCCTCGTGCCGCATGCCACACGCCGCACGCCCCATTACCTTTCTACTGGCCACAAACATAAATAAACAACGACTTTTCCAGCGAGAGTTGCGAGTGTTTTCTTTGGGGCATTGCACGGTTTCTCGACTCACTTTTCACGGTTTTCATCGCTGCTCTAGCCGTGCCGTGCCGTGCCGTGCCGTGCCGTGCCGTGCCCGTGAATTAGTCGCTGTGGCTCTTAAATGCTTAATGGCCAATCGTAAATTCGATCAAATTCTATATTGTCTGCTAATTGGGCTGGAGATGGGGAGTGCTTGTTGACTTTTAGCTGTAGCTGTAGATGTAGCTGTTGCTGTTTGTGTTTGAGGTGCATGTGGCTGCGTATGTCCTTTTCTGGCAGACCGAAATCAATTTATAATTAACGTGGAATTAACATATTTCGACCACATGTTTTATTCTGCCCGTTTATTGATCCCACATGCAGCGCTGATTACGTCCGAAAGACTCACAAACCAAATCCACACAGCCAGCTACCAGTTTCTTCATATTACTGTCACAGCCACAGCCGCAGTCGCCGTCACCGTCGCAGCGGCATCCGCATATATCCATGTGGCATTTGTTCCCGGCTCCCGACTCCCTGTTCCCGATTCCCTGTTCCCGGTTCTCCTGCGATTGCGTTTGCGCAGACTATCAGTAGCGTTAAAAAAGCAATACATCATTTTTCCTTGCGGGTCTCTCGCCCTCCCACTCTCCCTCTATCTCTTTCCCTCTCTATCTCTCTCTCTCATTTTGGGTTCATTTGTGCTGCAACTCCATATGTGCATGTGTGTGTGTGTGTTTGTTTGTTTGTGCGGTTTTTGTAGGTTGGCCGGTCACGTCAGTAGCTGGCGTTATTGTGATTTATTTGTCTGATCTCTGGGCATCCGCAACTAAACCATTCCCAGCTTGTGAATCGGCTTCTGATGCTGTTTAAGGTGGCGCAATTGACGTTTCCTGTGGAACAAACATCTACATATTGGAAAAGAGGCATGCTTCATTGATATTCTAATTAATGTATCTTAAAGTACACATGCTTACATGTGTACTACACTTGGAGAAAAACACCGTACTCAATTCGTGTCTAGAATTTCTGCTCTTTAAATGTCAACTTCATTTTCTCATTCGATTTTACAAAAGTGTAGATCGGCTTACTTATTTCAAAATTCAACAAACATTCAAATCTTCAACCAAAACTCTTAAATCAATTCTGAAATATGGATTTCTAGCATTTGTGTACTCAAAACGAGTGTAGAACTTGTAATACTTGCTCTATGCACTTCGATTCTTAGTTCAAGCTGATTTAGTTTCATTTTAAGACGCTATATATATATATATAGAAGGAGTAATTAATATCTCATTTATCATATTTTAAGAACGTAAATGTATTAAAGTGAAAGCAATCATATTATTCTTATACCATATCAGATTTAGTGCACTGCGACTACTAAAAACTTGCTTAAAATAAGCGAAACTTTTGCAGTAAGCTGTAAGCTCTGTA